TCTTTAGGTTGCAATGGTCACTACATCCCAAGGCTTTAAAAAGTGGGGACATAGATTCTCTCTTTTCTCCATGGGGGAAAGTCAAAGATACGGCTATATTTAATCTGTTACAGTATTTTCTATGTGTATGGTGCCATCATAGGGGATAGAGTTGCAGAAGTAAACAAAATATGATCTGCTCTTGTGGGACTGAAAACATTCACACAAAATGGGTATACTATATTAGCAGGTGCTATAGGAAGAGATAATAGAGGAAAGAAGTGTTGAGAAGGAGGTGAAGAGAGGGAGGTTATGAAGACTGGAGTGAGGTGACAGACCTGCAGGAGGCAAGGGTTAGCCCTGAACCACAGGCATTGGCTACAGCAAGCATGATGGTCATGAGTTGAGTACATTCCCCCAATGTAAGAGCCAGAGCAGAACTAGCAGGGCAAGCAGCAAGCAGAGAGCTTTGAGGTTGCCAGAGTTCAGCTGGAGTCAAGTGGGGGCTCAAAGGTCATTATAATATTGTTTTTGAGGTAAGGTCTCATTAGGGAGCCCTGGCTGGCCTGGGACTCAACTTTGTAGACCAGGCTGGCTTCAAACTCAGAATTCTTCCTGCCACTACCTCCTGAGTGCTGGGATTAAAGACATCATAAATTTCGAAGATGAAACAGATTAACTATGCTAATACCTGTCACATGGTCTGTATCATGGTAAGTGCTTGCTCCAATAGCTTGTGCTCCATTGACTCTAAATGTAGGAGCATTCCAGATCTTCCTTATTGGATTGCATACTTCTCAGTTCACAGCTGCTTCTCTAGCACTGGTATGTGTTCATCCTGATTAGAAAACAAGACCCCAAGGGGGAAAATATAATAAAGTCCTGTTTATTGGACATGTGATTCCTGACTCTTCTGTAATAGCTTTGGGAAGGTAGATGGACTTGCCCTGGAAGGAATTCCGATGTGGAAGAATTGAATCTGTGCTTTGTAAGTGCATACCTTGCGTGATTCTTTTAAAATTTTTTTATGTATGTGAATGCTTGACATGCATGTATGTCTATGCACCAGTTACATGGTATGTGCCCACAGAGGCCAGAAGAAGGCATCAACACTCTGTGAACTGGAGTTACAGATGGCTATGAGCTACCATGTGGGTGCTGGGAATCAAACCTAGGCCTCTAGAAGAGCAATCAGTGCTTTAACTGCTGAGTCATATCTCTAGGCCCTTTGTAGATGATTCTTAAAGGAACAACTTTTGTTTGAACTATACTTGAAAGCATTGTCATTCATAGCTAACAAGAACAGTCTATAGTGGGGGGAAAAACAGTAGTCACTTCTATAGGGATATGGTTGGTGATCAAGGAAATGCACTTGTGAAGAAAGAAGTCTTTCCTATCAGCTTTGTGTGTGGGGGTTTGTTTGTTTGTTTTTGTTTTTGTTTTTTTGTTACTGCCTCTTTGGAAGAATCCTCAAAATATGCATACCCTTTGACCTAGAAATTCCTCTCTAGATTTTTCTGAAAAGTTAAATCTAAAGCAAAAAGATACAGTAATAAAAAAAAACAGTACACTGTAATAACATGTTATGTGGAGGCTCAAATAGTTGGAAGCGGTAAGGATACAGTGCAGTGAATTTTGCTATATTTGTTAAAATTGCTAAATGAGAAGATTGTGTAGAATTGTTTTGTTTTAATTTTTAGAGACAATGTCTTGCTCTGGAGACGTAGCTGGCCAGGAATTTTCTCTGTAGACTAGGCTGGCCAGGTTTGAGGCATCACACCAGCTTTATTTTTCTTTCTTTTTTTTTTAAACTGTTTTTTTTATATCTAATTTAGTTGCTATATGTTCTTTATAAGTCATGATATAGTAGAATAAATAAAAACAGCAAGAAGTTTAAACCAAAGTTAAAATAATCCAAAAACCCATTGCAGTTGGAGAAGGTCCAAAAGAAGAATTCACAACTTGAACAGGGCTTAAGTTGTTGGCAGGACTAGCTCATTGGTTATTATTCTGTTACTGTTGCTTTAGCATTACAGCTGGCTCTGTGTCTGGATTCTGCATTTACACATTTAACCAAGCTTGAGTTGAAAATTGCATTTGTATTAAACATGTAGAGACTTCTGGCCATTATTCTCTAACAATATTGTGTAACAGCTGTGTACAGACAGCATTTGCATTGTTCTAAATATTATAGCAATTGGAGAATGTGGGCAGATTCTATGCAAGTATTTTACTGTTATAGGAAGGACTTGGGTGTTACTTGTAGTATCATTTGGAGGTCTAGAACTAATTGCCCAGAGATACTAGGGCAATTTTGTATGTAGAATTAAAAACAAAAATCTGATCCCCATCCCCCCAAAAAATCCTGTATTCCCTCTAGAATTGAGTTTTGGTTTACTGCTTAGAGTTCATGACAGCTTGTGATCTTATTTTGGATTAAGGGTCTAAGATAGCCTCATCTTTTTCCCTTGAAGGGGCAACATTTAATTTAAAAAATATTTTTGTTTCTCCCCAATATCGGGGTCTCTGATTTTGTAATTGTTTACAAAATAGTGATTATCTGTTTTATTATTTCTCATTTTATAGCTGAATATTCCTGGAAACATATACTTGTTTCTTCTTCTCTAGCTGTTTGTTATGAGGGGCAGTTCATATAGTAAAAATTAAACATAAAAATAACAAAAGAACTTCTCTAGACACCCGAAAGGCATTTATTTCATGTTTCAGCAATAGCAGGTTGTCACGGTACAGATTTATCTTGTCTTCTGAAGTCAGAAGTCTGAGACAGGGCTCACCAAATCCAGGTGGAGACTTTTTTTAGGGTTGTATTCCTCTTGAAGGCTGTAGATTCTGGAGGCTGGTTGATTTCTGGACCAGTGGTCCCTTTTCATTCTCAATGCTAGCCATGGTTGCTAGAAGAGGTTTTCTGCCATCCTTTCCATCTTCAAGGGCCCTTGTAGTTATATCAGAGCCACCTTGATAACCCAGGATGACACTTGCCTTTAAAAGTCAGCTGGTAAACAGCTTGAATTCTGTTAACCTTTATTCCTCTTTGCCATTAGAGATGGGAGTGGGAACATCTCTTCAGGAACAGTCATTCTTCCTATTAGAGCAACTAAAAGTGTTTTTTGTTTGTTTTTTAAAGTGGTATGAATTCATGAATTTCCTTACCCTAATTGTGTATGTGTGCATGTATGCCTACGAGCATGTTAGGGATAGAACCCAGAGCTTTACGTGTACTACGCCTCTTCCGCTAAGCCGTAACCTCAGCACTGAATCTGGATTTTTGATATGTTTGAGTTCTGTGGTCATCCTTATGAAAATTCTGTTTCCTCCCTCAAAGTGGAAAAAAGCTAGTTCTGGTTGGTTCCTTTGGATGTGCTTATTGTTGTACTTGATCCCTTCCTTCCTCTTGGGTATGAAAAGATGTCGGGACTCGTCCTGTATGCTCTTATCCCAAGTCTGCAGTGAGTCATCTGTTCTTGTGAGATGAACTTCATGTGCTCCACAGCTATTTGGAGGACCTGTTAGAATGTAGAGTGATGGTTTTGCCTTTCTAGAGGTCTGCAGCATTAGTTGTCAGGATGCAGGCGATTCTGTTTTAAGTGATTCTAGGAAATGGCTGAGAACACTGTGGACTCCAGCAGGACATTGATGCTGGCCCTTCTCAGTGGAAGGAAGGAAACAGCAAAGTGTAAGTGCTTGTGGATAGCTCAGGTTCAGGTTTCCAGTGAGTCTAACTTTGTTCCTGTTTGTATTTCTTTCCTATTGTGTTGAAAGTCCTGGATTAGTAACTACTCATTTAATAAATATATACTAAGTATGTACATGCACTTCAGAATACCATTACTGATATTATTATTTATGATACAGTTACTTAAAACAGTTGAATATGATTTGTCTTCCCCTTTGTCTGTGGAGATACCTCAGTTAGGGTATGCTCATTACTCCACCCTCATGTTGTTGACTGAAACAGTTTGTTTCTCAACCCATCAAAGTCTTGCAAAGCCAGATTCATTGCTTTGGTTGCTCTGTTTTCAGTTGTAAGGGAACATTAAACGATAATTGTGTACAATTTTAAATGGTCACATCTGTAAGCTAGTTCTGTCTTTTGTTTCTTCTATCTAGCTCTCTTCTGTCTTATGGGCAGCCATTTAGTTTGTGTTATGGTGAAATACATGGCAGTATGCTCTCCTTTCTCATTTCTCCTGGCTCTCTCTTCCTCAACATCTACCCTAATATGTTCTGGCAATTACTCTGGGCATCTTCAGAGAGACTCTATTCCTTTTCCTGCACAGTGCAAGTGTTCTGTGGTAAAACTGTGTCATAGCTTATTCCTCTTGATACTCATCTGGGTTGTTTACAGTTGTTTGCTTTTCCAAATAGTCAACTTCAAAAATCAACCTCACAAGCACCTGCCATAAGGTGGTGGCAATCTTACTGTATATTGGGTTTTTTTTTTCCCCTCCCATTTAAAAATACCTCCTACTGAGATGTGCATTACTACGGGTTCTTCCTGACCACTGTTAAGGCACTTTCTGATTGATTTCATGCATTATAGAGTCTCAGGGACAAGGTAAAAATCTCCTAGAAGCCTCTATTGCCCCTCTGTTTAGGTGCCCTGCCTCAGTTGCATAAGCATGAAGGAAATAACCAGCGTTGTATTATACACAGTTTAATTATCTTCATTTGTCTTTACTTGTAATTGTGCTTTTAAAAGTATTTTATTCTCTATAATTTTCTCTCATTTTTTCCTAGTTTCAGGCTGTTTGGTTTTCTAGTTTTCAGCATTATAACTAATATTATGTTTATAAAGACTTTTCTAAATTTATAATATTCTGAAAATTGGTTTTTGTAAAACTCTAAATGATAAAGGAAGCTGTATTTGTTAAATACACTGATCAACTTGTTTCCATCACAACTCTGGAAGTGAAACTGGTAAGAGATTGGCACTTTGAATTCTTCAGTAGTAAATTCTGGCTTTTTTTTTTTTTTTTTTTTTTTTCTTTTACTTATGGTAGGATCTTAGAAACGAAGTTGAGAAACTACGAAATGAAGTGAATGAGAGAGGGAAGGCAGTGGAGAAGCATTGCAAGAGTGTTCCCAGCGAAAGCAATAGGGAGTTCCATACTCAAGAACAAGTGGCCCATCGTTTAACAGAAAGTGGCATTCAAAAGGATCTGATGCTTCAGGTACCATCTTTTCCTCTCACATGTCAATCACCTTTCAATGTAGTTGTTTACTCTGAACTCTTGGAAGAATGTTTTCTTTGAGACAGTGTCTATGTAGCCCTGGCTAGTCTCAAACTCACTATGTTGTCTTTGAGCTTCTGGCTTTCCAGTCTCTACCTTTGGAGCACTGGGATCTGAGGCATATTTCACCACTCCCACTTTCACAAACTTCACTGCTGTGTTTGTGGCACGTAGAACTTTTTTCTTTATGTTATAAGATCCCCAGTTGATAGGACGGGAAAGAAGGTCAGAGAAGGGAAGTGCTTACTCTGGTCACATGATAAATGGCCGTGCCCTAGCTGGATTTGCTCTTGTGCCCAGTCCACTCAGTGAGGGCTCAAGTACTTGGGCTGTGGCCCTTCACTCCTTTGCCCATTTGTTCTCCTGTTTAGTCTTGGAATTCACTTCTTATTTGGTAACTGTGGTGGATTAAATCCAGGTATTTAATACTGCTACCTACTACTGATATATCACTGACACACAAAGGTAGGCACAGAATAGTGTAAGCACATGGCTATGTAGGAGAACTGTACAGCTGTGAGTAACAAAATGAGGATGTTATGCACGTTTGGATGAGTGGGAACTGTACAGGAATTCAGTTTTGCCACTGTAGCACATAATAAAGAATAGCAACCTAGAATTAAGCTGACATGGGCCACAGCTCAAAAAAGACTCAGCAGACATGTGGCCAGTGCCTTTGAAAACAGGAGATTTACCTGAGATTCTAGACAGGTATAGGCCTCCCTCTCTTCCTCTTCAGCAAGAGATCTCTGGAGAATGTAAAGCAAAAACAAAAAAGTACTGGTCTAGGGGTCATTGGTATCAGCAGAAAATTATAAAGCAGAAATGGCAATGGAGTGACTAAAGTATGTCGACCCCAACCAGTGAGAGTTCTCCTAGAGGAGAAAAGAATGAAAGATGCTGCAAGTTGAGGATCCTTTTTCAGACAGCTGTTTTTCACCTGTACATCTCCCAGTAAGACTACTTTTGTGCTGTCCATTTCTGAGCACTTTAGTATTTAAAAGGTGAGTGGCCTAAGTTCATCAAATGGGATAAAGTGTTGAAGAAAGAGAATGAAGGTACATAGAAATCTGAGTGGGTGGCTCATGACTATTATTTTATCATTTGGAAGGCTGAGGTGGGGGATCATTAGTTTGATGACACCTGGGATATATAGATATATAGAAGAAATGGCAACAGTGAAAATTATACAGCTTTTTAAACCTACAAAAATTTCATAGCAAAACAGTGTAAAATAAGAAGTAAGGTCAGGATCTATTAGATGACTCAGTGGGCATAAGTGATTGTCATATAAACCTGATTACCTGAGTTTGATCCCCAGAATCCACATCAAGGTGGAAGGAGAGAACTTATCCCCCTTATTCCACATAGTTATCCTCCAACCTTCACTAGTGTTGTGACACACATGCTGTGACACTCTCTCTCTCTCTCTCTCTCTCTCTCTCTCTCTCTCTCTCTCTCTCTCTCTCTCTAAAGTAAGATCAGAATCTAATACAAATAAAGATATCTAGAAAAGAAGAAGGGCCTATTGGAAATTCAGTGTACAATTGCTGACTAAACATTTACAGTGCAAGAGTTAGAAAGTTGAAGATAAAAGTTGTGTAAGTCTTCCAGAAAACAGAATTAAACAAACAAGATAAGGAAAAGGTAAAGATAACAAAATTAGAGACATGGTTCAAGTAAAAATATGACTGACTAAAACACCAGGAAGCAAAACAGGAGAAGCAGGTGGAGGTATCAGGAGCTGTGTCCCAGGATGGAAAAAAAATCCCTGTTCATGCACAAAGATCCATAGGCTGAGGTGAGGCATTATGGTATTCCAGAGCTTGGTGATTAAGAAAGGATCTGAAAGGCTCCAGAGAGGGGAGCAACATGGACCATGTATGAAGAGGGACTTAGAATGATATCAGAACTCTGAGCAGCTGCTTTTATGATACAGTTGTTAAGGGAGGTATTGAGATGGAGGTGACTGATACAAGAGATAAATCTAAATCCCCACACTCCTGATTCGAGCCAGTTGGTAAACTGAAATGTAAGAAATCAAGAAACACAAGAGTGAGAATATCATGTTGACAGCTGAAGACAGAGCAGAAGTAACACCTAAGGAATTGCATGTTAGTTTTGCCTGAGAGTGAGGCTTTGAGGAGAAAACTGGGGAGAGAGGGGTACTACTGTTTCCTAGTTAAGCCTTATAGTGTAGTTTGCTTGGTCAAAACATGACAATGATGAAGGTGCAATTATACCAACACAATTCTAGAGGCACTGTTGGCTGATTTCTAGTTCTTCCTATTATAATTCAGTGGGACCTTACAGAGAATTACCCATTTCTTTCTTTGTGAGTACTGGATTCCTTCTAAATGATTGGTATGTTAAATTAATTCTGTTCCATGCTCAGGAGGTAGAAGTATATATTATTCCTTGCTTTCCTGCAAAGAGTAAACAAAACCCTGGCTTAGGAATCACCAGTTTTCAAATAGATTCTGCACTTGAACTTGGCCAGATACCAAAGAGGCAGTCTCCTAGTCCTGTTGTATTATTGGATTCAGGCTTCTGAAAGGCCAGGGTGGAACTGCATTGTGTGTCATGGAGAAAGAGTCTCATGTATGAGCACACCTTAATGCTTATTTGCAGTCCCACCCTTTTCTTTCTGATACATGTGAATGTTTTGAGTTTATAGTTTCAAGGGAGACTAAGAATTTGTTGAGCTTAAATATGCAAGCCCTCTAATTACCTGGCATGTTGACTGGGTAGGAAATGGACCCAGGGTCATGCAATGAGCAGGATAGAATTAGGGATGTTATCAGCTCGTTGGATCAGAGTATTCTATCAACAGGAAGACAGTCACTGTGGCAAGTAAGGGCAATTCATAGATAGCCACTGTCCTTGGCCACCTTGCTGGTATGATGCTTACTCTCATCCAGTCATGATATACAGATGAAGTTGTATCACAGCTGTGTTCTGTGTAGTTGCCTAATGTTTTGGGATGGTGAAATTATCTAGAAGACATAAGAACTTTGTGACAAAATAATATATCTTCCCTTAAAGAGTTTAAGAATAATCTCTGTGTGTGTGTGTATGTGTTTTATATATGTATTTTTGATGAAAACTTTCTTATGATTTGTAAGAAAAATGTGTGTGTGTGTGTGTGTGTGTGTGTGTATTATATATAACTTTCCTATGATTTGTTTCATTTCCTTAGAAATCCAATGAAGACTTGGAAGCAATACAGCAGAACAGTTATTTAATGACTGCAGAGGAGCTCAAGTTTGGGAGCGATGGCTTCATAACAGAAAAGTGTTCTCAGCAGTCACCAGGCAGCAAACTCATCTTCTCTAAGGCAAGCTTGACTGAATTTGGATGTCCACATGTGAATGTATTCATGTTCTTTTCTGAAATGTATTTGATAACTCCTTTGATAGGGACTATCCAGTGCCTTCTTGCTGATGATTGAGTTTATAACAGGTAGGATGGGGAGGCTTTGTCTAGCCACTCTGCAAATTAGTATCCTTCATCTGGTCATTCCTGTTTTCTGTGCACCTAGTACCAAGAATTTCTAGTCTTCTGGGAAAGGAGCCTGGTAACTGCTCCATCAAGGATCATTTCTTGAGAAATGTTGGGTTCTAGGCTGTAAGGAAGTTGTCCTGGTGAAAGGCTGGTTCTTCCTCATCTAGCCCTCATTGTTGGTCTAGTCTTCTTTGCTCTTAATGAACTGTGGAGCATAATGCCTGAAAGCACAGTTGGTGCCTCTATGTGCTTTTACTTATGTCTGCCCATCTGCTTGGGTGCTATCATATTTATCTTTTAACACTGTCTAGAGTAACCTTCCCTGATCCCATAGCACTGAACTGGCCTCTCTTGTAGCACACATTCTTCCTCTAGTTGCTGTCGTTTGTTCCACCTCTTTGCTTCTCCCCTGCACCAGGTGCAGCACCATTGGTGGACACTTGGGGAGTGGTGACGGGTGCTTATCTCTGAATCCAGTGCTTAGCCCTCTATACTTGGCTCTGGAAATGTGAGTTTAGTGATTATATGAATGATTGTGGCAGCCTGACCTGCAAAAGAAGAGGTATTAAATGTAGGTCAAGTTCTTTAAACCTTTTCAAAATTAGGCAAATTAGGTTTGTGATGAATGACTGATTGTGACTTGTGCTTTTGTGAAAGGTGTTTCTCATAATAATTAACAAACTGGACAGCATGAGACATCTGGACAGATATAGGCACTTTGACTGGAGTAGAGCTGGAGATTGCCCTTGTGCCATACCACCCTGCAGTTATTCTGTTGTGGAGTGGATGGTTAAGGGCCCACAGGAGTAACCAGAGTGGCTGTGGTACTTAAAGTTGATGGGTAGGCCAGGATTTGTTTTTCAGTAGGCCCAGAAGTATTTTAGCAACCAGTACCTTCATGGTGCTTTGGTAACAGACCCAGTCCTGGGTATGGCTGGATGAAAGCTCCTGTTAGCTCTGATCAGTTTGTGTGTTGGCACCTGGAGGATCCTCATGAGAATGTCAGCATGGGTGAGGGGAGCCCTTGGACTGCCTGGGAATCTGGGGCCTGGATCTTTCTTCTGTTTCTGTCATCCCACTTAGGGAAAGCCCAAGAACTTTGTCTCAGCCAATGTTTTGTGTTTTGACTTGGACCAACGTTAGTGGAAATGTTGAGGTGCACATGGCCAGTAATAAGTCAGCTGTTTTGAAGCTAGATAGTTTACATAGGTAGTGGTTAGTTTTATGTCAGCTTGACACAAGCTACAGTCATCTGAAGAGGGGAGCCTCAATTGAGAATAGGACTCTGTAAAACTTTAGTTGTAGGATGTTTTCTTAATTAGTGATTGATGGAGTAGGGCTCAACCCATTGTGGGTGGTACTATGTCTGTGTTGCTGATCCTCAGTTTTGTAAGAAAGTAGGCTGAGCAAGCCTTGCAGAACAAGTAAGCAGCGTCCCTCCTTGGCCTCTGCCTCCAAGTTCCTGACCTGTTTAAATTCTTGCCCTGGCTTCCTTCAATGATGAACTATAATGTGGGAATGTAAGCCAAATAAACACTTTCCTCCTCAACTTGCTTTTGGTCATGGTGTTTCATTACAACAATGGGAACCCTAACTAAAACAGGTAGTTTAGAGTGATACATCTTCATGGATTTACATAATATAGTTATTAAACTTTGCTGTTAGAATAACATTTTAGTTTTGTATAGTTAATCTGTATAGTTATAATCTTATGACGCTGGTTGAATATTTATTACATTTATTTATTTTGTGCTGCTTGCTATCAGTTCCTCATATAACCATGGGTACCAAGACATTGCATGGACATTTGGGCAGTATCCACATCTTGGCAATTTTTAAACTACTATGCAAAATGCTAAAGTATTTGGCAAAGGTTTAAATTTAAATTCTTTTCTGCAGGGCTAATTGCAAATTGTGGACAAGGAATTTTAAATTATATTTCAGAATTGTAGATTTCTGGGTGTCAATTTAAGAAGTTCCTGCTGTTACAGCCTCATTGTCTTTGCTCTGTTCTAGTGGTTCTCAAGGTTCCTAATGCTGAGACCCTTTAATGCAGTTGCCTTGTTGTGGTGACCCCAACCATAAGATTATTTTTGTAGCTACTTTGTAACTGCAGTTTTGGTACTGTTATGAATTGTGATGTAAACATCTGTGTTTTCTAATGGTCTTAGATGACCCCTCTTAAAGGATTGTTGGTTGAGAATCACTGCTCTGTTGCAGTTTGCTTTTCAAATGGTTGTTGTTTCTATGTAGAAAATGTGGATTTTTTTCTGCAATGCACTTGGCCATTTTGTGTTGATTTAGGATTTATCCTCTGCCCATTTTTACAAAGGTCTCAAAGCTATGGTGTTGTTTCTGTTCCTGCTAAGCATTGTATGGTCTTGAGAATTAATGCTTAGGTGATCAGGAAGATTGTGTGAAGCTCCCTGGCTATATGTGACTTGCCACAGCTGTGATTTCTAACTTGGTTGTTGATATGATTTGGATATGCGGCTGCATTTTGTGAGTGTTAAAATAAATGTCTTTGTTGCAGGGTTGTGACACAGCTGCTGAAATAGGCCCCATCCATCTACCAGGTCACCAAATTGCCCTGATTAGCAGGAAGTGATGCATTAAGCCTTCTCTTTACCAGTCTGCTGTCTCTTCAGATTATGGTCTGTACATGTTTCTTTCAAGTCCTTAAGAAACCGGTGGCAGAGCAGAAAGTGCCCCCTGCCCTTGTTGTGTACAGAATGTCAGTCATGCTACTTATGATCTCTGGTCTTTGATAAGTCACTAGATCTTTCTGAAATGCCCTTTCTAGTCTTTGAGGCAGATTTTAATCTGTTCTTTTAAGAGGATTAGGACTAATGGAGACACACTTGTAAGTTTCCTCTAGGTTGCATGCTCCAGAAGCCAGTATAGAGTAGTCTTAGTTCAGCAGCCATGAGGAACGACGGGAACAAACTGGAGGGTCTCACAAATACTTGGTGGGAAAACCAAGGGAGTGCCATTGACTTTAAAGACAAACTTCCTAAGCTCTGGCCTCTGTCTTTGACTTAATGTAGACCTGGTCATTCCTAAATGGGTATGTGATATCTCCCTCTAAACCTTAGAATATCCAAGAGAGAATTGTGCTGGTTTATCAGTGGTTCAGGCCCTCACTTATACAGGAGCAGTGTCTGCTTATGGACTACTATTAGGTTTCAGGGACATATTTTTCAGATCAAAACATTCTAATTAGGCAGGAGAATAATGGTGAGCAGGGTGATCACTCTTAGGGCTGTGGAGGATGCAGTGCAGAGCCACACAAGGAGATGTGTGCCAAGTGCAGTGCCAAGTCTCTGTGATGAGAGACCTCCAGCTGTTTGTTCCATGTCTGGAGATGCTGGTGGAGAGGGTTGATGGCGCCTTCTCAGCATGTGGGTCTTAGTGCCCACCAACCCCAAGCAGCCTAGCTCTCTTCTGTGCCAAGGAGATCTACTGGCTGTCAGCTCTGCTGAGGAAGCCAAATGACTTCATTCTAATGGGGCATGAGTCAGCGCAAGGGAATAGGTGATTGATGAAATGGGACGCAAATGGCTCCGAAGAGTTCATTTATTTAACATGGGTGAGCAATTTGCTTCTAGGAAGACGTTGACTCACTCTGACTTCCATTATGCAAAATATCCACAGGAATCTCTGCTCTTAAGATTCATACCAGTCCCTGTGTTCCCCTCTTACCTATTTAATCATCAGTTCAGTGAGTGTTTATGGCAGGATTTGATTTGTGCCAGACACCAGGCCTGGTTTTGGATAACTGCTATATGCATTGCTCAGATGGAACAGGTGGTTGGCAAAAAAGCTCCAGGTGAAGGCGGGTAGGTGCTTCTGGGCCAGAGGAGGGGGTATTTTTCTTGGCTGGAGAGAGCTTCCTATGTGATTGAGCTAGAGAGGATCCTATGAAATACACTGAAGTGTCACTAGGGAGTGGTAAACAATGTCTCTCCATCTCTTAGGTCTCTGAGGTTCTTCGAGACATGGGGAGGATTTCTGAGATCCTTGAGATAGAAGATCCCAGGAGAAAGGAATGAAGACAGAAGCTAAGGAGTACAGTGGCCTCAAAATCATGGCAAAGAGCTGTGTGTAGCTTCCAGGAAGAAGAGGAGAGGGGAACTGGGTTAGGCATTGGGCCTTGGCATGGCAGTACCCTTCACTGTGGTTCAGAGCCTGGCCTACTGATATTCTCTCTGTTTACTAAAATTCCACATTTACTACTGTGTTTCCTAGCTCTTCATGATTACCTTTGACATCACATATGAGCACATATCCTGACTTTACTAATGATTATCAGTTAAGTGGACTCAAGTTACAACTGAATAATGGCAAGATTGATATAGTGCCCCATAATGTTATAACTGTACAGGGTTTCTATAAAGATTCTAGCACAGCACCAGAGTCCCGGGACACCAAGTGTCTACTCCATGCCAGGCACCATGTATTGATTAATTAACTTAATCTTTACCCTCTTAAAATGGGTATGGATTTTGCTGAGGAGCAGAGACCTGGAGCCCATGCCATATGCCAAGATACTGATGTTGGACTTGATCACCCTCCTTTGTGTCTTCATGTCTAGAATTGGGGGAAAGTTATCACCTCTATCCCAGGTTATATTCACATTCAGTGAGAGACTACTGGGAGAGTGTTTAGCATAACAAGCCTATAAAGTCAGCACAGTTAGTAAAGGGGCAGGCACAAATGGTGTACTGTGAGACAGGCTACGATGAGAATACCAAGGACTTGGTAGCTTTCTTTATCTTGATGTCCTCTCAGGTGCTTATGTGCTCTGAGAGCTGAGAAAACCTAGTGGAGTACATGGGTCAGTGATCTGTGGCACGATTCACAGAAGTACTGGATAACTAGCTGAGTGACTAGTGTAAGAAGTCATTTTTTTCCCGCCTGCCGGTGGTCTTGTCCCTCCACAGCTCCAGCCCCAATTAACACACCGAGACTCTGTATTAGATACAATTCTGTTGGCCAGTTACTTGTTTCTTATCGGCTAACTCTATCTTAATTATTAACCCATTTCTATGTATTTCCACATGGTCTTCTTACCAGGGAATGGGGCAGGCATCTGGTCTCCCCGGTCTCTCCATGCTGACTCCTCCTTACTACTTCCTCTTTCCTCCTTGTCTCCTAGACCCTCCTATCTTCATTTCCTATTGGCCAACAATACTTTATTCATTAACTAGTATGAGAAATATATATACATAATGGCATCTCCCATCATCTCCTCTTTTCTGTCTAAATAAAAAGAAGGGTTTTAACCTTAACATAGCAAAATATATCACACAATAGTTATCAAATAAGAATCACGGTTAACAATATTTAGTCCATTAACATTTAGCAAGATTAAAAGAAACTATTCTGTCATCTATCCTATATTTGTGAGTCTAAAGTCCTATATGTAACTTATCTTTAAGCTTAACTAAGGAAAACTATAACCATAACTATTTGTCTTCAACTCCCTCAAAGACCACAGAAGGATAATATATAAACTCTAGAATGACTGAGACCACTGCCTGGTCACCTGAAGTTTTTCTGTAACCTTCCATCTTCAGCTCATAGGCCGTAGTGTGTCTGGCAGACTCTTCCGCAAAGCAGGAAACTTTAAACTGTCTTCTTGTATTGGCAGTTTGTCAGTCACTGTTCTCTGTGTCCTGCAGACTGTCTGCCAGACTCTTCCATGAAGCAGAAACTCTGTAGCAATGTCCATCTTGAATCAGCAGTCACTTTTCTGTGGGTCCTGCATGTCTAGTTTATACAGCATAAAGTCCAACAGTCCAAACAAGAGCAGTATCTTGTCCAAATGACTAGTCTTGCCATATTGAAAGCAAACTCCATAACGCATTTCTTCAAGGTCCAACATCCTTTCTGATGCAGGTGGTGTTGCCAGGAGCAGTTATGTCTTACTGTCACGAAAACCCTAAATATGGCATTTTAAATGCCATATTCTGTAGGTCTTTGAAAGGTTTGAAGAATTCCTATCTATCTCAAATACATCTCTGTGTATCTTGAAAAACCTAACTAACTTAATTTTAAGCTTTGACTATCAAAGGGGGGCGGGCATATGTAGGGAGTAAGGTTTTTCCGCCTGCCGCCCAGTCTTGTCCCGCCGCCGCGCCAGCCCCAATTAACACACAGATATAATTCTGTTGGCCAGGTACTAGTTTCTTATCGGCTAGCTCTGCCTTAATTATTAACCAATTTCTGCTGATCTATGTATTTTCACGTGGACTTCTCTTACTGGGGAGCCGGCTGGCATTCTGCTTTGTCCAGACTCTCCATCTTGACTCCCCTTCCTACTTCCCCTCTCCTCTTTGTCTCCTAGTCCCGCCTATCTTGCTTTCCTATTGGCCAACAGTGCTTTATTCATTAAACTAGTATGAGAAACATATACAGAATGATATCTCCCAACAGATTAGCATCTCATGCCTAGCCTGGTGGTTTATTGTTCCAATCCTGAATGCACAACCTCGGGCTGAAGATCTGCTGGGCCTGGAAGGACAGCACTGTGTTCCTGGGTTAGGTTGCTTAGTGCCCCTCCCCACAACTGCATTCCTTTGGCAGTCCAGCTAAAGTTAAAGACTTGTGTCCTAGAAAAATAATCTGTTTAAATGCACAGTTTATATATTTTTGTCGGTTTGTAAAACAAACCAATATTTTGAAATTCAGGTATCAAAGTATAAAAGCTTTGAAATATTTTTAATTAATGTATTTAAATAACAAAATTTAGTGGTGAGTATAGTGACCACAGTAGCTTTGAAATAATAATGTTCTGAAATATTTTTATTAAGGTTTATTAAAATAACCTTCTTTAGCTGGCAAAGTCATAGAGCTAGTCCTAGTGCTCATGTGGTTTGTGGCAACTACAATAGAAGAGAATGGTTTTTTCAGTTAGAGTTAAGTGAAAAGAAGATGCATGTGTGTTTTCTGATCACATTTGTAAGTCCTCTGTATATTCCTGGGTTTGAGAAGAATGTCTATGGACAGCAGACATATTCTCTTCAGCACTGGGAAGCACCAGTTCTGGTTGCTCATTGCAGATAGGCTGTACACATTACCTCAGTCATTTTAACATTATTATTTTTGAGATAATTTGAAATTCATAAAAGATTCATAGTAATAAATGGTTTACTTTTTCTGAGTCATCTGAGTGTTGGCCTCATGAAGCCCTGTCACTTTTGAATTCTGTAAGCAGGCATTCATCTAGCTACCACAGCAGGAAATGAGCATAGACCCCCCCCCCACTCCCACACACACACACACACACACATACATACACACTGCTTTCTAATTCTCAGGCTTATTCACAGTTCATCCAGCTGTCTCAGGAATGCTTTGCACAAAGGGTCCGAGTCAAGATCCCATCTTGAAATTTCCAGTGTTGATTCTTTAGTCTTGTGGCCTTGATCCTTTGAAGTGTGTAGGACTGTCATGTGCTCCTCATGTGGGACTGTTTGTGTGTTTGGAGATTTGATTTAGTTTGTTCATCTTTGGTGGAATTGTTAGTATTGTTCAATATTTGATTGCACTGTGAAATTCTTGAGACTGTTAATAAAATCAACCTTGGATCAGTGACTAGTTGAGAGTATGGAGGAGCGAGGAATATGAATAAAGAGGAAGGAGTAGGGAGGGACTTGGAGATCCATAGGCTTTTTTGGTTTTGGAATGAGTGGAGAGAAACTCTCTAGTTGAGTCTCCTGCCAAAAGGAAGGTCAACTGTTTACTTTTCAGCCCCTTTGAGCTAGCAGGTTTTCACCCCAACATCTTACTCCTGAGTCTTTATTGGTAAATAAAACAATAGAGACTTAGCTAAAAACTACATTTGGTGGCAATGGCAGGGCCAGTGCTAGCAGGATGAGAAGTTGCACCAGGCTTGAAGTCCCACCAGACCACAACCTCAGCAGCATAGCACTGATGAGGGGTGTGGTGGTTGAGGGCGGAGAGAGGCAGATGGTAGTTAAAAATATCAGTAGATTTAGGTTCAGCCTCTGTGCCAGAAATAAACAATATCATGCTGTGTTCATACCCTCTTCTGTTCCATGTTACACAGTTCTTGTGTTTAGTTACTAGCTGTACTGGCTTTGATCAATTCACAAAGACCGTGTCTTCAGGAATCTAGACTATCCAGTTGCCCTTTTTCTATGTACTAATGAAGAATTTGGGGTTAGTGTTTTGAGTCTGTAAATACCATCTTCAAACACTCATCCTCTAGTTTTAGCGTCATTTTATATCTATTGGCTGATTTGTTAATTACAGTTGCGATTGCCAAATGGTTATGTTTTCTAATCCCATTATCCTTCCTTCACTTATTAATTACCATTTTACTGTAAGGAAAAGCCTCTTCTCATATATTCATTTGTATTAATTTTGGACTTTGTGAATTCCTATCTTACATAATTATTTTGATATTCAAACTATCTCACTTTTGGCTGGCAAGAGCTTTTTAAAAATGACCTTAGTATCTTCTGGACAACATTTCAGCATTATTTAGGCATTTATTTATTAGCTTTGTTGGATTATAATTGAAAACATCAAGTTTTGGCAGCATCAGAAGCCAGCAGCTCTGCGGGAGTATGGATGAATCAGGTGGCTTTGAGGATATTTTGCAAACAGTTTTTGGATGTTGGTAGCATGGCTCTCTACTTTGTGTTGAATATTAGTTTCATGTTACTATAGTTATTGACTGTGTTGTACAGGCAGTGAAAGGGAACATCTGCTCACTTCAGGTCTAGGAAGCAAAGGAGAGAGAAGAGGAGATGGGGTTCTACAGTTCCTCTTAAGGGTGTATCCTCAATTACCTATGGACCTCCCACCAGACCCCATTTCTCAAAGCTTCTACCACCTCCCAGTAGCACCACCCTTAATGGGCCTCTGGGCTCTGTGCAGATACTGTCATTCCCAACTCCTACTGCAGGTGGTGCTGTGTGACTGTGGTCTGAGCCCGAGTCTGGCTCAGAGCCTTCTATCTGTGGTTTTAAAAATCCAGTGCTAGACACATGTGTTTGCATAATGGCAAACCATATTCCTTGGCTTCTGCCCTTAATGTCAGACACCCATTGTCATTTCCAGGAAGAGCAACAATCAGACTATGAAGGGCTGGCTGGCGACTTAAAGACAGAACAGAGCATCTATGCCCATCTGGCAAAGACTCTACGGGACTCAGACAGGTAAGTTTCTTCTCAGACACCACAGCCACACCACTTGCTAGTTAGTACTGCCAGTTTCTGAGCAAAATAGGCCCCACAAGATGAAGTAAACCTTCAAATTAGTTAGCTGGTAAGAATCTCCTTTAGTAGTCAAATCTACCTATAATCAGTAAAGAATTGTCTGATTAGAGCAACACAATTAGCATTAAAACGGAGAGAATGCTCTGAATTTTCAGTTCTTGATTCTGTATCTAGGAAGTTGTTCCATGTGCCTTGTTCCAGATGTTCTTCACAGCTGTCTATGAGGAAAATAGTAATGTCATCCTTATTGCATGTGATTTCCCCCAAACCAAGAAAGGTTAGGTGACTTGTCCAGGATCACACATGTGATGACAGAGCACTGGGATTTGACCACATCTCCATGTCTTGGAGTGAGGCATGTTTGTAGAATTGCTGAAATAATTTGTTGGCATTTGGTGAAATCATGGTTGAAGGGTGGTGAGGAGAGCTAGCTGTGACCAGTGGTATCATTATTTCCTCTTACCTTGAGCTCTAGCTCTGTGTCCCCAGGCAACTGGGCTGTTCTGACCTCTTTTTGCATATCTCTAAACACCATGCTTGTTTTTCTCTGAGCAAAACACCTTTGTTCTGGCTGCTCACACCTTGCAAATTCTCAGAGTTAGGAAAACCTAAGTGATAGACTTGAAGCATCAGCCTAATGGCAAGGGTTTCACTACAACTCTCTCATTTGCTTCCTTGGTTAAATGTTCTGGCAGCATGCAAGCCTGTGCTGTGCTGTGACACCTCTGGAAGGGTTTCCATCTGCTAAACAGATTGATCATTGTGATTGTTTGGAAGTAGAAGTTGTATGTTTCCTGTAGACTCTTCCTTTCAATGAATATTCCTTCACAATGAACTGTCCTCAACACACAAGCAGAAAGAGAATACAGAATGTTTTATTTCCTCCAGTGTATGTTAATCTACGTGTATGATCCCGTGCATGGAACTAGACAAGTGGAGCTGTAGTCTTTTCACACATAAGCCCAGCCATAGTTCCTAATCATTTTGGGAAAGTCTGATAAAAGCTTATGAGCCTTCTCTCTCGAAAAACCCATATATTTATACATTTTTACAGATATAGAGCAGTGATGAACTCTTTCAGGGAACAGTATGTCAGACATTGGATGAGAATGATATATTTCTTAGTGTTTAAAAAGGATGTTTTCTTATTTGCTTTGAAAATGCATGTGTGCTTTAATCCCCCATATTGCTGGGCATCCTTGAGAAAGTAACCCAAATGTCAAACTTTATAGAGGGCTCAGAACTCTACAGTGTGTAGTGTATCTGCACTGTAGGTGTCAGCTGGATCTCCATGCACCTCTGAGAGCTGGGTGTGAGTCTTCCAGATCATGTGGCACTTGCACATGGATGTAAGTCCAAAACCTCTCTATGGATCTGCATCGTCTAGTAGAACAGCCATTAGCTAAGTGGTTACTTAAACTTATACTTACTTTCAATTTAACAACATTAAACATTCAGCTCCTTGGTACATTAAGCCTCATTTCAGATGTTGAGTAGGCACATTAGCCAGTGGCTGCTGTATTAGACAGTATATAGAACATGCCTATCACTGGAGGAAGTTCTGTTGGGAAGAATTCCCTATGATTATTGCAGCTCTAGGAGGCATGACTTTTTCATGGCCTCTCTGGGTTCTGGGCTTCTTGTACTGTGTTGACTTACATGTAAAACTCGACACTCCCTCTTCCAGAAAAATCCATTCATACTGTGCGTTTCATGTTCAGTTACTCAATAGAGAGTTCTATGGGCCATGAATTGGTCTGTTTGTCTTACTGTGAATTCACTTTTCCTTAGTTTTTCTTCCCTCCTAACCCTCACCCTTAACCCTTGACCCTACCCCAGTATGACCTCTTTGTTGGGAACAGAATACGGATCAGATTCCTCTCTCCTGGAGTCTGGATGCTGGGTGAGAGAGCCTCTTCTTGTACACTAAGTCTTTCCAAGGCATTATTCCAAACAGTGGACCATTCTGGAGAATTAGACCCTTTCCACCTGCTGTGTCTGTAGTTGACACTAGTAAGGAATGTGTTAAAGTAAATGGGGAACAGTCACCTGGTCTAATGTTATATGCTCATTAAAAATGTTTCCAGAAACTTTCACAAATGTGGGAGAATATTTAAACAAGGAACACATAGTTTTGCCTTGCACATCCAGTGGCATTTAGACTGTATGAAAAGATTCAGGAGAAATAACATGTGTTGATCAATTGGGGCATCATAGCAATGTATATTTTCTCTATACTTTTGTATTTACCTTTTTTCTGTAATGGACACATTTACTTTTATAACCAGAAAAAACAAAACAAACATACAAGTGACATAAAATCCATAGCTTTGCTGGGTTTTGCATGTTAAAGCACAAACCACACTCTTATAATTCTGGTGTTTTGTTTTACCAAGTGTCAGCAACCTGCAGGCTGAGCTGAAAGAGGTACTTGCCCTTCGGAAGCAGCTGGAGCAGGATGTCCTTGCCTTTCGGAATCTACAGAAGGCCTTGCAGGAGCAGCTCAGTGAAATTCAGAGGCGGGAAGGTACACACTCCTTTCTATGGCTTTCAAGTTGGTTGTTTCACATGGAGGGATTTGGTGGAACTGGAAGGAACCCTAGACCAGGAGATAGAATGACCACATGATCCTCTCTGGTGACTGAATCTGCTTCTTTCTGGCTACAGCCTTCCTAGTGGAAGGTCCTATTAAAGTCTATGGTTATGGTAGGGTTGCACCCTGTTCTTTTATATGCATCATTTACTACTTTAGCTTCAGATAATCTTAGGGACTGGAAGCCCCATTGTCTGGTAATTAATCCTCATTGAGTAAACTTTACCTGTTCTAGCTCTACTGAGCAGGACCACACAGATGTTGAACAAAGTTGCTGTTTTAGATTCACATAGAGAGGGCAGCAGGACCAGGGCCCATGGGATAGCACAGCAATACCCATCACAGTGTGTCTGGACCCTTTGCTTTGCTACAAACTGGGCTCATTATAGTCTGGTTGGTGTCTCGTTTCTTTCTGCATCCTCAGCCCAGTCCTTGGCATGTGTGGTTAAACTGTTGCTGTGGTGAGTGACATTTCTTGAGCCTGTTCTGTGCATAAAGTGCAGGGCTCTAGGTTCTTGCCTTTTCACCTCTGCTCCTCACAGTCATCCAGTTAGACAGAGTAGGTGTTAATTTTCCTGTATAGTTGAAGGAGCTGAGCTGGGCATGGGGTCATTGATTTGTGTCATCTGTCCCAGGATGTGTAGCTTGGAGGTCCAGGACTGTCTAGGAACACCTGCACTGGCTATGCATGTTAAACCAGATTCTATTTGTGGTGGTGCCCCATTCAGTAAATGTCCCTTGGCTCTGCTTCTTTGCAAGCTATTAGAATATGATGTGTGCCATGGGAAGCAGACCCTGACACACAGGTAACTGAGACCCCTTTGTACCTATTCTGCAGACAGCTTTTGTATTTCATGTATGCTGTCTTCCTTCAAGGACTCTGGGCCAGTAAAATACATCATCCATGTTCATCCCTCTTGAGGTCTATCCTCAGAGTCTTATCTTTTTTATGTATCCATCCCTAAGCAGAATCACTCTTATTTGAACTGAAATTTTCATTTACTTTTGCCATCAGGAGCGGTTTCCAGGTATAGCACTTGATAGGCAAATTATAATTCCATACAATTCAGGATTGGCTCCAGTGACAATCTACAGACCTGAAGCAACCACACATTGAGACATGAGCCTGTAGAGCAGGCAAAATTGCTTTCTCCCAAAGGTTATGCTTTAACTCTGTGCTTCAGCTCCCCCACCTGACCCCGTAGCAATTGCTCTAGGTAGAAAGCTTGAGGATCAGGCTTGGGAGGATGTTTGTAACAGTTTTTCTTCTCTTCTCCATCACACTTTTTTATTTTTTTTATTTTATTTATTTTTGTGCAGAAGAACCCTTTTCATTTTATAGTGATCAAACATCGTATCTAAGTATTTGCCTTGAAGACCACAATGAGCTTCAAGTGGAACATTTTTCTCAAGAAGAACTCAAGAAAAAGGTATTGACCTGACCTGTTCACTTGTCTCTTTAGTTCCTAACCTCAGAGGTGTGCTGTTTTCAAGCTGTTTTTCCTCTCCTGCCTGCGCTCTCTTTTCTGCATTGCCACATGGGCATGGTGCTGACTGATGCCTCCAAGGTAGATTCTCATGTCCAGGCTAGAGACCCTAGCTCAGACCCACTCTCCTGAGAAGGTACTTGGTCACCCCCACCCCCTCCCTCATGAGTAAGCTACTTTTTTTTCTTATCTTAATCACTTCTTTGTATCTAATCCTGATTGATATCCCTATACTAATTGGTGACTAATTGGTGACTGGTTATTTTGTATCTAGATGCCTCTTGTGTGATCCCTTTAAATGTACCCTTTATGTTGTGTTTATTTCTGATGTCTCAGGACATGGCACATGTAGTGGGAAGTGATAGATTTGAATGAACATAGTTTCAAGTAGGATCATTACATCTTTTTAAATGCAAGATTTTCAATCTGTAGATCTGTGAGATGGTTATAATGAGATAGTGTTTCAAAGGACCTTTCCCCCCACCCCCCACCCCCCAGTTCATTCCTCCTCATGGGTAAGGGCTCCCAGGAGGAGTCAACATAGTCTGGCACAATAGGTTGGGGCAAGGCCGAGTCTCAGTCTCGTGCATTAAGGTTGAACATGGCATTTCACCATAGGGAACGTGCTCCAGCAAGCTAGCTCATGTACCAGGTTTGTATGGTGGTCCTACTGCTAGGGGCCCCTCACCTAGTCCATGCTTCACAAATGTCTCCCACATACAGTGGGCCTAGTTCTGTCTCCTGGAGCTCCACAGTTGTAAGTCTAGAGTTTATGAGTTTCCACCAGTTTGGTACAGCTCTCTTTTTAGATTTCTCCATTATGATCTTGACCTCCCTTGCTTATATATTCTCTTCTTGCTCTTTTCAATTCCCAGAGCTTGGTCTGGTTCTTTGTTATGGATCTCTGCATCTGGTTCCATCAATTACTGTATGAAGGCTCTATGATGGTAGTTGGGGTATTCAACAATCTGATTACAGGAAGGGCCAATTTGGGCATCCTCTCCACTATTGGTATGAGTCTTAGCTGGGGTCTTCCTTGTGGATTCTTGGGAGTTACCCTAGCACCAGTTTTCTCCCTAAGCCCATAGTGGCTCTCTCTATTAAGAATCTCATTCATTGCTCATCCACTGCATCCTTCCCTGCCTCAGCCATCTCATTCTTTCCTATTCTCATCCCCTTTACTACCGCCACCACTTACTACCCTGTACTATCCTCCACTCCCCCCCTTTCTACCTCCCACCCCAGTTTGCCCTGTAGATCTCATCAAATTTCCCATTCTCATGGTGTTCCATGTGTCCAAAGACCATTGTTAAGAATAGGTATTTTGAATCTGTGTTTATGTGTGTGTGTTTGTGTGCATGTAGGAAGAGGTCAAAGATTGGTATTGGATATCTTCCTCTATCACTCTCTACCTTATTTTTTTAAACAGGATCTTTCACTGAACCTGGAGCTCGTGCATTTAACTAGAGGGTCTGGACAGCTAGATCTAAGAACTTATCTGTCTCCTCTCCACCCCCATAGTACTGTGTTTACTGATGTGCTTCCTTGTATCTATCTTCTACATGGCTGCTGGGTATCTGAATTCAGTTCCTCATATTTGTGTGGTAGGCACTTTACTGATTGGCTATCTTTCCAGCCCATCAATACACTTTGTTTTTTTTTTTAAATCTCTTTTGTGTCTTGCACATCTATATCCGTGGATAAGATAGATTTTTTTTTTTCTTTCTTTCTTTGAAAAACTATCAGACACTGGCATTTGTTGTTGGTGGTTTCTTGTCCCACCAGGTCCTGATGATGGGAGATGTCATTCTATATATGTTTCTCATACTGGTTAATGAATAAAGCACTGTTGGTCAATAGGAAAGGAAGATAGGAGGGACTAGGAGACAAGGAGGAAATAGCAAGTAGGAAGGAGGGTCAAGATGGAGAGACTGAGGAGACCAGACGCCGCCCCCACTCCCCGGTAAGGAGACCACGTGAAAATACATAAAAATGGGTTAATACTTAAGACAGAGCTAGCCGATAAGAAACAAGTAACTGGCCAACAGAATTATATCAAATACAGAGTCTCGGTGTGTTAATTGGGGCTGGAGCAGCGGCGGGACAGACCGGGCGGCGGGCAGAAAAACCTTACTCCTTACAGGTAGGCACTTTACTGATTGGCTATCTTTCCAGCCCATCAATACACTATTTTTTTTTTTTTTTAAATCTCTTTTGTGTCTTGCACATCTATATGTGTGGATAAGATAGATTTTTTTTTTCTTTCTTTCTTTGAAAAACTGTCAGACACTGGCATTTGTTGTTGGTGGTTTCTTGTCCGACCAGGTCCTGCTGCCCTGCCCAAATAAACACATGGGACTATAAATTATGAAACTGTTGGCTGATGGCTTGGGCTTCTTATTGGCTAGCTCTCTCTAAATTATGAACCCATATCTGTTAATCTATATATTACCACGAGGCTGTGGGGTACCAGTAATTCAGAATGTTACTCCTTCAGCAGCGCGGCATCTCTACTGTGTCTCTTTCCCCAGCATTCTCTTTGTCTCCTAGCCCCACCTATCTTTCTGCCTGGCCATCAATGTTTTATTCATCGACCGATAAAAGAAACATATATACAGAAGGACATCCCCCACCAGGCACTGGAGTTCATGGGAAACAAAGTGACTCTGCTCAATTGCCTGTACATTTGGCCTAGCAAGAGCTGGGCCTGGAGTTGGAGTGCTGGGCTGAGCCTGGGTACCCTGTGCTGTCTGTCTGCCATGAGGTCTGCTGCTCTGTTCTCTGTTGTGTTTTGACTCTTGCTATGTCTCATGCAGTTTTCCAGATGCTCCCGCTGTGGCAACCCAGGACAGCGGACTTCTTTGTATCATTGACTCCTCAGTATAAAACTGCCTCTCCAACTCCTCAGGGGTTTTGCAGGGACAAAAGCTCACAGGGATTATTGCTTTATTAAGGACAACTTATATGACTGACATTGAAAACTGGGTATAGAGAAAGGGAGGTCTCTGCTCTCAAGAAAGCATTGACACAGTTGGAGAAACATCAGACACAAGACAAAATAGTGTTAGCTACCATTGACCAAATGCCTTTAGTGTGTTGTGGCTGTGACCATAGTGTGTCCTCATTCTACAGAACTATGCTATTGTAACCTTGTGTAGATACTGAAGCTGAGACTAGTTCAGGTGATCAGCCCAGAAGTCATACTCCTCTGCCTTGAAGTGAGATCTCTATCTCTCTTCTCTTACCTCCAGGTCAGTGACCTCATACAGCTTGTAAAGGACCTGTACACAGACAACCAGCACCTGAAGAAAACCATTTTTGATCTCTCTTCTATGGGTTTCCAGGGAAACCACAGACTTGAGTCAACAAAACAAACAGAGGTAAGAAAAAAATTGTTTATGTGCTAATTGCAGAAACAAACCCTCCCCCCCCCCTTTTTTTTTTTAAACACTGTCTGTGGGAGTACTTTGAAATTCTCTTTGCTAGAGTGGCATGTTGAGGGCCCTGTTGGTCATTGTGTCTGTCCATAGGCTTTCTCTAACTCAGATGTTCTCTTATCAGATATGTTTGATATCCTGGGATGCTGTTACTGTGGCCTAGCTCTGGTTATTTGCTGCAGATGGCAGATCTGGATGAGTAGTGGTCTCAGAATTGTTTGGAGAGTGACCATAGCTCCAGAGAGCATGGATAATGTGGATGCAGTCTTGGAATATCAGTAACTGAAAGGAAGATGTCTACTCACCCCATGTGGCCTCTTACCCTGGTCACTTCTAGGTGACACTGCTGACATTTGTCTCTTTCCCTATGTTTGTAACCTGAAGCTGTGTTGGGGGAAGGAGATATTGCCTTCCTGGAGCCTTGGCTAGCCCATTTCTCCTGTGAATGAACCTGACTCCATATGGGTATTATTATTATTTCTGAAGCTAGGGTTGTTTTTACCATGGATGCAGAGGATCTTTTGTACTAGAGTCCCTCAAGATCAAAACTGGGCTTTTCCTGGGTGGGCTTGTTTTAGCTCAGCCGGGAGTACCAGGTACCTACAGGCCTTACATCTGTGGCCACGCTATTTCTTGGGAGGGATTTATGGGTTGTCTTTTCCCACCTTCCCAGTGGGAATTGCTCAGATGCACTATATTTATGCTGTGCTTCGGCCGTCTGCTTTCTTTGAGACAGGGATTATTATTGATCTTGGCCTCCAGGGCTCCAGATAATTTTGAAAACCAAGAGCAACGGCAAGCCACTTACAGGAGAAACAAGTCTCCCAGCTTTCTTCCTCTGAGGCCGTGTTTTTAATAAGCAGCTCCTTCTTCACCAGCTCCATTTGAGCTGTAAATGCCGAGTTTTGTTTGTTCATTTGCCCTTTGAAAAAAATCTGTTAAATGTCCCATTATGTCCTTTGGAGAACAGAGGCCTTTTCCTCTGCCCACTCTAAGATCTTAATACCAGCCGATTCAGATTTGAGTCATTTGTCAGATTGCACATCAATTTGATGTTCCCTGCGAAAAGCCTTTTTCTTTATAACACAGTTCCCTTGGCTTTCCCCAGAATGGGATGGGAAGATCTGCATGGAAAGCTGGCTATTAATTTGAAACTGCAGGAGGAAAGGGAAATAGAGTGAGGTGGGATGGCAAAGAATGGAGCCTGCTGTTCCTTGGGAATGAGTGTGGGTCTCTGTCTTAGGGATTTTATTGCTCCAAAGAGACACCATGACCAGGATAACTCTTCTGAAAGAAAACATTTAATTAGGGTGGCCCACTTATAGTTCCAGATGGTGGCATGCAAGCAGATATGGTGCCGGAGTAATAGGTAAAAGTTGTTTAGAAGGCAATAGGAAGTCACTGACTCACTGGGAGGTATCCTAAGCATAGGAAACCTCAAAGCATGCCCCCACAGTGACATACTTCCTCCAACAAGGCCAAACCCACTCCAACAAATAGTGCCACTCCCTGAGTTTATGGGGGCAATAACATTCAAACTACCACAGTCTCCTTCCACAGTAAACAAGGCAGAAACAGCTAGAAATGCACATATGCCCACAGGTATCTCTGAGCCGTAGGACTTACAGAGGGGTGGGGGCAGAACATTATTTATATTTTCTTGGATACTTTAAATAAGAAAATGAGAGAGATGAAAAGGGCAAAGGAGGGAAGAGCAGAGAGGAGGAGGGATTTTAGATTGTGTTGAAATATCCTTTAATCCTGTTGCTTTAAACAGAGTAATTGACATGTCCTAACTGTACTTTCTGATTGTGCCACTTAGGTTGAAATGCAGTTTTCTTATTGTTACTAATACATAGTATTGCTTTCCATCTTACTGACGAACTGGAGTTTAATGACCTAACTCTTACTGGACACATGGATGGCTTCAAGTGATTGTTACAAATTAAATGTCTTTACAGAGGGTTTTGTTTGTCGTGTTTGTTTTTGTTTTTTGTTTGTTTGTTTGTTTTTGGTTTTTTGTTTGTTTGGTTGGTTTTTTTTTTTTTGTCTCTAGGATGTATTTCCTTAGACTGAATTCCAAGATACATTAATTATTGATGGATATAGATATGCAGTAAGCATACAATTTTTTTTTCATATGCCTTTACTCAACAATTCTGAATTTGATAATGATAGGAATAGGTTAGAGAGACCTGATAGAGTTTTTTGGTTTTTTCCCCCTTAATCAGAACCATTGAATCAGGACCAGAGGATGCACATTTCCCATATGTGGGTAGTTTATTTAGAGACCATCCATGTAACCAACAGCTACCCTGTTGTTTTAATGAGCTTAATTATAAAAGTCTCTACCAAGGTAACCCTGTTCTTTTGTATGTGTGATCCAGTTATTACTTGATGTTAGAAGAGTCACCATCATATGGGGTAATTTCAGCAGGACACAGTTAGGGTAGTGAGTGAAACTCGTGACATGCATAATGTGGGACTGACATCTCTAGATGAGGACATATGAAACGAAGGATGCTGGCAGTGCTTAGGAAGGTTAGTGGTTAGTTCACTTATTGGTTTGTTTTTTGTTGTTGTTTTTTGTTTGTTTGTTTTTTGTCATTCTTATATGTGCTTAGAAACTTGAGGATTGGCAGGACATGGAGATAGATAAAAGAGCTTAATTGAATTGAGTTCAGTTATTAGTACCGTTGTCACATTGATCAAGAAATGGACCCTGTGTGACTCTAAAGCAGTGTCTTATAAATTTTTCCATTTGGCAGCTCCTTTTCCCCTGAGGAGTTTCTACACAGTCTCAGTCATCTAGCTATACATAGCTCACAGTTTCTGGTAATAAATCATACAGAAAAGGGTTTTAAAGAAAGTCTTTGGTGTACATATAGTTTTACCATTTATTAAGGACAGAAGCAAATTTATATGCTAATGAGATGGATGTGCTTGTTTATTTTTATTTAAAGACTTAAATCTTGGCTGAATATTTATAGTGCAGGATGTATAGCATCTTCAACATTTCTCAGAGTTGATTGACATTTTGATTTTATAATATTAATTCTATGAATGTTGCTTCACATAAATATGGAGTATAAAAAACAGACCTATGTTTAGAGACCATTTCAGAAATTTTTGGACAGGGCTGGAGATATGGCTCAGCAGTTAAGGGTGTTTACTGTACTATCATGAGGACTAGAATTGGGATCCTAGTACCTATATAACAAATGGAATATTCTTAGATACCTATAATATTACTGGGCTCTGCATGCACACAGGTCCATATACCCATGCATAAATGCATTCATATGTACAGACAGACACACTGAAAATAAGCACAATAAAACAAACTTTTAAAAAATTTAAAATAAAAAAATGGCAGTTATGATTTAATTTCAAACCAAACTTCATTTAACAATTTAACAATTATTCTCTTCTTTTAAGGAGACTGCCACCAACTCAAATAGCAGTTTTTCAGATCAGGCATTACACAGTGAACCAATTTGAGGTGTGTGTGTGTGTGTGTGTGTGTGTGTGTGTGTGTGTGTGTATGTACATACATATATATTATTCATTAATTTTGGTTTTTTTTGCAAATCAGGGTTTCTCTGTCCTGGAACTCACTTTGTAGACCAGGATAACCTTCAGTTCGCTGAGATCTACCTGCTTCTGCCTCCCGAATGCTGGGTGGGGATTAAAGGCATGTGCTGTTTCCACCCAGTTAAAATATTAAATATTTTCTGAGGTTAATTCATGTGTCTGTAAGAACAGTAAAGTATATGTACAGGAATTACATGCATCCAGTAGTCTCAAATCTGAACCAAGGCATTTCAGGCAGTGTTAGTTGTTATTTTATAGTGTAATGGCATATATACTGCAAAGAGCACGTGTTGGGTGTTCAGAGTGAAAGCTGTATTGAATTTGAATGATGCAGTATAGGTAGTTGCTACTCAAAACCCTTTAGAATTTGAAAGTAAGTTTGGTTGCCATGTGTTCAGAAACCTGTGTGGTTTTTTGTTTATAGTCTAACAAATAAAGCTTACCTGAAAGTCATAGTGCAGTGCAAAGCTACCACACTAGTTAGCTATAGAGGCCAGGTAGTGGTACACACCTTTAATCCCAGCATTCAGGAGACAGAGGCAGGTGGATCCCTGTGAGTTCAAGGCCATCCTGAGCTACATGAAATTTATTCAGTCTAAAAAAGAAACAGAGCTCACACAAAGATGATCTCAGTACTTGGGATCACACTGAGACTCTTAATCTCAGGGTCATGGGTTTGAATCCCATGTTGGGTGTCAGATGTAGCAGGAATAATAAAAACTCATAGAGAGGTATTGGGGTTAAAGCTGAAGATCAGAGAAACACAATGACCAGCCACTAGGGAGTTCTCACTTCTACCACTGCTCAAACTGAAAGGGGTGATAAACTGAACCTCAGCGTGTCTGGACTGCATTGCTCCTCAGACTGCATCTCTCACTTGTCTTCTCCTGCTTTATATTCCTCGCTCTGCCCAGTCATGTCATTCCTATCTCCAGGAACATTTGAATGTTGCCAATGTTGTTGTGACCCTCACATTCAGTTATGTAACTCTTTATGGGGCACTGCAGAAGCCAGGCATGATGGTGAGCACCTGCAATGCCTGTGCTGGGGAAGTGGGGCCAGGATGGTCAGAAGTTCACAGTCATCTTCAATTCCATAGTGAGTTTGAGGTGAACTTGGCTACATGAGACCCTGGCTCAAAAGAAAAACAAATAACAACAACAAAATTTCTTATATAAATATACCCATTAAATGTAAATAACATTAATACAACATTCAGGTCATTATATAAAACTTCAAGCCATTTATTATCCATAATTTTTAAAAAGCACATTTTTTTCCTTTCTAAGTTGCTTGTTTTCTATTATATTCACAAAAAATGTAATTGAGCCATCTTAAAAATAATTATAGGCATTAATGGGGTACTGTGTATTGTTTGAATTCATATGTATAAGGTGTAATGTTTAAGCTAAGGCAAATGTACTTAGCTCACCAAACATTTTGTTATTTCTTTAAGATAAAATTCTTTCTTCTAGTTTGATATGCTGTTTTATCTGTAGGTATCTACTTTGTAGGAGCTTCCATGTTGTTCCTGTTTAACTACCCACTGTCAGGCTCTCCCAAGCCCACCCTTGTCTCCTCTTTCTTACCCTCACCAGTCCCCAGGAATACTGCTTTCTAAATTTCAAAAGACTGACTTGTTTAGATTCTACTTGAGTGAGATCATGTGGTACTCACTTGCTATCTAGACTTTGTTAACATTTCTTACCTGTCTATCATTCGCTGTCATTTTTTTTTTTTTTCAGTAACTGTAGTGGAAACTGTAAGAATCAGTGTATTTGTCTAAAATAATAAGCATATATATCTTTAACTAGCTATATATTTTAACTGCAAATTTGTACTACATTTATTTATTTTGTTTGTGTATGTGCTCTCATGTTTGCATGTGCCACAGCACAAATATGGAGGTCAGAGAACAACTTGCAGGAGTTAGTTCTGCCTTTCTACCTCATGTGGGCGGAACTCAGATTGCCCAGCTTGGTGGCAAGTGCATTTATCTACTGAACCTTCTCCCCTGCCCTTAACTAGGATATATTTTATAGTTACTTTTGCTTTTTCATGAAAGGAAGAAGCTGAAAGCCCATATTTGCTAAGTTCTTCAAGTATATGTGCCTATAAATGGAACCTAAACTCCTTTCAAGATCTCTCATGTCCCTTTGTGTCAATACCCTACCCTACTTGCTCCTCTGCTTTGTCTACTGTGTTTTAATTCTCTGTTAGACTTTAACATAATTAGAATCATAGTGAGTCAACTCTTCACTTATGATAATCTTTTTTATTTACTCATGTTGTTAGATGAGCTAATAGTTTCTTGTATCCCATTGTTTAAATGTATTCGTGTTTGTTCATTATATTGTTAGTAGACTCATGGACAGAAGGTGATAGGAACATTCATGTACCAGTCTTTTGGAACATTTTTTCTTAGTAAGTACCTAGGAGTCAATTAAATATTTTTATGCTTTTACAAACAAGTTTAGTAGCCTTGTTTGGTCTTATCTCCTAAGAATATCTGCAGGGCATGGTAGTACACACTCATAATCCCAACAGTCAGAAGGCAGAGGCAGACAGACAACACAAATTTCAGACCAGCCTGGTCTATGTACTAAGTTCCAGGCCAGACAGGGATACATAGCAAAAAAAAAAAAAAAAAAAAACAAAACAAAACAAAAAAAAAAACCAAACATAATCCCTTGTCTACAGTGCTGAGAATTCACAAAAAAGAAGCCAGTATTGAGGATTCCTCAATAGTTTTGTAAATTCTTATGTCTTAGCAAGTATATTCATAATCAGCTTGTTTCATGCTTTTGTAGCATGTGGTTTGTGTTCGGCAGATCTATTTGATCTTGTTTTTAGTTCAGATGTAGTAAACTAGAGTGTACTGGGCTTGGGAACTTTTTATAAAGTGACATTCTAGATCAGTTTGTTTTGATTTGCATTTCTTCTGAAGAACAGATTCTTCTTCTAAGAGGAAGATAATGGCTTTTAGATGGGCAGGGAGAGTTAAGATTGTGATTGACTGATTGTAGGAACTCATAAATAAAAGCCTTGGGATGGAGCCACAAGTATCCCATACACACAATTGTCCAGCAAGTGATACTGAGCTCCATGGCTTTCATATCTCCAGCTAAGTGATTTGATGTGATTTTTGGAATAGATTTGATTGATACCCTTACTTGGGCGTGGCTGCCTTGCTGCATGTCAAGAGTGTCTCTTAGTTCTACTTGGTTAATTCGTATGTCTTCTTTAACTTTTTATTGGTTCTTTGTGAATTTTATATCATATACCCCAATCCCCACTCATCCATCTGTCCCTCCATATCCACCCTCTGTCCTTGCAATCCCCCTCAAAAAAAAAAAAAAAAAAAAAAATCTAACCTTGGAAGCAGCTGTGTGTCATGGTGTGTTACCTAGTCTACCCATTTGCTCAAACAGCTTTACTTGTGAATAAGTGTTCCCTGAAATGAATCATTGGTCTGATTCGAGGCTTTAGAGGCTTCTACTACACTTAACATTGGATCCTCATGGGGAGTCCTCTCACATATCCTGTTGTTGCCCTGTGTCATGGAGATCTTGCATCTTTGGTTCTTCAGGAATAACCCTTTTAAATGTTCCAACAGTTCTCAGATGGAGTAGATGTAGGGCCTGGATCTGGTACTGAGTGGTAGCTGTGTTAGTCAGCCCGCCTGCCCTCTTTGACAGTGCCAGTAGGGCTAGCTCTCCCTCTTTGCCCAGGTAAGGTGCTGGGCCAGTTCTCCTGGCTGTGATAGCTAGCAAGAGGCAGGAGTGGCTTTCCCACATTCAAATCATTGGGACCAGCTTTCCTTCACCCACACCATCAGGGCCAGTTCTCCATCACTTTCCTTATTAGGGGCAGGGCCAGCTTACCTTAGTGCCAATACATACAAGGGGCAAGGCCACTGCTCCCACACACATACCACCAGAGCCAGCTCTTCTATGCTGCCCAGGCAGTGAGGGGTGGGGCCAGCTCTTCCATCAGCCACAGGCAGTGAGGGGTGAAGCCATCTCTCCCATGCCAATGCCACCATACTGCCTGCAAGGAAATTCATAAGACTATGACCAAAAAACTTGGGTTATTTGGAGAGTTAGGCTCTTGCTTTCCTGAGAACTTTGTATCATCCATTCTGAGGAACACACAATGCATGAACACAGGGGCTTTATAGCTTTTAAAGCATTTCAGATTCATTCAGAGTCTTTTAAATCCTTCATTTCCAAAAGTGTAAAGTTATCATCAGCAACCTGACACTCTTCTCATTAGAGATGAGGACGTTTTGTCAGCAAAATGACAGTGTTACTAGGACTGTCCATCTCACATGTGTGACATTCTAACAAGAGGTTTATGCCCTGTGCTAAATAGAAGAAGTGATGAATAATTTGGGTACACCATAAATTTCATTTACTGCTTTTTTGCTCTTTGCTATGTTCAATTCCATCAATAGCTATTTTCTAAAATCTTGTTACCTTTCTATAATCTGAAAGTGAATTTAGCAAAGGCAGGACAGTAATGGCCACAGAGAGCATGCTCAGTTTACAGCCTCACAGGAAGACCATGCAGGGTCAGGGAAAGTTGTTCTGGGGGCGGTACTCATAGCCAGTAGCTCTTGATTTCAACTAATTTTTTATCTCACGGCTTTTGCATTTTTTTCTTTGTTTTTTGTTGTTGTTGACTGATTTTTTTTTTTGAGAGAAGATATCACTAAGTTGTTCATACATATTCATGCTGAATACTTTTTTTGTTGTCATTGCAATTTTTTTCACACTAATCCATGCTCCATATAGCTTCTAGCTAGCAAGGAAGATGAAGACACAATCAAAATTGAAGCAGCTGATGAGAATCATTTCCAGAGTGACCAGCATTTGGAGCAGAGTAATGAGGTAGAAACATAGTTTATTCCTTACTCTGTCTCACCCTGTGTCCAAGTCATCTGCAATCTGGAGTTATGTGTGGTTTGTTTTCTGTTCATTTTGCCTGCATTGTGTGTCTACTTTATGCTAAGGGGCCCTAGAAAAACTGGTCTCTTTTTCTTCAGAAGTTATAAAGAGGGTGATAGAGCCAGTCATGAAACATACCTGGAGATAAGGACTAGATAGCTAGAGAACATTAAGAATTGGCTGTTGGACCTGGATAGGTATTTAAAGACCTAATTCACCTTGTTTGTTTTATGCATTAGAAACTGGGGCCTTTGAGAGGAGATGATTTAGGGCACAGATTAGGCCAGTGATGGAGGTAGGATATGAATCCTTGTGTCTATACTCTTATGAACTATCAGGTCATCTGATTGAAGTGAACCTTGATGGAACTGTGCAAATGGAGTTCTTAATTGGTCTAAATAATAAAAACCCAGAGTCAGGTATAGAAGAAAACGCTGAGAGACCAAAGAGAAGGAGTAAGCCAAAGCCATATTTACCTCATTAGCTTTCCAGCAGAAAAGAAAGTGAGTTCCTATTTCTTCCCACTTATATCCTCTGTCCACTTAGCCATCTCACTTCCTGTTTTTGCCCAGCCATCTCACTTTCTTCGCCCAGCTATCTCACTTCCTATTTGTCTGAACAGACCTCTATGGTTAGTGGAAAACACCATCTCTGATCTTCAGACAAGCTTTATTTATACAAACAAGATATCACCACAGAACTAAGTGGCTCTCTGCAATCTCTTGACCCCTGTGACTCAGCTCAGTAGAATTAACCCACCCATGTAGAATCTTCTAGTCATATTGCTAATGAGCAGTTGGGCTAAACAGCCTTCAAGTTTAAATATTGAGATGAGGTAGTATATGGATGCTGCAGGTGCGGAATTTTAGGTCTCCAAAGTATCCTTGTTCACAAACTCATCAATAGCTGGCATGGATAATTTTAGAACACAATGCAATGGAAGTGGGTGTTTTGGAATCCCATGGACCTGATTTTGAGGCATGGCTATGTCATTCCTGCCTCTGTCTTCCTGCTTAAGCTCTAATCTACCCTTCTTTATAGGGTCTCTTTGATACTGAAATCAAAAGGCATGTTGTAAGTACTCAGTAAATAATAATTTTTGCTTTTATTACTATATCCTATTTTTTTTCCTTTTTTGGAGATTGCTTATTTGATAGATTTAATAACTACATTGGTGCCAAACAAGAAACTATAAATAACAGCTCATTTGTGTGAAACGTCCATATAAAAATAATCTTAATCATATTTTTTTCTTTTTCTTTTTTTTTTTGGTGTGGAGAGATGGAGTTATGGCTGATGTGTATAATACCACTAACAGTAATAAAGTCAAGAGGACTTATTTATAGACTGGTTGAGGAAATTTACAGCTTTGGACAGGGGAGAGAGGATGCTAATTGTACCATTTTGGGACATGCCCAGAACAGGCTTTAACTACAAGTCTCTGTGGTAGTGCTCCTCTGGGAACCCCAGTGGCCCAGGAAGATGGATCTGTAAATAACATCTCCATGGGAATTAAGAACTCTCCACCCTCCTAATGAGATACATCAGCTCCCTGTTAATGAGTACATATCAGTAAAGTAATAATAATGTATGTGTCTGTGGTATAAGTGATGATGTTATATGAAACATAGGATAACTATTCAAAGCATGGTTGAGGACATTCATTCCTTGTTCTTAGGAAGAATTACCAAGGAGTGGACTCTGGGGTGGGAGAACATGCATCCATAGGTTACCTGTAGTGAGTCAGGCACCCTAACTTTATCTTATTCTGTTCTCTGAACCATATCAATATGTATGGTACTACTTTAGAGTAAGAAGATTGAGGATAAGGAAAGGGATGTCAATGTCTCCCTTCCTTAACATGAGTTTGAGTGTATGGACTTACAGGCCTGCAACCTCCCTTTCTTTTCTTGTCCTTGCCTGTGGACCAGTCCACACTTATATCCCTTTCTTCTACACCTATACTTCCCATTCTCCATATACCTGTTTGACCAAACACTTTCATTTGCAGATCATGGAGGACTATGCCAAGGGTGGCTGCAAAAATGGATATTTAAAGCACATGGATTCCATTATTTCAGCCCATGATGGGCCCCATACACCTGGTATCCCTGGAGACCAGAGTCTTGAAGATGAACTCCTGGGCCTGCTTGGTACTTTCTTCCAAAAGAAGGCCACACTATCACTGGAATCCAGGTAGCCATGGGCCCAGGTACCTGTTTGTTTGAGGGGGAATATGCTCATTTTGCTAAATGGACTCAGATGGTTGTGTGCAGTATACCTGAGAGCTCCTGAAATGGCTGGGAGGAATCTTGCCAGTCATGCAATTAAGTAATTAGGCTGCGTGCTAGTGACTGTGAGGGGACTTGAGCAGAGCCACATTACAAAGAGGCAAGAGAAAGCTTTCCCTCAAAATTATTCCTGCGAGTCCCAGAAAGCTGCCTGGCTGTCAAGAGCTAGAGGAGTCAGCCCTCCTGGCATCTCCTCTGGTTTTGGCATCAGCTTAAAAACACCATTGCAGTCTCAACTCTGCTGTTTTATGCTGAGCTTGAACTAAATTCTTTCCTCACTATATCTGCTGGGAGTTGTTCCTGTATGGAAATACTATGAGTTGTTTTCCTCACAGAAAGGAGGAGAAGCATTAGGTATGTTTGTGTTTTTGTAAACTAGTCCTTTATGAGCTATTTCCCCTTTCATATTCCTTCTAGGCCATCCGTGGCAGCTGCCTGGGTTTTGAAGCCAAGCAGAGATGTGCTGCCTCTTAGTACCTCAGTTTCTCTGACTACTTCTCAGGGTTGCTGGGTGGACAAATGGAAAAATATTGAGGAAAAATGGCTAGTATGTAGTATATTTGAATAAAACCTCTCAGTTCTGCTACAGGCAGAAAAACTACTGCTTTGACTCTTGCCAAGAACCAGACGCTCTAGTCTTCCTTACATCATTGTAGTACTAAGACTTGTGGGACTCTTCTGATGATAAGAAGATGAAAGCATTCTGGTTTGGGGTAGCTTGGTGAGGCCCAACCTCTAAATCCCTGATACCTACCATTTTCTGATCATGAGTGCCCTGGAAAGAAATATCCAGTTCATCTTCAAAGGGAATTGGAGAATCATAATTGGTACTCAACACTAGAGTTTCTGGAGCCTCTAAATACCAACCTTTTGAAGTTTGATGTAGAAGGTGTCACTGTTCCCCAGCCATGTAGGACCACATGGGAGTGCTCTTGGATGCTGTGAGTTGGGGACCATGGTGAGAACAAGGTAGGTTAAGGAGATGTGTGCTTGCTTCTAGTAGACATACTTTTCTACTCCAGCTAGCTGTCAGAAAAGCATGTCAACACTCATTCTAAGTCTTCAAAATTGGTATTCTTACTCTTGTGAGTTGTAAAAATTCCAGCCTAATCATGGTTGTAGAAAAAGCCCTTTATGAGCCAGGACTGAAAGTAAACCTGTGATGTTTATACTTGCCTTCCCAGCCACTAGCAGCTACAACCTGTGTTAGAAAAAACAGCCTTACTCTGCCTAACTTTCATTTCTGAGCACTGTTCTTCCCTGTGCACTACTGAATCCATGATGGTTCGGTCATGAGCCTGACTTGTACATGCTCTAGACCAGGCCCTGGATAGCTTCTTTATAGACTCAGCTTTACATGCCATGGCCAGTGTTCTTTTCCCAGAGATGGGGCCGGGGGAGAACGGGTAACACTTGTGGACCCAGCATTTTCTGAGCCATTGGAGAATTTTCTGGGGGTGGGGGAATGGGAGATATTCAGTATTCTCCTTGGTCAGGGAAATACTAATCTTATGCCTAGATTTTCTTTCTAGAAATGAGATGTTTTTGTTGCTCTGGAAAAAAGAAAGAAAAATTCTTTGAACAGAACCCCTATCTAGCTCTGTCATTCAGAACTGTGCCATCTGTGTCTTGATTTCTTCACACCTAGAGATAATGGTAATTATCTCCTAGGAATCTTTAAAAGATAAAATAAAATAATGGATCCTCATCAGTACTAAGTAAAGTTTTGTGACTATTGCTGTGTAAGTCTTATATTGCAAGGGTGAGTGTGCCAGTGAGTTTGATGATTGCCTGGGCTACATAGTAAGACCTTGCCAATTAATTCTACCCTTTGCCACTCAGCCCAGATAAGATGTTATGAATACGATATGCAGGTGTAGCAACCATCTAATGATGTGTGTCCCTATTCATTACTGAGCCAGGGTCTGATGACCCCAGTGCAAAACTTTGACAGACTTAAACCTAAGACATCCTCTCAGCCTTTAAGACTTTTTTCTTTCCAGCCATCCATCTGGAGGGACTGTCAGATTGGAGAGACTGCAGAGTGGCTAACTGCACCTATCTGCTAGAATGGAACAGGAAATGGCTCCTTAGTTGTCATGCACTTCTCCATGTGAGCAGCTCACTTTGATGGTGGACTGAGAGGTCCAGGGCAGCCTGCCTTGTGGAATGGACATTGCTTCCTTCTTCTAATTCCTTGGCATTCACCTTGTATGGATTTCTAGTACTCTCCTTATCTGTTTCCTGTTCACCCTCTAAAATCATGATTCAGAATTTCTTCATCAAAATATTTGGCCTCTGTTTTCAGTGTAAAGTGCTATTTGATAGCTGAGAAATTGTAAAAATGTGAAGGAGGGAGTACTAGGTGTGCTTAAGAATTGTTGAAAGGCCCACATAATCTTGAGTTCCAGTTGACTACAGAAGAGGGCCTAATTCCCTAGATGAAGTCTGATTCTGTAGCTATTGAGAGATAGGTATAGAGCCACCAGAAAGGTCTAAAAGATGGCATTGGAGAAGTGGCCAAATGGATCAGGCTAGGGTTAGGTTGCCAGGGAGCAGACTGGGCCAGTATTTGAAGGTGCATTTTATAGTTCAGAGGTAATAGACACAGCCCTAGAAGCCCCGGGATCTCCCTGGTGATCCCGTGTTCACCTCCAAACAGGCTGCTTTCTTTTCAGCCCAAGCAGTCCATCATTTTCTCCAGATCATTGCAGCATCCTCTTCCCATTTGAGTATTGCACTGCTTCTGGCAGTGATTTAAAACTGCAGTGTGTAATTTTACCTAGTTGTGCATTTTCACTGTGTGTCTGGGTAACCCACTTCTTAGCTGTTTGTGCTGTTCTTGACTTGCCTTCTCTGTACAGGTCATCCTGCCCATCTTAGTACTGAGAACAAGTCTTGGAGTAGCCTTTTTTTCAGGACTTTGGCACATGCTGACCCAGCTTAACTTACAGTTGTACTTTTTTCTTCCTATTCCCTGAGACTTAGGTTAAGCCTAATCATCTGTTGCACCCCAGCCTTGGCTAACTGCGCATATTCGCTGTGTTTCTAGGGTCTGTGTGGCTCGCACTTACTATCATTGAACTATTTTGCATGTTCTCTTCTCTTTAGCCCACTGACTGATGACCTCATTTCATTTATCACAAAACAGATAGAAACACTCAACATTTGAGCCACTATTTGACTGTCACCCACAAACTCTGTCTTTACTGTGGAAGAATAGACCTATCCCTCCTGCTATCCAAGAATAGCCCTCCCCTTGTCACTTCACTTCTGACCTCCTAGCTCCCTGCCTCTTCTGAGTCATCATTTTCCCCTTCTTTTCTGAGTCATTTTCATAAGCATAAGACTCACCTCGTATTAGGCATTTAGGAAGAGTGCCCCTTCCCTTCTGATTTCACATCCATTTCAGCTACTATCCAATTTCTTTATTCCCATTCAAGGCAAAAGTTTTCAAAAGAATTGCTGATATTCACAGCTTCCACTGTTTCCCATTCTCTACCCCTGTCATAAGAAACTTTGCCCCATTTATCAAGTCAGAAACAGCATCTAAACTGTGAAGTCCCTTGGCTAGCCTTTCTGCAACAGCTGGCCCTTCTCTCTGGCCTCCTGTTTCTTTTCACCTCCTGCTCCCCTCCCCACCCTTTGTTAAAAGATATTGGTGGATCCCAGAGCCTTGTTCTCAGCCCTTCTTTCTTTGTTCCACCACTCCTCCCTGCCATTGGAATGGGCTATGTGGCTCTGGTTTCCGTGTAAAGGTCCTAACAGCCAGCTCTGTGCTGAACACCTCCTCCTGCTTGTGGCTCAGACATTTCAGTGCTGATCTAAGACCCACATTATCCACTCCACTGCTTCTGCTTCTCCAGTCTTTGTTGTGTTTGTGTCCTTCATTGCCTAATAGCTTTAGCCTGGAATGCAAGCTCCTCAGTCCCTAAAACCCATAGTGAGTCCTTACAGTCACTTCTCAGATTATAGCCCTAATTCAGTCCCTTCTCATGTCCACCCTCAACTTCTCATTGCCAACATCTCTTGTTTGGACTCCTACAACTATGCTGCCTTCTTATTTACCCTCCATTCCCATTTCTTCTCTGTAGTCCATTCTCCATAGAGTAGCCAGGGTCTTTTTAAAACTTAAATCAGGTTACATCTCTTCTATGTTAACACCTTTCAGTGGATTCTCACTGTCACAGTCAGATCAGAGCTTCTTGACCCAACGTCTGCCATTTCTCTATCTTCATCATCCACACTTTGTGTTTGCTGGGTTGCAACCACACTGACCAAGCTTGTTCTTATCAGAGGGGCTTCTAATAGCTAGTGTTCCTTCTATGATAGACTCACCCAAATGTGCAGTAGGCAGAGCCTTGGTTGGAAGTCAGCTCGGTGGAGAAGTTCTTCCTGACCACTGGGTTAAAAGAGAATACCATTTGTATGCTTTCAGATTCCATCTCTCCTTCCCTCTCATTCATAATACTTACATTATAATATAAGTATCGTGCACTGACTTAGCTAACAAGGTGTGCACAGCTGTGTGTCTGTTACTGACTTAATGGCATGTCCGTTCCTCTTTGGAAGAGTGGAACTTTTCCAGTCAGTGTTTTATTGATACACAGATAGTTGAACTTTCCACAGGGCAGCAAAGGTTAAATTTGGGAAACCAGAAAGAATTAGAGCTCCTTTGGAGTCAGAAAGGCCTGGATTTTAATCTTTGCTCTGCCACTTGGCTAGGAGCTTGTTTCTCTTTGAGCCTGTTTCTTCATCTGGTCTCACAGCCTGTGAGGATGTTGTGTATTTTAAGGACCTGACACATGGCAAGTGCTTAGTAAATGTCAGTGCCTTCCCTTATATCTTTTGCTTGGTCCAGATGCTCAGGAGGGGTATTGAAGCTCCACTTTGGCTTCTGATGAGACCCTTGGACCACTCCAATCTAAAGGTCCTGGCTACAGAGACAGCTTAATGAATTCACTAGTCCAGCCAAGCAACACTTGAAATACTTGATTTAATAGCCACCACTTTAGTACATTACATTGGCCTCCTTTACCACTGTTTACTATCCATTTATAAAGACTTTCCCTTAGGTTTTATTGTGTGTTGTTTGGTGGTGAGTGATGGTCCTCTTTTGGCTAGCTGACTAGAAATTGTCATTATTTCTTACCTATATGAAGAAAGGAAAGGAAAAAAATTAAAGTTGAGGTTTATTGCAGCTTAAGGTGGTCTGTGTAGTCTAAATGACTTGATACAGCTTACATTTTGCTTTTAATTTTTAAAATTTGAATTGAGTTCACTTCCTTAATCTAGACCATGGGACTCTGGAATTGAGTTGGTCCTTACTTGCTGTCTCCAGAGGGTGTGTTGAGAAGATGGGCCTGGGTACTGCCATTTTTCATGATGGCTGACATCAGAGGGAGGGTAGGCTCAATATGTCTGTCTCACAAGGTTTCTTGAAGTAAAACAATGAGGAGAAACTGAATAGAAAAAGGCAAGAGGCATAACACAAAGGCTTTTCTGTGACTGTATGAGCTCACCTCTACCTGAGTGGTCCTTCTAGAAGGCAGTCACACTCCTAGGCCAACCCTTTCCTGGAGCTTTTTCTCAATTCTCTAGCTATGTTACCGCTGCTCCACGTTCAGTGATTTAAACTTTATTTTTGGGCATGGGGACTGGAGAGATGGCTCAGAAGTTAAGAGCACTTGCTGCTGCTCTTACAGAAAACCTGTTTGGTTTCCAGCACCCACGTGGCAGTTCAGAACTACAGTTCCAGAGGATCTCACACTCTCCTCTGGCTTCAGCAGGGACTGCATGCACTTGCTGCATAGACATAAAATAAAATTAAACACACAAAAATGAAAATAAATCTTAAATGTTTTTCTGAACTCTTGAGTAGATTACTTTCCTTGCATATGAATTTCCTGATTTCTTAGGCCTTTTTGATATATTCATATGTATATGGTGTATGGTGCATGTATGTGATAGGTGTGTGTGTACCTAGAGGCACACAAGTGGAGCACAAAGTAAAATGCCATGTGCTTTCCTCTGTTACTGTCTGCCTTACTGCTCTGAGACAAAGGCCTCTCACTGAACTGCAAGCTCACCTTTTCAGTTACTGTGGCTGACAATGAGCTCTTGACATAGTACACCTATCTGTGTTCTCCAATGCTTGAATTACAGGCCCACAAATTCATGCCTCAGTTCTTTTCATGGGTACAAAACACAAGCTTTCTTATTTAATAAGCTATTTTGCCTGCTTGATTGTTGTCTGTTTAAAAAGAGGATTTTACATGTAAGTTTGGTTTGTGTCTGTTAACCGCCCACACCTTTAGCCTCCTAGCATAAGAATACTGAAGCTGTCTCAGCTTGGCCCTTTGGGGCCTATAACATCTGTCAAATTTCATTTCTGCCCTGAGGGTGAATTTGTGTTTCTGTTGTTGCTCTGCCCCCTAAATTCAGGCTGTTTGTTCTTTGGGATCTTTGGCTTTTAGTCCTGTGGTAGTGCTCTTTTTTGTTATGTGTACCTGCTGTCATTTCTGTGAGTGGACGAGAGTGAAAGGAACACTAGTGTGATTACTCTACCTTCTTGGCAGGAAGTCTCCCTTTTGCACAGTAGCTCTTCACTTTTTTAAAAGCCCATGTGTGAAGAGGCCTGTCCTTTCCTCGGTATCATGTGTGGAATGTGAGACTAAATGTGTCCCTTGCCTACTTCCCAACCTTACTCTTTTCTTCACCACACAGTGACATGACTGGTCATCTCAGTGTCACGCTTGCACCACTATTCAGTTCCCTTGTTTTTCCTACTTTGCTTTATGGATTTGTCACTTACTTACAGACCCCTTTTTAGCATCAGTTTACATCTTTGCTGTAGCCCTTGTGCCAGTATAGTGTCCAGCATACAATGAAGTCTTCCAGCATGTGCCATACCAGAACCATCCTTAGTACTTCCCATGCTGGCTTTACTCCAGGTCCCTGAAAAGCAGAGCCAGAGACTCAGACTTATGCATACAGGAGCAGGAAGCCAGTGAAGATGGTATGGTTGGTCTGAGCTGTACTCTCTGGTGGGCAGTATAGCTGGGCCTCTGTCCCCAGGATGGAAGCTAGGACATTCATAGTATGGCTCTCAGCCCAGAGATGTCAGCTCTCTTACCACTTCACCCTGTCTTGCTGGCTGACTCAGCTTTGGAAAGAGCCCCAGGGCAATAGAAAAGCACAGGGTGCTTCAAGTGGGACCTGCTGTGTCTACAGAAACTGTCCACACAGCTGTAGCTACTGTCAGAGCTGGGGTAAGGACACATAGCAAGGGACATTGAAGAACACCTGCTATCAGGATGCTATCTATTTTAATCGTTGTTGCTCCTTTAGTTTTCCTATTCTGTGGAAGGAGACTTTACCTTCCTGTCAAAGAATCACGTAGAGTTTGGAGCCATTTAAGTTGCTTATATATTTATTCACTTATTTATTTGAATTTATTTTACTTTCTGTGCCAGGGGTCAAACTGAGAGCCTTTCACTTGCTAACCAAATTCTCTGTGTCTAAAGAACACATTAAACCCCTAAAGCCATTTTATTTGTCATTGTCCCAGTTTTCTTTCTATTGTTGTGTCCAAAAGCTTCTTGGGGAGGAGGGTATTTATTTGGTTTATCGGTTATAGTTCATCATCAGAGGAAGCAAGGCAGGAACTGAAGTAGAGACCATAAAGTAATGCTGCTTACTGGCTTGCTCAGGCTGCTTTCTTATACACTCTGGGATTGCTGCCCAGGGATGGCATTGCCATCAGTGGCCTGAGTCCCTCTGTATCAGTCAATCAAGAAAATGTCCCACAGGCCTGACTACAGGCCAGTCTGAAGATGCATGTTCTCAATTGAGATCCCTCTTCTCAAATGATGCTTGATTGTGTCAATTTGATAGAAAACCAACTAGCACAGCCTTCAAAGCTGTGCACTTTGTGCTCTATCTGAGTGCTTGTTAATGAAGCATCCCTTCATTAATATCTGCTTATTGAGCACCTGTTATACAGCAAGATGGATCAGGTCACCCATGCACAATTCATCCAAAGCCATACTTGAATACTGAACATAGGAATGGGACCAATGTCATAGATTGGAGCACCCTGTAATTACCATGGGCACCCTGTGATCCCATTTGCTCCTTCCTAGAGCAGCCCCTTTACGTGTATCCATGTGGTCAACTTAACTGGCTTTGTATCTGTGTGACACCCATGAACTAAACAGGGTAACAATCGCTTTGTCTGGGTATTGTGAGGTTGCACAAGGTCAAATGTTTGTCACGGTTCCCAGCATATTTGGAAATTCACAATGTTTATTGTAGGTGGAATCTGGAAAGGATTGGTGGGGGAAAACTTGAGTGGCTGGGTTGTCAAGGAAGCTGAAGCTGGAGGCTGATATCCTACTGTCTTCTTTTTGAAGAAACAGGCCGGATCTTCTGAAAGCACTTGGTGCCTTGCTTTTGGACCGAATATTCTTGGCAGAGCAGGAGCTTCCTGGAGATCACCTTGATAGTAAAGCTAAGAAGGCACTGCAGCAAGTCGCTATTCAGTTGAAGGATGAACTTGGCTATTCTTTCCCAGACAACTCATTCTCCAAGTCACACAATGAACTCAGGTCAACATGGGGGCTAATAAAGAAAGGTGATGAAGCCAAAGTGGAGCAAACTGTCACCATAGAGGACACTCCCTGTGGATTCGAATCTGAAGGGACAAGAGAAGCTTGGGAAGAAAAACCGGAAGAGGCTATTTTCAGCACTGACCCTGAGTCAGAGGCCTTGTCTCAGATGCCAGGGCTAGAGGCTACACCCCACTCATTTTCCAGTGCAGTCAACAAGGTAAGGTTTTTTTTTTTTTTTTTTTTTTTTTTATTAATTATGTATTTACTTTAAAGAACAACAACAAAGGTTTAAAAAAATTACCTTCAATGCCACCATATTTTCTGTTTCTGTGAAAGCCAAGTCTGGCAGTTCCCTTTTCCTGTGTTGTCCCCAGCCTCCATCTGTAGGCCTCTCCTTCCACTTTTTACCCTGGCCCCAGGCCAATATTATTTGCTTTTGTGTTTTCACTAGATAAAGCACACATGGAATTCTGTTTATCTGGCAGCAGCTTTCTCTTTGGTTTTATGAACTAGGATGTTTCCCCATGATGGCTGCTTAAGATTCCATTGGATCAGAGTTTATACAGTTCTTATCTATTGAAGGGCATTTGCCTTTGCACATTGCAGCAAAATGGTGACAACTCAATTTTAGAGAATGAGAGCCTAGCTTCTGTTTTAGGGACTTTGTGTGGAAGACATCATTCCAAGGGCTTTATTTCTATTAGATGTAAGATTCTGAGTGCTCAGGGTTAGCCAGCCTAAAATAAAGGGCCTAGGCTGGGGCTCCCACTCTATCTGCCTGCAAGACCATCCTTGTTCCCTGCCAAGCTGCCCTCCAGCCACAGTAGCCCAAAATGGAGAGGTCTGGTTTGGCTGAGTGAATGTGTGTGGTTTTCTCTCTGAGCTGCTCTGTAAGCTGTAAGCACAGTCACACCAGCCAGATGATTAAGAATCAGACTTTCTTGGCTGTGCATAATTGGACCTGTATTACAGTCCTTTGGGAATAAGGGTTGGGATTGAGACTCTGTGTAACAGAGATGTTTTCTGGTAGAGAAGAAAGAGGTCATGATTCTGATACCTTTAGTGAAAGCTGGGGGATGCTTGCTTCTGATGGCTGTTTTATAGCAATAGAAACCCACTGTACACACTGCTTCACAGCATCAGAATGGGGAATTAAGTTTATTTTCTGACCACTAAATTACTGCTTTTGTGCCTACCAAACAGAGTTAGATATATCATTAGCAAAATTGCTTTTGATTGTTTTAAATTATGCACCAAAACTGTAATTTCTAGAAAAGGGTTTTCTAAAGATATCAGTAGAGACTAAAACAAAAAAATACATATACTGCCATTATATTAATGGTACTCAAAATGCAAATTTGTTCAATTTGGCTAGAATAGAATTGCTCTTGTTTGCCCCAGCTCCTTCAATTTGTACCTGTGTTTTAGGAAAACTGGGTAGGTTTATTATTCTTTTCCTTTTTTGTTTGCTTGTTTGCTTTTTTGCTGTTATATCGTAGATGCTACCCTGTATTCAAGAAATTGGATAATTGAATAGACTTATTTTTTTTCAAATATATTAATTTTATTTTAAATAAAACTATCTTTGCCTTTTTTTCAAAACAAGGAAAATTTTATCCATTTACTTGTGTTTACCATCTGCTCTATGTACCAAGGACTGTGCTGAGTTCCCTATGTTATCTTAATTATTTTCTTTCATTGTACATAGGAAGAAACATATTTCCACAAAACTTAGAAAACTGTCCACAGTGCCTCAGCTGGCAAGTGGAAAGGGATAGTTGTGTGCTTGGCTTCAGAGGAAGGCAGTCATTGGCTTCCTTTGTGGTTTTGGTAGTGACAGAATTAGTAATTCAGTGACTTAAGCCAGAACTGTGGTATCTAGTTAAAAAGCACATTACTGCAGCTTAAGGATGAGGCAGAGACCAGGTAGCCTGATGGTTACGTGGTTATAGTGGACTTTATAGACACACTTGTGCTTGTATCAGGCCTGGCTGCCCACCTGACCTCTCTCAGTACTTTGAATGGGATCAGTGCAACTCAGATTCCCTGGCTATATGGAAACACAATGAGGTAAGAATGTAAGTGCCTTGGGCAGCATGGATATGTGGCAGGAGCCCAGAACATGTGAAATCCATTCCTAAGGTCTTACAGCCTATCATTAATGGTAGCAATGGTAGGTGGGGCTATTCCAGTCCACATGACAGCATTTTATGTAGTGCTATTTCAGAACTCATGTTAGCCTGGCTGATGGCAGTCTTCCAGCTTCATATAGGCTTTGGCATTTGTGCACTTCAGATCTCTTCTTCCCTGCCGTATGGCACACAGATTACAGATTTGGGCCCAAGAAGAAAGATTGATGGAGACCTTGGACCAAGAAATTGACTGTTATTTCCCCATCCTCTACAGAGGCATTTATCTCCTCCCAAGTGGTTCCTTTCACTTCCTCAGACTGCCCTTGTCCTTGAACGTTTTCTCTTCTCTTCCTTGGAACTCCAGGACAGAAAACATCTCACTTTTCCTAACAGCCTTGGAATCCGAAGAGCTGGTTTGATCACGAGCCTGCTTGCCTGCCTTATGGTATTGGAGTAGCTGTTTGACATCTGGGTTCTATGAGAGCAAGCATAATAGATTGAACATTTCCATAATTCCCTAAGCAAATGCTGTTCTCCTTAGTAGTCAAACCAGTTTCTCACCTGCCTATCCCAAGTGCTAAGCAGCCATTAATCTACCTCCTGGTCTCAGACTTTTTCTATAGTAGCATTCTGCACCACATGACTAGCTTTTCCACTTAATATAATGCTTTCAGAGTTCATTCATATTGCGGCAGAGTTCATTCATATTTTTCTTTATCACTACATAGCATTCTTGGGTATGACTATTGCACATTTTATTTAGGATATTATGTATCTTGTTACTCATGCAGATGTTTGTGCCGACAGGTGTTCTTACCTACCTTGAGTAGTACACAGGAGTAAAATAGATGGTCCATATGGTTACTCTCTGTTTAGCCATTTTGAGGCACTTCCGACTTAGTGGCTGTGCCATTTTACCTTCCTTCCAGCAGTGTATGAGGCTTCCAGTTCCACCACTTCCTGTGGTAACATTTGGTACCATCACTGACTGTGGCTTCCCTAGTGGGAATGGAAAGGCATGGGTCTATTCTTTTTGAGATTTGAGATTTCAGTTGCATTTCTCAGATGGCCAGTGATGCTGACCATCCTCCCATGTGCTTCTTAGCCCTGTGTTGTCTCCTCCAGAGACATGCCTGCCGGGTCTCTTTACTATTTTTTAATCAGCCCATTATATTTCACTATTTTTGAGTTGTAGTACTTTACATATTCTAATTTTGAGTTGCTCTTCTCATTTTGTAGTATGTTTGAAATTCGACAGTCTCATCTGGAATCTACTTGGAACCTATGATAAGTGTGATAAAGATATGCAGAGAATAAAGCCCTGGGCCTCACATTCAGGTGTGAAGAGAGACAGTGAATATGGATTTTCTTAGTCATTAAATTGATGCTCATGTGTCTGGAGAAAATGTCTGGGGACACTGAGTATGTAACAGGAAGCTTTGGCTTAGACTCAAAAGTCAAGGGCTTGTTCTCTTGAGGATGGCAAATTTGAACTGTCCTGATGAATGGCTTAGTATGGAAGTGGACATGAGCAAGAATTTGTGTTCTAGACAGAGCATTTGCTAAAGCCTTGATGTGCAAGAAGCATGGCATTTTAAGGTTAGTGTGACCAGAGTAGGCTAAAGTGGGGACAGATAGTGACTTAGACTTTGGGTCATGCTGTACATTGTTTGCTCAGGTATGAACATTGACCTTTGGCTTAAAATAACCAAGAGACTGCTATGCTTTTAAGCAACAAGGAATAATCAATTTGCCTTTTTGTGGCAGCATGGAGTGGATTAGATATTGAAAATGAATATTACACTGCCCGGGAAGCTGCCTAGGTAGTGCTAGAGTAAGATGAGGAGAGTTGGGAGAAGGGAAGTACCTTACGAATTGTACTTACTGGAGTCTGCTGAGCAATGGAAGGGAGTGATGATAATAAAGAGTTTTATAAATATTCTTAGCTTTCCGGATGGTGTAGTGAATAGTTGAGTATACTAGTTGTGCTGGGAACCTGCTGAGAAGTTGATGGCCTATAAAGCTTTTAACTAGGTTAGGCAGCTTGGAAGCTCTGAGTTTGAGAAATACATAAGCAACCCAGTCAGTGGCTGCTTAAGAAAGGGACTAGCAAGAATGTAAGTCAGATGGTCTCACAATAGGAATGGTGAAAAATGAGGAAACAGATAAAAACAAAAATAAAAACATTTCCTAGAAGACTGTGATAAACATGGGATGCCCATATTTAGCATATTGGAATGATCTGAAGAGACTATGGGCCAGGGCCTAGAGGATGTAAAGAAGGGCCCTTGACAGTGTGTATATGTGTGTGTGGGGGGGGGGGAGGGGGGTATCTGCCAAGATCTATGTTCTTTTTTTAGAGATGGACAGAGATGCTATTATAAGACTAGAGGTGTGGGTGAGCAGTTTGAAACCTATTTTAACAACAACAACAAAATGTTGCCCATGAAACAAAACAATGCACGTTTTAAGTAAGCATATTCAGTACTATACATGTGTGTTTCCAGGATGCTGAGAAGACGGGTTTGCTGATCCAATTAAAAACATCTGAGTTATTGGAAAACATGTGTGATCATCCTGCCTCCCCAGAGGTGGTGGCTCAGCTCCAGGGCCAGATTCTAGAGCTACAAAGGGAGCTGAAGGAGTGTAAAACACACAATAAGCAACTCCATGACAAGCTGCTTCTTGCAGAGGCAATGATGGAGGGGATGGCAATACCTAACCCAGCGCTGCTTAATGGTAAGCATTAAGAAAATGTGTTATCCATGAGCTAGGTGAGCAGCCCACAGAACTATCTAAAATATTGTTCCTATTGTTAATTTTAACTCCTGAAAAATGCACGGTGGGTAACTGTGAGAAGGGAAACAAATCAATTTGCTCCTTTTTAAATTCTGGTGTCTAGACTAGTATAATTTGTAGTATTCTTACATGATGGAGGTAAGGGTCTCTGCTACATTCCTTTGGAATTATGTGTAGATACCTTGATTTGAATCTTCAGTTTTTAGACTAGCTCCTAGGGCTGTGAGAGAATTAACAGGTGGCAGTACAGTTTGTAGGTAATGGTCTTCTTTGCAGAGTTATCTGGCTAACCTGAGGCTGACCTCAGGTGCTACCGACTTTCTTCTGTATGCATAACTCACTTCCCTACTCATGGTCCTTCTGGGACCTGTGGATTAAAATATACCCAAGTATGTGGAATTCAAAGATGTGGGCAAAACATATCAGACACCTGAAATAGGTGTCTCCTAGTTCAGTACAGTAGTATTTAAAGATTGCAGATAACCAATATGGTGGTTGCAACCACTTCTGATTGCATGCCTATCACGTTGTGGGACTCTCTGCTCCAACACCATGTCTGCCTGCATGCCACCTTGCTGCACCATGATAATAATGGACTAAACCTCTGAAACTGTAAGCCAGCCAACACAAATGTTTTTCCTTGGTCATGGTGTCTCTTCACAGCAATAGAAACCCTAACTAAGACAGAAGTTGGTACCAAGGACAGGTGTATTGCTGTGAAATATCAGACCATGTTTTTGTTTGGAAGAATTTGAACTTTGGTACTTTGTGTTAGGAAAGAAGTAGAATGCTTCAAGTGCTGCTTAATGGGTCATATTACTAGGAGCATGGAATATGGTGGTGCTAAGATTTATTTGAACTGTCAGAGGTTGGTTCAAGATGTTTTAGAGAAGAGTTTTAATGTGTTCCCTAGAAATTGTTCTTGTGATATTTTGGTGAAGAATGTGACTGTTCTTTACCCTAGTCTGAAAAGTTTGGCTGAGGCTAAAATGAAGAGTTTTGGATTAAATCCCTTGACAAAGTAAATCTCAAAACAGCCCAGTATAAACTCTGTTATCTGGTTACTAGTGTTAACTCTAATGAAGATATATAATCAGAAGTAGCAAGCTGAGCAAAGAAAAATACAAAATATAAAATTTGAGGAGAAAAGCAGCATTGGAAAGTGGAACGGAGGTAAAGTAAACCCTGTGTTCAAGGAAATAAGCAGATTAACAAGTGGGATAAAGGGAGTGGTGACCTCAAGACAACATCCCACCCAAGTTTCCAACTTGTGAAAAGAAATTAAAGATAAGCTTAGAGCCAGGTGTGATGGGACATACCTTTAATCCCAACACTGGGAAGGCAAAGGCTAGAAGATCTCTTTTGAGTTTTAGGTCAGCCTGGTCTGCAGATCTAGTTCCAGAATTACCAAGTTTAGGTAGTGAAGATGACCGTCAAAAATGGAAAGCTAGTGAAGATACTGATCAAGGGGGCCATGCTTACCCAGTAAGCAGCAGAACTTGGCAAACTTTAGCCACATGGTCCTGGCTTTAAGGATAGAAGAAAGAACTAAGGAAAGTCACTGAGGCCAGGCATGTGTCAAGGTTGTTCCTAAATGGAGGCCTACAGAAGTCACTTTTGTGAAGCTATGAAGTTGAATCCCGGATTGTCTTGGAGACTCCAAGATGTTGGAGATGCTAGAGCCATAGGATAGTTGCTGAGGAAAGCTGATAACAGGGAGTAGAACCAGCCCAAGAGAAAGAAGTGTGTTGCACTCACCAAAGCTGAAAGGAATTGGAGATCTGAAGAGCGCTTGACATCAAACATGGACATGAAGAATTTGGAGTTTGCCTAGCTGGGTTTCAAACTTGCTTTGGTTCAGTATTTCCCCGCTTTGCTCCCTTCCCTTTTGGAATGATAATGTATATATCCTGTGCCATTATATGTTGGAAATATGTGATCTGTTTTTTGATTTTGATTTTACAGGGGATTACAGTAAAGAGATTACATGAATCTCAGAAGAGACTTTGAACTTTAGACTTTTGAATACATTTGAGACTGTAACATAGACTATGGGAACTCTTGAAGTTGGACTGAGTGTATTTTTGTATTATGATATAGCTACAAGCTTTGGGAGCCAAGGAGTAGAATGTGCTGGTTTGAAAGAAAATGGCCCCTTAAGGTAGTGGCTCTATTAGGAGGTGTGGCATTGTTGGAGTATCTATTACCTTCTTGGAGGAAGTTTGTCACTGTGGGGGTACGTTTTGAAGTTCCCTATGCTCAAGATACCGTCCAATGTCTCAGACCACTCCCTATTGCTTTTAGGTAAAGATGTAAGAGCTCTCTGCTCCTGTTCCAGCACCATGTCTGCCTGCATGTTGCCTGGCTTCCAGCCATGATGATAATGGACTAAATCCTGTGTGCCAATCTGTTCAAGGCTCTGTGGTGATAGGAGTACAAAACAGATGAACTCTGTTTCCAGCTTATGTTCTTGAGAGAGAGAGAGAGAGAGAGAGAGAGAGAGAGAGAGAGAGAGTGAAAGCAAGCTGCTAGTATATAATGCAAGGCCTGTGAAAAGTGTGGCAGAAAAAAATTTAGCAGGATGAGGGAATGAGGAGTGAATAGAGTTCACTAATACTCATGAATGTTAGAATGCTCTATGACAAGGTGGAATTTGGTTGGAAACTGGAAGCAGTTAGCATGCTCATCAGCCTAGGAACAAGGGCAAAGGCCTTGATATTATTTTACACTTGAAAACTTGTGTGTGGAGTAGGGACACCAGTTAGATGGTTGGTGTGCATTGCATAGGAGAGAGGCAGAGATGTGGAAGATGAGGTCAGTGAGCAGCAGACCAGGTATGCTATCAGACCATTCTGAGACTTCATCTTCACAAGAATAAAACTGTTGGAGGCTTTTGAGCCATTCAGTGACATGATCTGCCTTAGAACAGGAGTTGCCTGTGGTCAAATCAAGCTTTCTGCTTGCTTTTGTGATTTAAGCTTATTGATAACCAGCCCCATTCATTCACATGTCATCTGTAACTTTTATTATGAAGTAGAGTTAAAGGTATGTTAGAGACACTAAAGTCTAAAAATGTATCATTTGTCTTTTTGAAGGCAACAGGCCAACTTGTGTTTTAAAGGGATAACTTCCTTTACATGCTATTAGAAGGATCAGATTGCCTTGCAGTAGGATAGGAAAGACCATAATAGAGGCTGGCTTCGGGTATGTTAGATTTCTGGCTAAGGGTTTGTTGAACATCCCAGTAGAGACTTCAAGTAGGTAGCTGGAGACAGGTTAGTTTGGTGTCTGGGAGAGGGGAATAAGCTTGAAAAGAAACCAGGGAATGAAAGCAGCCACATATTCTAATATTTGACATTATATACCTCAGATCTATAGAGATGAGATGAGGAGTTCTAGAGGTTAGAGGTTGGGCTGAGGATGGGTAGCAGGGTAGAAGCTGAGTTAAAGTAGTAGACAGATATTGATGGTAAGATGAGGCTTTGAGGATCTGCCTTCATTTTAATGAGGCCTTTAAGAAGAAAGCTTCTTGGGAGGGACCTAATGGGCATGGATTCCAGAAGGAGAACATAGAAACCAGAAGTTGGAGACACCAAGGATAGATACCTCCATGGAATTTCACTGTTGGGAGGTATGAAAGGGTAGAGCCACCAAATTGCTAGTGAATCTATAGGGATCCAGTGATCTAGGGGACTGAGATGATAGAGGAAAGTAGGGTAATCAGCAGGCAGTGTGCTGCAGGAACTACACAGGTGGGATTTCTGGAGGAATGGGTGGTATGACTATGAGAGGAGGGAGCACAGGCTCTTATGGACCTCCAAACTTAAGATACAGGATTGTGGGGATAACAGCCTCTTCCGTAAAGGCTGCAGGAGAAGCAGTTTCCCCAGGACAACCCAAGTTTTCTTATGACAAGGACCAAGACAAATGTTCAGAAAGTGTCACAGTTAGGGTTTCCATTGCTGTGGAAAGACATGTCCACAGCAACTCTTACAAGGAAAACATTTAATTGGGTTGGCTCACTTATAGTTACAGCAGTTCAGTCCCTTTATCATCATGGCAGGGATTATGGTAGTATACAAACAGACGTGGTGCTGATGAAGTAGCTGAAAGTCCTGCATCTTGCAGGCAACCAGAAATGGTCTTGAGACACTGAGCAGTATCCTAAGCATAGGACACTTCAAAGCCCACCCCCATGGTGACACACTTCTTCCAACAAAGCCATATCTCCCAATAGTGCCACTCTCTGTGAGATTATGGGGGCAAATTGCATTCAAACTACCACAACAAGCTTGGCTGTTTCTAGCTTGGCAATGAAAGATTCAAGTACTAGATAGAAAGTTGTATAAGATCAAGGCATTTCTAGAAATGGTCCAGGGATTGAAGGTGATTCTCAGAGCTCTGGGTTTCCTGTAGCACTAATAAAATGAGTCCCTGTTAATTGTTGGACCCATTACACACATTGAATACATGATCTAATTGAATCTTCCTACTGTCTTTGGAGACAGTTCCAGTAATTATTGTCTCCGTCTTAAACCCAGGCAGCACTTGAAGAGAGGAAGTGACTTGGACACAACTACTCTGGTACTCATTGCCAGGGCTCCATATGAAGTAGGCTGGCTGATTCCAAAGCCTGCAGTCTATCTTCTTATGTTGGGCCTAATACATAACATTCTCATAGGGATTTTGTAGTGTTCTGCAGCCAGGGCAGCTTTCCTTTATTTTTAGATTGTCTCCTAGATTCACTTACTTGAGGTTTCAAAGTCAGTCACATTCCACAGAATCAGACTTCCCTCCCTCTTTTCCCATTTCTCATTAATCCTTCCTTCCATCCATCTAGTCACCCTGTTGATGCACATTATCTGACTGCCTGCTGTGTGTCTAGCCAGCTTTGGAGATGGGAGAAAGACAGACCACATATAGTTCCCTACCTTCTGAGAGTTCTCTATTGTATTGATGTGGGGGGGGGCTGATAATTAAACAGTGTTGGGGTGGGGTGGGGATTTAGAGGTAAGTGCTCTGGCAGAGGTGACCCAGCCAGCAGAGGGACTGGCACTTTCTAGGACTTGCCATCTGCTGTCCACACTTGCTGAGACCCTAGAGTGTATTAGCCAGGTGGTGCTCTAGCTATCACCCAGAAGCCTCTGGGGCTTCTCTCACTTTGGAAAAATGGGCATCAGTTGATGGAATTTATTTTCTCACTCATAGTTTTTTGAGAACTTGAACTTAAACCATTTTAGACAAGCTGTACTATATTTATGCTTTTATGTCCTGTTATGGCAGCTCGATAGATTAATTTTATCTTATAAATTGCATTTTGCCTCCCTAGTGTTTTTATTCTCCCTATTGTATCTTTGTGTTCTTCTCAGTTGCTTGGCTAAGTTTCAAGTCTACTGTTTTATTTTTCTTTCTCATTGCCAGGGCCTGCAGTTCAGCCTTTTGTGAGAGAAGCTTACCAGAACAATCCAGGCGAGCAAGAAGGACCTGAAACCACACACTCTGCTTGGAGAGACAAAGAAGTGGACAGTGACCAATACACAGGCTTTGAGATTGGTTAGAATTCAACCACCATGCATAAACTACTGAGTACTAGGCATTGTTCAGGACTGTTTACATCAAAGTTCTTACTAAGCCCCAAAAATCTCCCTTTGGGGATTCATTATCATTCCCATATAACACAAAGGATAGGAGGAGTTATTTGAAAATGAGTGACTTAGGGTCACAAAGAGCTGGTAAGGAGGCTAGAGAAGCAGGGCACAGCATAATGTCAGTGGGACTTACTGGTGTATTATCAGACCCTTCTGCAAGGCTTGTTGACCATGAGAAGGCATGGTGTCATCTCTCATGAGTCCTCAGGGACATGAGATTGTAATAGACCATTAGCTTCGAGCTTAGCATTGGCTGTTGCTGACTTGCTTTCTGTCCATGTAGGAAGGGTGGGTCCAAGAAGAGCCTGCTGCTGATACCAAGATTGTGAGCTTTCCCAGTAGTTCAGTGGGGATGATGCAGAGATGAGTGAGGACTACAGCCAATTGTACTCCCTCTCTTTATTATGAAGTATTACAATCACACAAATATACACAAAGGACAGTACAATGACTCACATTCCTGCCCAGTCAGGATGAGCTAACCCTTATGCTTATTTTTTTTTTTTTACCTTAGATCTTTTATCCTTTTATTAAAAACAAAATCATTCTTGTTCTGCATTAAATTCACTTTGCAAGAGTTTGTGGTCATTGGAAATTTTTTTAAATCTGTGACAAGATGGCCGAGAATGGGCAGCCTCTTGAAAAAGATGGAGCTGTGGCCCCTGGGCCCTCTGCTGTACTTTCTCCTAGGATAGAGGTTACTGTGCTGATTGCATGGTCTTTTTCTTTGGGGTGATCTGGGCTTTCAAGAAAAAGCTGCTGTGCCAGGTAGCAAAGTGCTGGTTAGCTTAAATGTGGGTTATAGCTTGAAAGTGAAATGTCACTCACAGGCTCATGTGTTTGAACACTTGGTCCTTAGTTGGTGGTGCTGTTTTACAGGCTGTGGAATGTGGTTCTTGTTCATAGCTAGCAATCAGTTGAGGTTTCTGGATGGTTCCTTCCCCTCTCAGTACCCATTTGTCACTGAGCTGCATTTGTGTTTCTGAATGTGCTTCCTGAGCTGTGCACACGTGGCTGCCTCTGCTGGAATTCCCCCTTTTCTTCTTGCCTCACTGTAGCTTCATTCTGAGGTTCTCATGCAAGATGTACCTTTTGTGGACATAGTTTTTTAATACCTAGCACTTGAGCACTGGTGTTGAGTTGAATTGTTCAGTATCTGCCTGGCTCAGGACTGCCATGAATGACACTTTAGCTTTGGCTCCTTTGTCAAGAACATCTTGGAAGGTGCTTGGGGAAGGAATGGAGGACATCAGTTGCACAGAATCTATGGATTTTACTCCTGAGGATTCAGAACTGTCTCAGCTCATGTGACTGACACAGGAAACCTCAGGGAGAGGAGTGGTATGGCAGAAGGCAACATTTGCAGTGTTTTTACTTTTTACTTTGGGGAGCTCCAGCTCTTAAAGCCTTGCCTTCCACTTCAGTAACACAGACAATTCAGGTGAGGTGCTAGGTCTGTTGGGAGGTCTTGGCACATACATGGTCTATGTCCCAAGACCTGCCAGCTTGCAAGTTCAGGTATATAAATACACACACACACACATATACATACATACATACATACATACATACATACATACATACATACATACATACTCCTTCCCCATAACATTCATACAGTTCTAATCACACAGTGGAAGTAGTTTAAGTAGTTTTCTCAGACTATCATCAAGGGCTGCTGAACACAGAATAACAAAGTTGCATTGTTTTACTGATGCTGACTGTGAGACTTGCTATATATTAACCTCGGAGCTGGGAAGTCAAATCCTGCCTTAGCTAAATCACAAATTGTTATAGATTGTGAACTTTTGAGAGTTCTTTGGGGGCAGGGTGTTGTTTATCCTTTTTCCCCCTTTTGTTGAAACAGATTTTTGTCTCACATAATGTGTACTGATTATGATCTCCCCTCACTCTAATCTTCTCAGTTCCTCCCCACCTCTACTCCCTTTCTGTCTTTGATTTGGAAACAAACAGGCTTCTAAGGAATAATAGTAAAATATAGTCTTGGTGACAGCCTGGCTTGGTTAGAGACTCTTATGGGGGTCCCTTTGGCTAACAACGCAATTAGATGTAACCCAATCCCAGTACTGAAAAGCTTCATTGGGCGATGAGAGATGGACAGTTGCGACTATCTCCTCCATATTTGGGGATTTCATTCAGATCATTTTCATATATGTATATGCTTTAGCAAGCATCTACTATATTAGGTTTCTATACTACCTTGAAGGTTTAGGAATATTATGCTTATTTCATCATTAGGAGCAGTGTTTAAAGTAGAGATCTAAGTGTGAATGTGAGCATGTACATTCTCCCATGTACTCTCAGTGTACCCAAATTGTGTGTGTACACAAAATTGTATACCCAAATATCAGGGCTGATCAGTCTGTCTCAAAGTGACTGTGATAGATGTTGTATTTGTCTTTGCATCATGATTCATTAACAAAAAACAATGTGATGAATCTTTAGTTCTTTGAGGGAACATTTCTTCTTGTTATCTAATGCAGGCCATAGTATAATGAGACTGGTATGTTTAGAAGGATGCCCAACCTTTTGTCATTGCCAAATGACATTGTGGAATGACATTGTGGTCTACAGATGTGTTGGGCTACATGTAACTTATGGAGCTAATGTTGAATATATTTATATATTTCCTCATCTTTGAGGAATTTTGTTGAGTGATCTCCTGCTTCTTTTTTTCTGTTCCTTACACTCTGAGATACATGAACTTATCACATACCCTTTCCATCACTCATCTCATGCCAGATACAGAGAAGCAAAACAGATGAATGGCATGGTTCCTACCTGTCCACTGTGGAAATTCTGTACTGAGAATACTTCCATTAACACATGTACCCACTATTGTCTAAAAACCTATTGATCATGTTGGCATTTTGAACAGAGGCAAGAGTGGACTTGAAATTATTAGGAACAAATTGTCGATATGATTAACTCTCAGAAAACCATGCTAGGTCATCTGGTCCAGCTTACATTGTTCCCCTTGAAGCATTTTCTCAAGCCAGCTTTTGCTTGGATGCCTCTCATGATGACATTTTCTGTCTTTGACAGATTTGTTCTGTGAAATCAAGGAACATTCCTGTTAGCTGGGTTCCTTTACTTCCTTGTTCAAAAAACGATAATAGCTTTTTCCTGATATTGTTCAATATAATCCCAACAAATATCACAGCTCCTTTTTCTCACTTAGTAGTATTCTTTCTTCTTTACAAGTGAAATTCTGGAGGCTCAACGTGGTTCCTTAATTTGCTCAAGTAAGCTTATTCAAAACGAAATGGCGGAGACAGTGTTGGTAACCAGGTCTATTGATTTTTTTTTTTTTAATGATATTTTTCTGCTGGGCAGTGGTGGCACACACCTTTAATCCCAGCACTTGGGAGGCAGAGGCAGGTGGATCCTTGTGAGTTTGAGGCCAATCTGGTCTACAAAGTGAGTTCCAGGACAGCCAGGACACAAAAAAGATATTTTTCAGGCCATAGGAAGATGTCTCAGTAGTTTAGAGCACATACTGCTCTTGCAAAGGACCTGTCTTAGCACCTATGTCTAGGCAGCTTACTATTGCATCTCACACCAGTTCTGACACCCCTCCTGACCCTATATGCATGTGGCACATAGAGAGACATGCAGACACATAAATGCACACACACAGGGGAGTGCACAGTCTAAATGTGAGTTCACAGAAAAAGGAAGATTAGACCTGAGTGTGGAAGGACAGTGGGCATTCAAGGCACAGTACATGCAAAAGCATGGAAGCATGAAACAGCTTGATGTGTGCAGAAGGTTCTGATGATTTTGTGGGAACTCTGTGTTGGTGGAGTGTGGGCCCGGGATGCCTCTAACTGGATCATGGGAGTCTTAGAGTAGAAGTGCTGATGGGTTTTAGGTGTGGGTCTGGTTTATTATGGTTAATTTAGAACATTAATCTGTTCTAAAGGATGCTTGAGTGGTAAAATGATGTGCCAGTCAGCTTTCTAGAGCATGCCAACATTCATAAGACAATCAGCTTGAAAGGATAGAAAGTATTTTGGCTAATGGGTAGGGTCTTCAGTGATGTTTTTCTTCTACTAGGCCCAACTCCTAAATGTAGCACAGCCTTCCAGCAGTGCCAGAAAAACAAAGCTTTTAATGAATGGGCTTTCAAACACTTAAGACCCAGAATTCAACTATGGGAAACTCTGGAGGCAGGTGGCTATTGTGTTAGTGTTAACTCAGCCATGACCCTGGCAACATGAAGAGTAGATTGCAGCAGAGGAGATACTGACAAAAATTAATATTTGATTTTCAGATTCTGAAATTTGTCCATCTGATGACCTTGCCTTATTACCAGCATGCAAAGAGAACCCTGAAGACTTTCTAGGCCCAACCTTGAATTCCAAGAGTCAGCTCTCCATTAAAGTCAGTGTGATTGGGACTGAGCAATCTGAGAACATCAATATCTCCAGTGACACCGAAGACTTAAAACAGAAAATCCACAACTTGCAAACTGAGCTGGATGGCTACCGGAACTTCATTGTCCAGTTACAGAAGCACTCTCAGTGCAGTGAAGCCATTATCACAGTTTTGTGTGGGACAGAGGGGGCTCAGGATGTCTTGAACAAGCCTAAGGGCAATATTGATGATGAAGAAGAGAGGACATTTTCAAGGTTGCACGAAGTACGATATGTGAAGCACATGAAAATCCTCCATTCACTAACCCCAGAGATGATTGACAGTGGGGTACTAGAGAACCTCAAACAGCAACTGGTGGAACAGGAGCAGGAGCTACAGAAGGAGCAGGATTTGAACTTGAAGCTTTTCAGCGAAATCCATAACTTGCAGAACAAATTCCGAGACCTCTCCCCATCAAGGTACATCCTATTTCTTGCTGCTCCAGCCTCCTTCCGATTAAGCTTGAATTTCTCCAGGTTGTTGCAAGCAGGAGCCCAGGAGCTGTGAGGGAATGCTGCTTGTTGGACAGGTAGAGTGTACCCTAGGGAAAGCTTTACCTGGGGTTTAGTCAGCCAGGATGAGAATGAAAAGCTAGGCCACATAGCAGACATCATGCAGTGCACGTTAGGTAGGAAGTGTGCAGCTTCTGAGATTGGCAGGGCAGGTGTTGCCCTCCTCAGGCTGAGGACTCAGGGTAAAAGCTCCACAGCAATCACTCTGTGCATTGCAGTGTGTTTGCTGAGCTGTGGTGTTTATTTTTGAGCTGTTATTGGCTTTTGCCATGTTGTGGAAGTAAAACAGATGTCCTAGGCAGGTTAGGAGGAATATAAATGTTTTCCATATCTTTACCCTTTAAGGTCATCTTAGAGAAATAAGCCAGTGTTGAAAGCGAGAAATTCTTAGGTCATGAAGATAATGCTCTATGGTTATAAATATATACATTTGCTTCATGAGATATGGCAAAATGGGATCATCTGTAAAGTTGACCTTCATTCCTTACTAATTTGAGGCAAACACTGTTCTGAATTCTCAAAGAGCCACAGTGATTTTTTTTTTTTTCCAAGACTTCCCAAGCAGCATATTTATTGATGGGCTGTTGTTTCAGAGCCCAGGCAGGAAGTGTTTGATTTTTGTTTCTTTGTTTTTTGATTTGAAACAGTTTCACCCTGTAATTTAGAGGGGCCTCAAACTCACAATCTTCCTGCATCAGCTTCCTTAGCACTGGAACTGCAGGTGTGTAGCAGCCTAGTAGGTGAGGAACTCCCATTATTTAAACCCAGCATACTAAGCAGAAGGCACTTTCAACTTGTTCTTGTAGATAGAGACTTTGAGACTCAAAGAGATTGCTTTGAGTTGGCTGTGGGTATTCTAGTCAGAGCCAATGTCCAGGGTTCAAGCCCATACTGTCCCACTCTTCCTCTTCTATAGAATTGGTCCCCACCTTTAAGATGGGTGTGATGTGATTTGCTTGTAGGTTATTGCTATTAACAGTGGTCATGGTAAGCCCAAGTGCCTCTCAGACCACTCTAGATCCAGCTTGTTGTGACTACTTTTCCTCTCTGAGATATTCTCTGTGCTTGCTCTAAAACTCCTAGGCCTACATAGAGAAGGGTAGTACCTGATGTTAAGGGGGTAGTATTGGATGGTAAGGTTTGCAATCTGTGTGTTTGAAAAGCAAAGTTTTACCACCTAAGTACTTTTGAAATTGTTTTCCTTTTCTGCATGAATCTGTTTGTTGGACGCCTGAGAGAACTGGGTCCCATAAGGTGACTTGTTTCTATCACTGATGGGCTCCAGTTACTCAGTGGTAGCTAGGAGTCCAGCTCTTTCAGTTTTACCCTTGCCATGTATATATTTGTACTTGGTGAAAATTTTCAGTGGGTCCCTTACCCTTGGGGCACTTGTTTCTACAATTCAGAATGATGTCTTTGAAGAGTGTATGGAAACTGATTGTTCTCCTGAGTCCTTGCCAATCTATGCTTTAATTGGGGGCTTTCTAAGGTTAAAAATTTTGCAGAAGAATCTCTGTTGAAGCATTTGTTGGCTGTTTGAACTCAAAGAAGGAGTGACCTTGTACAGTTTCAATTTTTCTAAAGTATATATGCTTGTACAGCTGCAGGCTTTTAGAAATTATGCTCTGTCATTTTTCCAATTAGTGGTAAGGTCACAAAAATTCAATTCTAAAATGACACATACATTTTCCTTCCCTCTTTTATCAGATACGATTCATTGGTTCAGTCCCAAGCCAGAGAGCTCTCCCTTCAGCGGCAGCAGATTAAGGAGAGCTATGACATCTGTGTCATTTACCGTCAACACATGAACACCATGATCAAGGCATTTGAGGAGCTTCTGCAGGCCAGTGATGTGGACAGTTGTGTGGCTGAGGGCTTCAGGGAGCAGCTAACACAGTGCGCTGTACTGCTTGAGCAACTGGAAAAGCTGTTTCTCCATGGTAAGTGGGTAGAGGCACTGGCCCTAGTCTCTGTGACTTCTTGAGTGACACTAACAGAATTCCCTCCTTGGCCTTTCTTATCTTCTTGCCAGCTATACACATTGACTTGTTCTGCCATTAGGCCCAAACAGCCTTCTTTCTCATAGTCTTTTCACATTGCTTCTCTCCTTCTTCCGTCCTTTTCTGAGCCATCCTGTTGGGTAATTCCTCCTTGACAATAAGACAGGAATACTCACCAACATTCCCTGTCCTCTTGTCCTGCTCCATTTTTCTTGATCTTCATAGTCGAGGAGTGAGTGAGTGAGTGAGTGAGTGAGTGAGTGAATGAATGAATGAATGAATGAATGAGTCCAGTTTTATGATATGAAGACTGTGGCTCATGACAGGAAGTACCTCATCTGTGATCATTGGCAGGAATGAATAGTTGAGCTGGGATTTTACATATTATCTTAGCATAAATCTGTTCCCACTAAATCTGTTTGTATCCTTCTTGGTATCTTAGTTGTTATTTGATTGAAATGTCATAGTGCCTTGGAAGTGGGCAATGATAATTCAGTGTCTTTGTCACCGTTATATTGCTATGAAAAAGCACCATGACCAAGGCAGCTCTTACAAAAGGAAACATTTATTTGGAGTTTGCTTACAATTTCAGAGGCTTAGTCCATTATCATCATGGTGGAGAGTTTGGCAGCATGCAGTCAGGTACTGGAACAATAGCCAATAGTTGCTCATGATCCATAGGCAGAGAGATTGGCCTTAAATAGGCTTATGAAACTTCAAAGCCCACCCCCAGTGACACACTTCCCCCAGCAAGGTCACACCTAATCCTTATAATCCTTCCAAGTAGCACCACTTCCTGGTGATTAAACATTCAAATATATGAGCCTGTGGGGGCCACTCACAGTCAAACCACCATACTCAATTTTGTTGATGAGAAGCCTGGCGGTTAGGAATACTACTTTCATGTCCAAGTTTGAGAGTCTGTGATGACCAATGTAATCACTGAGTCAAGCTGTTTAGACCAGAATTCAGGCTTCCCCTGTAAGCTGTGTATCTTCTGACTTTCCTTACCTAGTTAGCAAAATTGCTCTAAGGGTTAAATGGTAGTTGTGAAACCTTAACTCTGTAACACCTGGCTCTAATGAAGAAGTGATTCCTACAGTATGTGTTTATGGTGAGTTAGGGCTTCACCCTCAAAGCTACATGTTTTATATGGGAGGAGGCAGGCCTTCACTGACCAAAGTGAGTTGCTCAGAGACACAGTGGAAGTCCCCCACTTTGGTGAAGTCAGAATTGGCTGTTCTTCTGTATCCATTCACATAGAACAGATAGTTTAGTGTGGCACCTGTGTGTGCAGCTTAATTCCAGGATGAGCACAGGGTAGTTCCCCCATCTAGTACCCATTAATGTTTTTCCTAAAGACCTGCCATAGACTAACTGTCTGGTATTTGTTCCCTAAGAATTTTGAGGATCAGGGTCTAGGAACACTAGACTGTTTGCAGTTTTATGTAATCTGCAGAAGTAACTGGGTGGCTGACAGATAAAGCGAGATTGCCCATGCCCTCGATGATCTTGTCTTTTCTTCGATGATCTTGTCTTTTCTTCTGATAACCCTGGCACTGGTGCTGGGCCTGGGAAGTAAGGGAGAGAGTGTCTGACACCAGTTGTGCTCCCTCTTCAGCTAGCTGCTCAAGGCTTCTCTCTCAGCCAGAGTTTGACAAGTACTGGAGATTTCAGGCAGGAGCATTTCAGAGATAGCAGATGGCACAAGTGTAGAACCTCATTTTCTTCTTCAGAGTATAAAGACCACAGGACCCTCACTGCAGTTTTCTTCATAGGGAATTAAAAAAGAAATAGATACAGATCTTTCTTGGAGGCCATGTAAGGGGGACCTGTTCTTGAATTATGAACCAGGTTCACAATAAAATAATTTGGATGTTCTTAAACATTCAGATGCACACCTTAAAAAGAAATCAATACCAAGCATGTTTACTATGGAATGGCAGGTACTTCTCTGACTGTATCATTTTCACAGCCATTCATGGGCAGCCTTAAGTTTCTGTGCCTGGACCCTTTTAGAACATGTGTAATTTTTATGGCAGTAGGACTCTTGGCAACCTCTCCCTTTGCTCAGTGACAGATAACACACATTAAGCTTTAGTGGCTACAGAATATCCTGTATAAATGTCCCTTGCCTTATGGACCTAAGGGTCCATCCATTTTGGGACTATTATAAAAAACACTGACTTGGAATCCCCGTACACCCTTGCCATTTTTGTCACAACATTTGGTTGGTAGAGTCTGTGAAGCAGGGTGGGTAGTAGTGTGCTTTCTTGATGCTTGCTCAGGGCAGAGCTGGGAAATGAGGATCCCATGAGGGTTCTTGAACTTAACAAGATGCTATGAAGTATGCATTTTTCTGGGGTGAGGGTCTATAGTTTTCAGATTCTCAATAGGGCCAGAACCCAGAGTAGATGAGGAGCTGGAGTTGCAATCAGGTTTCTCAGCATAACCTCATCACAGTGTCTCCTAAGACAAGTTACACAGATGAGGAAGGCAGTACATTCTCTTGGGGGATAATTGAGCAGAGTACTGGATTGGGTGCAAAAATGATTAGGAATCAGTCTCTCAATAATCTCAGAATGGGTGTCACTTGAATAGAAGGCAGTCACTAAGTCTCCTTTGCCTTGATTCTCTTCCTCATTTCTACTCAAGACTTTCTGTAATCTGTCTGATGGAGAAAACAGTGAGGAAATGCAGACACTAGTTTTCATTGTGTGTTTGCTGTATTCTCAGCCCAGGATGAAGTTGAAATCATCCTCATTTCCTGTGAGGGGCATAGATATTAGCTCACTTGTTTGACATCATAGAGGAGATGGCAGAGTCTGAACTGAAGGTTGATTTCACAGCCTGTTCTAAACACTGGGATATAGGTATCTCACTCACATTCCAAATATTCCTGTTGCCCAGGTATTGCCTTTCCTCTTCTGTGACTGTTCACACCAGTACCTTTCTCCATAGGCTGCACTCACTTTATAGAAATTGTGCTGACTTTCTGAAAGCTTTCTTTGTTCACCCCAAGTAGAAGAGGGAGCTGGTTCCTGTTTCTCACTGTAGGTTATCTGCAACTCATTCATGACCGTTTATTGCAGGAATATCACAGAATCAGAGAATGGAGTTAATACCCTGATTTATAGGTCATTCACCTTTAAGAGTCAGATATCCTCTGTGGTAGTAGTAACACCCACCTTAACAGAGTTGTTTGCAAGGATTAAGAGAGATTATTTAAAGTGTCTTGTGTTGCCCTTGGAAACAGTTCAAGCTTGGGAGATGACAGTAACAATTACAAGAAAGTTTTGGTTGCAATAGTGGCCCAGGCTGCCAAACAAATGATTCTGATTACTGTCACCATGGAATCACTTCCTCCATTTATTTCAGTTCTTGCTCCAAAGATATAGACTAGAAGCCTGGCATGGTGGTACAGGCTTATCTCCCAAGCAGGGTTGTGGAAAGAGTCTGTGGGTTTATGGTCAGTCTGGGATACAAATGAACAATAGCAACAACAAAGTAAAAAAGAAAGAAAATGAGAGGCAGAGCTCCCTCCATCCTTCCTGCTCTAATTTCTCCTCTGACTAAGACTGGACTATGCTTATCTTCTCCTCCCACCACCATGCTGCCCCTCATCACCATACTCTATAATTGTCCCCTTGGACGTGAGCTCACCAAGGGCAGACAGGACAACTCTGTATCCATCTTTGTATCCCCAGTGTGTGTCAGGCCTCTGGGAGGAGCCATGGTAGACAGGAAGGAAGAAGCATGGGTTTGAATTAGAGATGCCAGGCATTGGGGTTTAAGGGTATAGGACAGGTGGAGTCTAGGTGAGAAGTTCTGTGCCCAAAAAAGGCTTCTGAGCAGCATCAGGGGTCAAGCTAGTTCAGTCATTCACAAGTCACTCCTGCTCTGTGGTTCCTCTTGCTTATCACCCAAGGATGGGAAAGCTGGTGTTTGAGTTTTTTGTTTGTTTGTTTGTTTGTTTGTTAACTTCTGTTTTAAAATATGACACCCTCTCACTGTAGGAGCTCACAGACACCTTTTAGGTTTGCCATAGAAATGGGAGCAGTGTTTTTATGACATGCATCCCAAGCTACTATAATATCTGACAGATGGTCTCCTGCCACCTGTGTGGAGGCAGTTTCCACCAAGCAACTTAGTTTATCAGTTGTTGCGAAGCCCTCTTGAATTCTAAAACAGTGGTCATTTGTCACTTTGTTTTAAAAGGACTCTATTGTGATGGGGGAACAGGTATAATACAAGCTCCCTAAAAGATCTTAACAGTGAGCAGACTCACTCTATTGGTGGCACTGGAGAACTTCCTTCTGTGGGCATGGAGGCCAAGTCTGTGGTTTTAAGATGGGCTCATGGTCAGGAGGCTCAGGATGCTTGAAGTTATCCCAGACCAAAGGTACTGATTGCATGAAGGAGATGACTCAGTTCACAGCTATGCCTATACTGCAAGCTGCCACTTTCTGTTTGCCTGGCTGTACTCATACAGCTTTGAACTATTGACAAAGCTGGGCTAAATGGTGGCCTCCCTTGAGGTCAGTGAAGTCAGGTTTTTCATTACATGAAGGCTGGTAAACAGCCCCAGTGACAATTAGACTATTTTTTCAGAAGGTAAGTGTGCTGCACATTATGGATTGTCCTACAGGACTTTGGGATCTGACCTAATCTTATGTGACTTTCCCCTTTTGAGGAAGAGTGGAGAGGGCAGAAATAAGGACTGCAAACTTGAGAGTGTCTACCAGGCCGGTGGACTACCAGCCACTGCTTACCTTATGGAAGCCATGGCGTCATATTAGTATGGGGAAGATAGGACCCAAGAAGGTTCAGGCAATATATCTCTGACTACGCCCACCATGGCCCTGACTCTTACTGGAGTGCAATGAAGTGAGTGGAGCGCAAAATGGAGGAAAGTGCTGGCACTCTGGGATTGCAATAAGGCCTGAGGCAGAGTGAATGTAAAGGAATTATACTCAGCCTCCTCCTGCCTCCTCACTGGGGCCACTTGTCTTTTGCCTGTGGGTGACAGTACTGTACAATGTCAAGTATGTGGTGTGACGTGCTGGGGTGGAAACGGAGCCTGGCTGCCATGCAGGCCTCCCTGTGAGAACCGAAAGCTGAATCACAAGCTATAAAGCAAACATGCATGCTCTGTGCCCTTTTCCTTACTGGTGATGTTTGGGGACTTTTCCTTTTGAGAGTTTAGAGCTCTGTAGGTGCAGCCTAATTATAGTCTCATTTTTCAAGGCAGTGATAGAAGGGCTTTTATTTTTTCTTTTTTCTTTAGCCATGCATCAGTTTCTTCAAAGAGCTCATCCTGGTCTGCAATTTCCAGAGTTTTGAAGTATTTTTAAAATAAAGTTGTTAGTTGCTTTGAAATCTGGGTCCTTGCATCCTTTCAAATGATGACACTCAGGAACAGAGCACAGCGTCTTTTCCCAACAGCATCCTGCGCTTTATTTTGTTTTCTTTTGTCGTTTCTGTTAGTCATTTCCCCTGCTGTCGACAGTGGCCTTTTCAACTGCACTTGAATACTGCTTTCCCCACTAATCCCAGTTCTGAGAGTCTTTCCTAGGGAAATAATTTAAATGCAGATAAAGCCATGTGCACAGATATATGTGTCTCACTTATTTACTAAAATGAAAATTTGGAGATGACCTAAATACCCAGTAGGAAACTGCAAGATCCAATCTATGTGTGCCTGCCATAGAATGTTAGCATGGTCTTCACAATGGAGGTTTCTGAAACAAACTTAGTAAGAGAAATGCTTAGAATAAAATGTGATGGGAACAAATGAAGTCAGCATCCTCTCTGCCCACATACATGGAAGAACAGAAGGCAGTTCGGGATCGTGCCTACAGAGGGGAGGTGGGAAGATGGAGGCTTTATGATTCCGTTACCCATGCCTCACAGTGAGCATATATTCTGCTAGTGTCAGAGTGTTTTGTGTTATGTTCTATGGTACTAGGGATGGAACACAGGACTTTACATTTGCTACCAGGACTTCATCTATGCTATACTGTACCACTAAACTGTGTCTCTAGCCCTCTTATACTTTGTATCTGTGTCCGTACGTGTGTGTGTGTGTGTGCGCGCGCGCACGCTACAAGACGTGTGCACGCACACACTTGTGCAGGTATATGTATGTATGTGCGTGGAAGATGGAGGCTGTTGGAGTAGAGGGAAGAGGTTGATGATACCTGTCTTCCTTAATTGTTCTTCACCTTATTTTTTGAGGCAGGGTTTCTCATTCATCTGGGAGATCATTGTTTTTTCTCTACTGCCTGGCCAGGAAGTCCTGAGCATCTTCTAAGATGTCTCTGCCTTTACAGAGAGATTCTAGGCCTAAGCTTCCACAAAAAACAAACAACAGAAACAAAGGGAGGGAGGGAGGGAGGGAGGGAGGGAGGGAGGGAGGGAGGGAGGGAGGGAGGGAGGGAGGGAGGGAGGGAGGGAGGGAGGGAGGAAGGAAGAAGATAAATCATGCTTGTTTGGTAAAGACGTTACCAACCAAACTGTCTCCTTAACCCAGAAGTCCTTCTTATACTTTTTATTTTGAAATAGTGTCTCACTAAATTGCCTAAGCTGGCTTGACTTTATGATCCTCCTGTCTCAGCCTCTTGAACCTCTAGGATGACAGGCCTTTGCCGCTAGGCCTTGCTGTTGTTGTGTTTTGGAGGTAGGAAGAAGCTGCATCCAGAGACCATCACTGTGGCTGTTCTCTAGATTCATTCCTATCGTCTGGAAGCAGTGTCTGAACTGTGTATGGACTGTGCTCTGGGTGATCCCACTCCCAAGGTCTGCGGTCAGATCCTTGCCTCTGCAAATACATGAACAAGGAAGTATCAGGAAAACAGTTTTTAAAAGTGGTTTTCATCCTCTGATGTTCTTTCTGCTTCCAGGAAACTTAGCCAGAGTGGAACCACATCCCCAGAGTGAACTGCTAGACAGGTGAGTGTGTTGTGTTTGCTAAGAAAACTCCAGGCTTTGGTTTTCCTGCCAATTTTTTGAAGTTAAGGCTCCCCTTCTTTCTGTAACTTTTATGCTTCTTGTAAATAAGAAACCAACACCCCAGAATGAACAGTGGCCAAACAGCAACTGGAGTCCACCATTGTTTGTTCAGGTGGCTTGTGATATTTCTGTCTGTAACTGGAGCAGATCCTTCTGTGGGTACCTGAGAGACCCACTGTCCTAAGCCTGGCACTTGAGCACATGGCATCTGATTTGTTTTCCTTCCCTCTCCTCCACCTCATATCTTCTTCCTGCCCCATGCCTCCTTACCTGTCTCCTTGATCTGCTGACTATGGCTGTGCATAGCTGTATACTTGGCCACTTTCCTTGAGCTGTGGGAAAGCCATTCCTCAGAGGCAACTGGAACAGAAATGACCATAGGCCTTGCCAACACCCCATTTCTCTCTGTTCCAGGATCAGTTATTCTCCATACCAGTTGACATAGTTACATGAAACACTTAACTGTGTGGTGTTTACTACATTCCCATTTGGTTCTCTCCTTTCCAAAGAGAGCAGCATTGTCTAGCACCAATGGTATTTCACCCTTGTTGCTTCTGATGACACAATTCAAGTGTTTACATTCACACTTCAGGATGAGGAACTTGTGGTTCAGAGCTGTGTGGTTCAGAGCTAGGACTGGAACTCAAGTCTGCAATGCTCCAGCACCAGTTTTCCTACAGTGCCATTTGAGGATAAGAATGATAACATGGATTGTATACTTTCTTTGCTTACTTCTTCAGCCAACTGACTGTGCTGAGGACTGCCTGCTTGCATCCAAAAGTTTTGATGCTCCAAATTCTGTGGAGCACCTTCTTTAATGTATGTGGCCTTTGAGGGTCCTTGGAGTGAAATGAAGAAATGGATAGTCTGGGATGCAGAAGCATAGCTTTCATTGACATCACAGAGACCACGGGCATCATTACAGAGAGGAGTCAGGGAGGTGCCCTACCTCCCTGGAGAATGTTTTTATCAAGGCATCTGTGGTCATAAAAGAAATACTCTTCCCTCTGCTGTATCACCAAAGATCCCTCCTAGCTCAACCCATTTGTCTACCTTATTCCATCCACACCCTGCTTGCAGCTGTGGAGAGGGAAAGGAAGGCCTTTGAGTGCTGGGACCTCTCTGAACTATGTCCATGGCTGATGTAAAGGAGACATGGCTGCAGGGGCAAGCTGAGCCCACAGAGTGGTTCACAGAAGCTGTTTTTAGAAATTCCCAGCCCAACACACTCCAGTGGGACTAATGGGGGTCTTTGAAGTGGGGAAAATAAGGATGTTCAGACTTGCTCTTCTGGAAGACTGAGTGTATCCAGACACTGAGTGGGAGGGAGACAAAGAACCTCTTTCTGTCCTCTCCAACCAGGTATTTCTCCTTTTCATCTCGGTGAGTTTGCTGCTTTTCCTTCTGCTCTGCCATTTTCAGTCACAACTCACACTCACAGGTCACTCCTGAGCTAATGAAATGGGTACTCTTGGCCCTCACTGTATGATTGGAAGGCAGCAGCAAGCCTGGCATCCATCATGCTGGCTGGGCTCAGCTGCACCGGGTGTTTACCTGTTAATGGATGCACTGCAGCTTCAGAGTCCTTTGCTCTTGTCTAAGTACATGAATAATGAGACTGGCCACTGACGAGGAGTAATAGGAAAGGGGGGAGTGCAAAGCGCTTAAATTAAGGAGCTTATCTATAGTGGAGATTCACATGGGCTTTTCACAGTTTTCAGCTGGTTTTTCCTTGTGGCTTAGGTAGTCTTTGCAAATCCAGGTTACTAATCATATGACTGCCAGAATGATGATATGGGAACCTGCTGGGGGGGGGGGTCATAAAATCTTTGAGATTTTTTAGGTCTAAGGCTATCTCATGGCTTTGGGATGGATTTCTACATTCTTCTGGCTGTGGGGCCAGATAACGCATAGGACTGATCTGAGTGGCACTACTACTTATGAACCAGGACAAGCACCTGCTCATGATGAGGCTTGGCTTCCTCAGTTGTAAAGGACAGTTGTACTTCCTTTTTCAGAGGGCATCTGTGAGGGCAAACAAAGATGTAGAACCCTGGGACAGAGCAGCACTTTGTGACCCAGTGTCACAGAAGCATGCTTTATCTCAGGCTATTGCCCTGTAAATCCCACTGCAGGACAAGTAGTCTCCTCCCTTCCTTTTCTTCCTTGTTTGCATACTTAAGCCCATGGAACACCTCCTGTTTTCAGAATTAGACTGAAGTTGCATGGATGGCCAGTCACAAAAACAAAAGTTATCCCTAAGTGTTCAAACACATAGTCCAGCTTGGGATCATAATGTGGGGAATGGTATTTCTTTTTAAAATGTTAAAAATTAATTTCTTTTTATTGTTTTGAGACTTTCATATGAGTATTGTGTTTATATTATTGCTTCTTCCCTTCAGTTCCTCCCATGCCCACTCTCTTTTCAAATTCATGGGCTCTTATTCTTTAATTATAATTGTTACACATATACACATATAAATTTATAAATACAATCTTTACTACATGATCTCAGCAGGTTGTATTTGGAAATGACTTTCTTTCAATCTTAAAGGTTTAGGACTGAGGAAGACAACTTAACCTACCAACAGCTCCTGTCTGAATCTCCTGACCCTTCTGCCTCTCACGCACTGTCAGATGATGAAGTGTCTGCTAAGTCCTCCCTGTCCCGAGACCAGAAACCAGACAGCGAGACTGAAAAGTGCCCAGAGATGTCAAGTCATTTTCCTCAAGGTAAGCAAAGCCTCACTAAGCACCTTAGGCATAACTAGGCTGTCTTGTCTTGATGAGCAGAATGGGCTGATGTCTGACCATTTCGCCAGTGAAGGGAGAGTCTGTGAGGGCCAGAGCTGCTAATAGAGGGTAATTTATCACTGGAAGGAGCCATGGTGTTAAAAGTGTGGGTGGCAGTGGGGAAGTCTTGGTTTCTTTTTAAATGATGACATGGATAATCTGCTCTTTTCAAAGGGTGGGTTGAAAACACTGGGGATGTGTCAGTGTTGTTAGTTTTCTCCTATTGTTTCTGCTTATTCTGAAGCATGCCCCTTACAGTGTGACTCTTGGCCATGGAGTCAGACCCTTGATTTCAGTCCACACAGGCTGCTACATCTGAATACTAGGGACTGCAGACAGCACAAATCCATCTGGTGTGTGGAAAGCAGAGGTCAGGGTGCCTTGCAAGCAGTGTAGTTGAGTTCTGGTGAACACCCTCTTCCCACTTGAACTCTGACATAGAGAAAGGAAGGTCAGGGGAAATCGATGTGGTCTGTGCCAGAAGGACATTAATCCTATTCATGGGTGTGGCATCCTCGTGACCTAATTTCCTCCAGAGGCTTCACTCCTTGATGTCATCACACCTGTGCTAAAAGCTTCAACAGGAGTTTCAGAGACAGAAATACCTTGCCTTGTTCCGCTTCTGCATATGGACTAAACTGTCCAAGTCAGCTTTCCAGGGACCTTCCCCAACCCTCCTTTCAGCTTATAGTCTCTATTCCTTCTGTTGGGGTAGGAAGCTGGACTTAGTGTTTGTCAGTCAGTATATTTCAAAGATTCAAAGTACCAGAGGCAGGCCAGATGGACTTGTGCTTAGCAAATTTTTCCACCCTAGGGGCAGGTAGTGAGTATCTTTGGCTGTGCAGGGGTATGTGCTCCTGCAGTTGCACAGCTCTGCTCTAAAGCAAAAAGTGGCTAGAGATAGTGTGCATGGCCCAAATGAGCTGCACTCACAAGAAGGTGGTGGGTTTGGAATATGGCCTCTCTTGGTGGTCTCTGATCTCTGATTTGTTCCAGTAGGTTTTTCTAAGGCACCACAGTGGATTCTGTAGCACATACTGAACACTACCACTCCTTGCTAAACACTAAATTGCATAAGCCGAGGCTTTCAAAAATATTTGAAGCTTTTGGTTTAATCAGCTAGATATCTTTTAGATGGAGAGTTCCCACCAATATCTCAATGGTAGTGAGAGCCAAGCCTTTGTCCCATGGTGTCCTCTGAGGCTCCTCTGGACACTCGGGTCTCACATCTTAGACACACCTAGATTATAACATGTACATTCTTAGAACAACTCAGGAATCAACCAAATCTTCCAGTGGCCAGTCACCAGTCACCTGAACCTCATTTCCTGGGGTTTCTGGCAGTATCCCTTGGTTGTGGGTTCTGCCTTCACCTACTTTAGGTTATACTGGAAATAATTTCCCTGTCCTCAGTGCAGCCTTCCTCTGTAATTTGTCCAGTGTGCACTTAGTCCCTCTTTATGATACTGAGACCACTGCTCTGGGTCTGGTCACATGAGTAGAGGGCAGCGTGAATGTATCACTCAAAGGGAATACGATCCCCCCCCCCTTTTTTTTTTTTTTTTTTTTTTTTTTTTGGTGCTCTTGGGAAGAGTTCTCTTCTGCCTATCACTATATTTTGTTTTTAACATGATAAAAGATAAAACAGATAATATATACAAATTTTTCCAAATTTCCTAGAGGTTCACGTCTGTCTCCTGTCTCTATTCCGCAAGGGGTTTGCCTGGACTGCCTGTGCCCCTTAAGTGCATCATTGGCTCTTTTCTCCAGTAGGAACCCAGTACTCTGGAGCCATTGAAACATATCCACTGTCCTCTTTGTTTGGTTTATTTCTCTTCAGCCTTTTCTTCCCTGCATCTGTTTTCCCCTTTGTCGCGTTTGTAATTGTTTGTAATCTGTATAGAGATAATTTGGCACTTTTTTTCTTTGCTCACTTAACATTCTTTCATAGACTTTCTGACATGTTGTTAGCTAATGTCACTTTTAGTGGCTTTAGAACAGTGCTGTGAATGGCTGAACTGCAGTTTTCCTTCTGTTCCTAGAGCTCAGCATTTAAGTCATTTCTATAATCTCACAGTTGTAAACAGTGCTTCAGGGGGTGGGGGGGGGGGGGTCTTGAACACAAAGCCTTCCTCTTGGAGGACACTTTCCTAATATAGATTCTCTGAATTGAAACTGCCTGGCAGAAGACACACATTTTTTTCTATTCTTTCTTTTCTGTGTGTGGTAGCTTTTTTTTTTTTTTAACAGGATTTATTGGTTTTATGAGTTAGCAGTTATCAGAAGAGTTTACTGTAAGACAGGTGGATTTTTTTTTTCTCCCATTTTGGAAAGGCTGGTATAGAGTTTCCTTCTCGTCAGGATGGCTGCATAATTAATATATGGTGTCTAATTCCACTGGGAGTGTTTCCTCCAGCCCTTGTGATAATTCTCACTACCAGCCAAAGACTGAAATATGGCTTGTGTGTAGCATCATCACCCCACAGCCAGCAGTGTGTGACTCAAGTAAGCCAGCAAGGAAGGTTGCAGTACAAACCAGTGAGCTCCTGGCTGGCTCTGGGCTGACGGACTTCTGGAAGAAGGTTGGCAGGACCTCGAGGCTGGGCCGGGAGGACCAGTTCTGGGCACACCAGGAGTGTGCACCGACAGCCTTTCCTGCCATGCTGCAGCGGGAGGCAGGCATTCCACCAAATGACTTGCTGCACTTTTGCCATTAATAGGAGATAGCTGAAGGTCTGGGAATTAAGTCATCTCATAAACATTCAAATTCATGGCAAAATTACTATTTAATTAGGAAAAGATCTGTAACATTGTGCTACTTTTAAATGAAAGCCATTTTGGAGGAATTAAAACTGGGTCATAACATTAGTATAATGTTTTAAAACAAACATTACTAAGACATACTGAGTGTACCCTAATTGATGAATTAAAGACATTAGTTTTGCCTTTGGATACTTAATGTGATTATGTTTTAAACACTGACTCTGGAAATCCACCTCTAGAGTGAAACCATGCTTCCTTCTTTCGGTGTTGAAGTGAGATGTGGCAAAGGGTAAAAAGTTAATAGATGCTTATCCTAGGAAATTTGGTAAAATTAAGTTTTTATCTATTAAGTGATATATTAAAATGTCAAATGGAGGTTTTGAAAACCTGAAATCTATCACCCTGAGGTAACTACAATTAATATTTCATTGTAATTGCTTCTTTGGTGTATTTGTTTCTACTATCTGTATGTTCTTATATAGAGCTGTGATTATGTTGTAACCAATTTCATATCTTTTGAAATTTAACATAATGACATAATAACATTTTTCATGGTATTTATAGTTTTCATAACATAATTTAACAGCTGTGTAATTCCTCATCATAGTGAATGGACCTCGGTTCAGTGAACAATTTGAGCTGTTTCAGTTTCCTGTCACATGTAATACTCAGATGAGTATTTTCATGCATTCTGGCAAATGCCTGTGAGCATCTCACATGAGCTCCTTAAATAGAGTCCTGGGAGTCGAACTACTTGGGAAATGACATTGGAGAACTTTCCTAAAACTGGTGATATAAATAGCCCCAGAAGGTCATACACATTTATACTCATACAGCAGGTAATCTCAAGAACATGCTTTTTAATACCTCTTTCACTAGCATTATTTTAAGTCTTGAAATTAATGAATGATAAATGGATAACATACTCCTTGCCAAAAAAAAAAAAAAAAACTAGCCTTAAACTCTCTGGATTCATTATGAAGGCAGTTTAATCAACTTTCAGGCAGTCTAGACTGACTTGAAAGCGATCTGTTAGTTTCATCATAAGGAAGATTTTAAATTAATATTTGATATTGAGAAGAATAAAAGGCTACATTAGAGTTAGCATTAAAATTGTATGGAGTATAATTTTTGTGTGTGATGTAAAGTTGCTTCCTCATGGAGGGCTGCAGAGAGCTGTGATGGAGCCATGTCCAAGGGCTGTGGGAGATAGCTTGGCCTCCCCTAAGCTTGGGAAAAAATTACCAGCTGCTATCTCAATACATCCAGTCCTGTTGAAATTTCAAGATCTCTGCATAATCTATAAATTATTCAATTTGTTGGGGGCTTCCGACTTTAAATTTAAAATGTTCTTCCTTCCTATAGACTTACTAATGGAACACATACAGGAAATTCGAACTTTGAGAAACCGTTTGGAAGAATCTATTAAGACAAATGAGAAGCTCCGGAAACAGCTGGAACGTCAGGGGTCTGAAACTGACCAAGGTAAGGAAGGACTTTTCCAGGGTAAGGAATGGAGTTGGGTGAGTTGCTGCTGTGTGATGTATTTGCCTGAAGAGTTTCTCTTTATAAAGCAGGTGGGGTGGAGAAGTTGGCCAGACTTTGGGAGCCTGAGTTGTATCTTAGGTGCTCACTGTAGAGGTAGAGATAAGGTTTTTAAAGGCAAGTAGAACCATATTTTGCCTTTTCACCAATAATGGGCCATAGATTGTCAGCATTTAGCAGTCAGGCAACTCTTTCATGCCAAAGAAGGCCAGCAGTATTCCCACTGCACCACAGTTTGCTTCAAAGGGAATGGGCTTCCAGATGTCCCACTCTGTACCTGCTAACCTCTCCTTCCCTTCTTCTCACTTTTCAAGGTTTCCTCCATAGCTTCATTGTATTGCTTAAGTTGGTTGGGTTGACCTGGCTGTGAATGTAGGTTTTCTGTTGATCGGTTTTGTGACTTTGGGCAATTCACTATAGTCTTAATTATTTCATGAAACAGGGTCCTTCTGATATTAAAGGAGGCAGTGTCATTGCTCAGTGCTCACTCAATAAATAATTGCTTTTATCACTGTCAGTTTTATTTTATTATTCCATCTAACATGACCAGTTTAACTTTCAGTCTTTCAATACTCTACAGTGAGTGAGGACCCTGATGCCATTTTAAAGATGAGATCACTGAGTTCTAGAAAGGTAGTACTCAATGGTAAAACTCAAAACTGGACTGCAGTGCATTTCTCATTGCTCATATAGTCCACATATAAGGTAGCTTCCAGAAGTTCTGTGTGTGCTGCAGTTTCTGCTATGGTTTGCTTCCAATCCTCTACCTGGGCTTCTACTTTTCCCATGCATCCTTCATTCTCTTCCCTCACCCCTAGGAACTTTGATTAATTTGAGTTATTAGTTGTGTCAAACATAGGAAAGAAATATATGCCTGGGCCCTTGATGTTCACTCTTGATAATGCCTGAGTTAGATTCATTCTGTTTTACATTTTCCCCCAGCAAATCCAATTATAGAATTATTTGGGGGTTCAAATGGCTACCGGCTAGAATGGAGCCCAAAATTGCTCTGGAGAGTAATTCCCTCTGACATGGAAGTTTACAGATAGGCACTCATAAAGTATTCACGCTCATGGAAAGATGTGCTATTCTCATAGTTTCTGGGGGGGGGGGGGGGACTAAAGGCAGCCCTGCCTCCCCTGATGTGAAATGCTCATCTCCGGGTTAGGGCTGAAAATTGCAGGACTCCTCATGTCCAGGGGAAAGTTGTTAAAACCTATTATCTTATGCCTTAGAGCCTCCAGCTTACTGCCAGTTGTCTGGGCTCACTACAGAGGTTGTACTTGAAGCAAAGTCTGCCTCATAGTGTCCAGGTGATCCTCAATAGGTCAGTTGAGCCTCATTAGGTTTACTGATTCCGGGATGTTTATGGCCTTTTGTTTATTTATTATCAAGTAATACTCTGGCATTGATCAGTGTCCATGTTGGGATTTCTGCTGCTTATTCTGATCAGTCTGTGGTCCCCCTTGGCCTCACTCTGTTCCTTCATCTAGATACTATCACAGATGATAACCAAGGAACAACAACATGGGTGTTTTTGTTGTGCAAAGACTTGAGGGGGAGTTAGGCAACTTGCCTGATGCCTAGGTAGGAACTCTGAAATGATTCCAGAGTTCACTGGGAAAAGTAGGGAAAGGTTTGTAAATAAAAATTAATCTGATTTCTTTTGTATGATGCACTTGCTGGAGAAAAAAAAATTTATAGAGTGGGAAGAATGTTTACAGAAGAACCACACCTTCTTTATGAGAGGTGTGGACCTACACCACAGGCACTAATTTCATATACCAGGGTTCTTTCAGCTGCAGGTAGCTGAAAAGAAATGTAATGAAGAAAGCAGTGAAAATAAGGGGTGTTTGTTTATACCTCTTTTGATTACAAGAACCCCAAAGGTAGATAGCCCTGAAGCAAGGTTGGGCTGACTTCTGTGGTGACTATTTAGTGTCAGCTTCCCATCCTCCTAGGACAGTGTCCAAGACATGGGAAGGAAGAGCCTGGGGCTTCTATATTCTGTAGTTCAGAGTCTCCTTGAAGCTCTCAGTAGACTTCATTTAGGTCTCACTGTTTGTCCTCACCTGGAGTCTGGGAACACAGAGATGTAGTACTTTGGTTGTGGTGTAGTAAGTGAACTGAGTCAGTACAAAAAGCAATAGGGAAGCATCTGCCTGCCACATAGAGAAGATACTGGGCACACTGTGAGTGCTCCAAGGCCAGCTGTGAATAGAACACCATAATGGTGCAGATGAGAAAACTGTGCAGAGGAGGATGCTGAGGTTGGAAGGCCAAAGAGGTGGTTAGCAAGAGGCATCCCCTAGGTTGACTAACATCAAGCAGTACAATTTCATCAGATAGACAGCAGCTTGGTGAGGTATTTATAGAAGATGATATACCCTCCCGTCTGTCTAACCTCCACAGTGTACACTCCTAGGGGAAGTAGATATGGAGAGGATAAAAGTCACCTTGTTACCCGCATTTTCTAGGCATTCGGGTCTGAGTGGAGACAGAATGGAATGCATTGTTTATAGCACTGGAGCAGAGCAATGGGGGATCTTGAATTCTAGATTGAGAAGTTTTATCTTGTATTTCATTGATTTTTTTTGGGGGGGGGGCATAGTGGTAGACTACCAGATATTTTTCAGCATGAAATATCAGTGAAAGGATTGTGCTTGAGATGATAACCTCATTGGTAAAACAAAAGGGAAATGAAGTCAGACAAGGTGCTAAGGCCTAGGGGATAGAAGAGAGTCTGCCTTACTTTGAGCATTCTGGGGAAGAATCGGTAGCTGTGATTGCCTGCTTGAACAGGAAGGCAAAGGGAGGTTTAGGATAGCTTCCAGGTGCAAACCTGGGTTAGCAGTTGGAGCTGGCCATCTCCTAAAACATGGAGAGGGTGAGAAAGACCAGTTGGCCATGATGGTTGCTGCTGTCATCTCTCACCCTCTGGAATGTGGTTCAGTTCTCATCTTTGTTCAACTTCAGGGCAGTTGGATATGGAGGCCTCCTCTTGAAACTCTGGCTCTATGTTACATGGTTCACAGGGCTGGTTTTCATTGCATGCTGTATTTCATTGTTTAAACATGTTTCCTAGGAAGATTCATTCATCTTGCCTGGAGGCTGTCTATAAATCAACATTCATGTGTGTTCTTCTAGGTTCTACAAATGTTTCTGCTTATGGCTCAGAGCTGCACAGCTCTCTGACGTCAGAAATACATTTCTTGAGGAAGCAGAACCAGGCCCTTAGTATGATGCTTGAGAAAGGATCCAGAGGTAAGAAATAAGGGCCAACTGCAGCCTGAGTCCTAAAGCCCTGTGTCAAAGGAGATCTGGAGCTGACACCCTAGATTCCAAAGGGATGGGTGTGACAGTTTTCTATCTTTAACAGCACACCAGTCCTATGGGGCAGTCCTGTTTTATAGCTAAGAAAATTAGGACACAGATGAGTTAAAAATAAATGCCTCACCTAGCTGTTGTGACAACTGGACTGACTGTAAAGCCCCAGAGCAATGTCTCTACCAGGGTCTCAGTACATCACAACTGAGGAAGAGTGAAGTGCTGGCAATTTATTACTGCTAAATCTCAACTGGATATTTTCTCCCACCAGTGAAGTTTATCTAGCATTCCTTATAAAGATCCTTAATTCCTTTTCTTGGAGCTTAGCTGCCAAAGAGTTTTTACTTGTGTTATCGTTCATACTTAGAATGATTCTAGAGTGAGGGATTATTATCCCTGTTTCACAGCCTAAGCAATTGCCCTGATGTGCTCATTGAGCCAGAGGTGCTAGAACTGGAATGTAGGCCAGCTTATCCTACAATCCTGGGGGGGGGGGGGATATCAACACTGATTTTGCCTTAAGAGTCAAAATTGGGGCTCATATGCAGTTCATTCATTCATTCAGCAGCCTTTCTCTATCCTGTCCTACAGGGGCACTTGATAGACTGATACAGAAATAAACAAGCCCTGTATTTTGCATCAGAAGACTGTCATCTGATGGGTAAAATGAGCAAACCTATAGCAAGAAGGAATGAAACCTGCTGTGATAAAGACAGGCCAGAGAGTGGCAGGACCCTCACCCTTGTCCTCATGGGTCAAGTCTAGAAAGGGAAGGAAAGGATTACCCAAGGTATCGCAGGATCAGAGAACAAACAAGGCCCAGGTTAGAGATGAGGAGAATGTGAATCAGGAATGATGCAGCTGTGTTGATGTCATATGGATCAGCAGGAGTCCCAGGGTACATGTAGAGTAGATCTACATCCAGGCTGGGCACCTTCCCATCTATGTGGCTACAGGGAAGCCTTAACCCTATCTCTCATTTGTTTCTCATGTGAAAGATGGAGAAATTCACAAAACCTGCCTTGGCAGTATGCTACAAAGACACAGGACATTGAAACATGTGACAGCTCACTGTAGCACTTGTACAGTTAGTGCTGGGATGTGCCACCATTACCACCCCTTTTGCTCTCATGTGGTGCTTTCAAGGCCTTGGCTAATAATAAGCCTGTATAGACAGAAACTCTGCATAGTCACCCTGGCCCAGGAGAGGAAGCTGAGGCCCTGAGGAGTGAAGAGCTTCACATAGCTGCACTAGAACTCATTCACTTTGCCTCCAACTCCCCGCTCTGGGACTTATTGTGTCCAGAGCCTCCAAGAGTATTTTATTCCTCCCTGGAGCCCACAGCCTCCTGTGGGACTCTGCAGGATGCTTGCTGTTCTCCACACACACTGACATCTGGGTTCCTGCCTGTTGCTCTACCCATTGTGTATACTCTCTAAGGCAAAGCAACAGAGGTTTTCAAGGCTCATTATGTAATAGAAAGTTAAATAGGCCCCTTTCATTCTAGTGATGTTTAATCTGCAGCTTTGATACTGACAGATTTATCTGCCCAAAATGCATAAGATAATTGGAATGCCAGAACCATAAATGCCAGATTAAATCTCATTCTTTTCTGTATGCTTGGCATGCTTGAGCTGGAGTGCTGTACCAGTGTAATAAGGTTGGAAAAAAAACAAATGGTATCCCTTCTCATTTTGGTATTTGCAGATAAACAGAAAGAGAATGAAAAATTACTTGAGTCTCTGTCCAGGAAGGCTGCAAGTCTTGAGCACCTTCAGTTAGAGTACACCAGTGTAAAGGAAGAAAATGAAAGGTTGCAGAGAGACATCAGTGAGAAGGAGAAACGCAACCAACAGTTGACCCAGGAGGTCTGCAGCAGCCACCAGGAACTGAGCAGGTGGGCTTGACTCAGCTGTCCCTGGTGGCCAACTATGCCTGGAGATGTATGTCATCATGGTACTAGGTGCAATGGTTCCAGCCCTAGTGTGCAGAAACAATCAGTGTCATCTGGGCATAAAATATGTGGAGAATGGTTCTCTGAAAGAGGAGGGGAGTGCTGGGGGTGGCTGGCATTCTCACCTAGGGTGGTCAAAGAAGGGCTGTCTGAAAAGGCCCCCTTTGAATGGAGAGCCGCACAGTGAGCATATGACAGCTGACACTATTGGAGATGGCCATGTTTGGCAGAAGCACATAGGCCATATGACTGAGTTGCTGTGGCAAACCAGAGAAGGTGCTGTGCTTGGCTAAAGAGGAGGGTGTATGCTTAATCATCTTGGGCTGCTAGCCCTATAAAGACTCCAGTTTTGCTCCAAATGGCATAGGTCACTGAGAGACTGACTCTGTGTAAGCTGGGGAGATGTAAATCTACTCACTCTCCCTTAGACCTCTGCCTTACTCCATGTGTCAACCCACAGCACTGTCTCTCCTGTCTGAGTGGCCACCCTCAACCCTGTCTAGGTGCCATCAAACATCCCTGGGCAGAGGTCCTGGCTTTTCCCTAGCTCTGTACCTCTAGAAAGTGACAGCTTTGGGGGTTCCTGTTCTTGGATATCTGACAGGAATTGGAGGACACCTCCCTTTAGAATGTCTGTAAAGGTTACTTGAGAGAAGTGAGACATAGAATACATGGGAACTGGGAGCTATAATGGGACTCTTAACCATGTATGTTTCCGCCCATTTTGTTCGCATTCCCTGGCTGAGATGGCCTGGGCCTTCCCTGTGGGAACTGGGCAAGCCTCCTGGAGGAAGAACTAACCTTCTAATAGTGAGGGACTCTTTCAGGGTACAGGAAGAAATGAAGTTGAAACAGCAGCTGCTCTCACAGAATGATAAGCTGCTCCAGTCCCTCCGAGTGGAACTGAAGGTGTATGAGAAGCTGAATGAGGAACATAGGAAGCTCCAGCGAGGTACTGCATGCTTAGGGCCAGGCCTGAGACATTTCAGGGCTCTGAGCTCACCCACAAAGCTGTTCATGGGTGTGGGAGGACATGGCTCTTCTATTTTCCTCTCCTACCATTAAACCCACACTGGCCCATAGGTAGTTCCGGTCCATTTAGAAGCAAATTCTTTGGTCCACTCTTTGTTTTTGACACAGGGTCTTTCTGTATAGCACAAACTGGTCTTAAATGAAAAAAAAAAAAAAACCTCTTGCCTTAGCCTCATCATTGTTGGCTTTTGGCCAAGGTGAAGTCTGTAGTCTCACTCCCTTCAACTCAGCTTGATCTGACTTCACCAGTAACTGGGTCAATTACAGCCTCTATAAGCAGGTCTGTCAGTATCCAATGTGTGGAGCTGTGAAAGTTAAATGAGGGAATTTATTAAAACATCCTAGGCACATTCCTGGCATATAGTAGGCATCCAAGAAATAACATTGTCAAAGTCATTCATCCATCTAGCAGATATTCTAGTGTTGCCACATACCGGACATTGTTCTTAGGTGCTTGACAGCCTTGGTGTGCTCTGCTTCTAGACAATGCAGATCAGAGTGCCTGACTATAAGGTCTGATATTTGAGAGTCAATTTGGAAACACAGTGGGGGGTTTTCTAAAACTAATTTTCCAGATGGTTTCTCCCTATTGAAAGTTTATCTAGAAAGGGTCATCTCTCAGCTTTTGCTTCTTCTCAAGTTGCTTCTCTTGTTCTTGCTATTGTCCCTGCCTTTTTAATATACTGTAGCCCTTAAAATCATCCCCTTTCATTCTATAATTCTGGTCCAAATAGATTTTATTACTACTAGACATAATTTCAGGGTTTGGTGTGCAATTTGCTAGGCTTTTATGGCCAGAAGTGAAATTAATTTCCAGCTCTTACTTAGCCTGTAGAATAGCAGCAATTAAGTCAGCCAATATTTTTGTTTTTAAAGTCGAGTTGTTATTTTAAATTGTACCTAGTTCTTAGAAGGGGGCTGGATGGTGGTGGTAGGTTGAAATGCCCCTGATTTTTTTTGATGGCTGACCTTTGATCTTGGGAAATGTCAAGCCTTTCCTTTGCTTATGTCTGCAGAGGCATCTGGAGAAGGCTGGAAGGGACCTGACTCTTTGAACAATCTGCATGGCCTCCTGACAGAGGTGCAGGCTCTCCGTGACCAATTGGAAAGGAGCATCCAGACTAACAGCACCCTGAGAAGCAAGCCAGAGGAGCAACTATCACTGGGACCAAAGAAGGCCCAGGAAGGGGCGCTCACTCTGGCTGTCAAGGCCCTGTCTGTCACTGAGTGGTCCCTTCAACTGGACAAACACGGTAGGGAACTTGCCTCTTTTCACTTTGTGGATTCAGCTCTGTGGGTCTGTGTGACATGTGAGCGTCTGAATGATGCCCTTCTAGCTGCTCTCAGCTCTCATCTTAACATTGTTGCATATTCTCTGACTAACTGGACACTCCATTCTCTGGAAGTAGAGTTAGGACTCTCAGTGGTACATACTGTCTGCAGTCTTTCTGTTTAGTTCCACCAACAACTCACCAAGACCTTTTCATTCTCTTGCCTTGTTTTTTTTTTTTTTTTTTTTTTTTTTTTTGAGAGAGAGAGAGAGAGAGAGAGAGAGAGAGAATTTGTTTGTATTGCTCTGGTTATCTTGGCACTCTCCTGTATACCAATCTGGCCTTGAACTCTGAGATCTGTCTGCTCCTGCCTCCCAGTGCTGAGATTCAAGGTGTGCACCAACATGCCCTTACTCTGGCTTTCAGCATCTCCTAAGGGCTGGGAAGCTTCCTGTTACTTGTGCACTTGTATAGGGCTAGAGATGTCTGGGAAGGGGCAGAGGATTAGGCAGCCTCCCCCCCCCCCCCACACACACACACAGCGGGGGCTGGAACCAACCAGCAAGCAGCTTACACATGGGCTTCCTACTGGATTATTATCTGTCTGTCACCTTACCATGCCCCTGTTGGTTTGGAGTTCTAGCTTAAAAAAAAAAAAAAAAAAAAAAAAAAAAGGTAGCATGACTATTGCTGTTAAGCAATATTAGCAGAGTGTGGGGAGATCTTATCAAAGCATTTTTATCTGGAGTACCATTGTTCCACATTCCCAGTGGAGCATGGGTGAAAGAAACTTGCATGGGAGGTCCCGGAACCTGAACATATGCATTGGTTTGCCACTGATATGCTAAGTTATCCTGGTTTCTTGGTCTCTTTCTTTAAAAAAAAAAAAAAAAAAAAAAAAAAAATTACAGCATTGTTCTTCCCACCAGGCTCTTAAGATTTCAGTAGCTTCTCAGGTGTGAGAGTGCTTCCTGTATTATCTAATATCATGTGGACCTCCAGTCAAGTGTTTCAGATGCATTACCTGTAAATCACTTTCCTCTAGGTTACTAGCGCAGCTTCCACACTAACTCCTCCAGTCTAACATTGTCCCACTGTGAGTGGTCACTTAGCCCTCAAGGTGCAAGCCCTGCATCCTACTATGTCCTTCCCTGTACCCGGGACTTAGCTGCAGGAACTGTCTTCTCCCTGAATGATGAACTCATGCCTATGTCTTGTAGCTGCTCAATACTCTGCTTGGCTTTTATTGCCTTCCTTCCCACAGGGCACTGAAAAGGTGTTAAAAGATCATTCAGGCATCTACTCCTGGGGTGCCACATTGGGGACAGCCCCCTCACCTGAGCTACAGTCTCCCTGAGTACCCTGAGATGAGATTACCTGTTTACTGTTTTGACAGGAGGGTTCTTCGAGAGAGGGCTATGGACCTGGCTACAGGGCTGTGTGCAGTGAGTGAACGCATTGTTTCTGAAATGAATGGATGAGTCTGAGATACTCTACTGTGTTCTATTCTATCCTTTCTCTAGTGCTTAATGATGGTAAAGCCTAAAATTTTCTTCTCTTGTTTTGTTCTATTATAGATGGCAACATATATCCTGAGACCAGTGATAATTCATTTGATCTGTTTGACTCTACACAGGCAATGGCACCTAAGTCAGGTACAAACTGGGTAAATGTGGCAGTGTGGGTATAGCATTAGGGCTCTTGAAATAGAAGAAAAGGAGGTCTCTGGCATTCCTGGTTGCTTGGCAGTGATTCGTATCTCCGGAAGGTAATCTCCAAGCCACTGACTCCATCCCAGGTGTTAAGCAACTTTAGAGGGTTTAAACTTAAGCTTTAAACGGAACCACTTCAGTGTGGATTTCAGGGTCTCTGGGATCTAGCTTCAGTAGTACTGAACAGTCTTACCTTCTGCAGTGGGATGACCACACATAGGCATCACTGCCTCTAGACTGTGCGTTCAAAGTCTCACATTTTCTAATTTTCACCAGGCTAGGCCGCCCTACTTCCTCAAGACTCAAGAATGTAGGCTTCTCTGTAAAATGCCTGTCCAGCTGCCCCCATTAGAATCAACCAAGTTAAAAAGCAACAGTATATTCTGTCTGCTTAATGCTGGCTGCCTATCCAGTCCAGCCCATGCATCCTCTTCCAGGAAGCCGTCCTTGATTTCTCTCCTTGTTCAGACAGTTGTTTTCCTGTGAGTTCTGGCTCGCTGTCGCTGTGCAATGTGTGTTTATACTTCCTGAATCCTCAGTATTCCCATTAGACCCTGAACTATTGTCATGCAATTGACAGCATGGCTCATCTTGGTAGTCTAGGGTGTACTACAGAGTGAGTGTTGGATAAACATTGCTTAAGTTGACATCAGTCTCTGTCCAGCGTTGGGTAACACAGCTGGAGGCTCAGAACCAGACCCCTTTGCTATTGTGCTCTCTCAGTATAATTCCAGAAACGCAGGTGCCACCCTAAATTGTTCTAACATTTACCACCCTCTCCGTTTGTAGCTTCTGAGACTCCTCTGCTCTCTGGAACTGACGTTGACTCCCTCTCCTGTGACAGTAGCTCTTCTGCCACCAGCCCCCCTTGCATGCCCTGCCTGGTTGCTGACCACCATGTGTGGGCCAGTGAGAGTGGTCACCATATGCTGGGCCTGATTGAGGACTACGATGCCCTCCATAAGCAGATCAGCCGGGGTCAGAGACTGCTTGCCAAAATGGACATTCAAACTCAAGAGGCTCTGAGCCCCGCAAGTCAAAAGCTGTGCTCAAAGGTAACCTGAGTGTAGGGCTGGTGGAGGGAGATGCTTCCTGCTCTCAGAAAGCAGCAGGGGCTCTGACTACATTCTCAGAAAAGTTCCTAATACCCTGGGCTTCTCTAAAGCCCTAAAAGGGAGGAGCTGGGGGCAGTTTGTTGGTGATAGGTGAATAGCATGTTGAGATTGTACCCTGGGTTACTATGACCAGTGCTCAGTGAGGTACTGGACTGCTGTGTGACTTCTCACTTCTCTCCAGTCTCTCAGCCACTCTTTGTCCCTCAGTCCTTTTGTACCCAATCATTCTATCCCTCCACTTACACACTATCTGGGAAGAACTGCCTGCTTGACTCTGTGACTGCTATGGGGCAGTTAGAGGTCTTGACCTTTATGCACACTGTGCCAGAGCTGACAAGGCTGTGTCCTGCCGCACTGAGCTCACATCTACTGGACCATATTGTAATTTCTTACAGCCACTCTGTACAGTCACCTTAAGGTCATCTTCCTGCAGAGGGTGTCTGTGTGTGTGTGTGTGTGTGTGTGTGTGTGTGTGTGTATAAGTATAAGAGAGACAGAGAGAGAGAATTCATATGTAGGTGCACAAAAACATACAAGAGGACAATCTTGTACAGTGTGTGAGAGAGAGAGAGAGAGAGAGAGAGAGAGAGAGAGAGAGAGAGAGAGAGGGAGAGAGAGTTTTTTCTCAGAACAACCCTAGGAAGGATGCAGTATCAGTCCATTGTAGAGATGCTGGAAACTGACTCTTCTCTGTCCTAAATATGCTCTCTGTTGTGACAGTGCTGTCTTTCTGGATAGTGCTAGCCAACTGACTCCACTTTTGTCTGGGCAGCAACTCTGAGGGCTTCTGGTTGCTTGCTGGGCTGGCTTCAGTCAGTCTGCCTACTCTCAGTCACCACTCTCCCTGATATGTCCCACTCTAAACAGTCAGAGCCACAGGGTGCAGTCCCTATTTCCCACCCTCTCTTTCCAGCCTGCTTCTCCTGACTCCTCTGGCTTGGATTCCCCATCCTCTACTTCCCTCTTCTCCCTACCTCATCCTCCTTGTCTCAAGGTGCCTTTTGCCACAGACTTATGTGCCTGACAGACACCACTCATCATGTGTTTGACAGATGCCTCCAAGGCACCAGGTGAGAGATTGTACTAGACGTTTGAGCTTTCGTTAGATATAGCTTCTAGACCCAACTTTTAAGGGTTCTTTCCCTTCCCATGTATATTATGTAGGTATGGTGTGAATGTACATATGTATTGTGTATGTGATCACATGTGTATGCTCACATATATATGTGCAGGTGTATATATGTGTGGTATTGACATCTAGTCCCCATTGCTGTCTGCATTATTTATTGAGGTGGAGTTTCTCAGTTGAACCCAGACCTCACTGATTACTGGTATAAGTAGCTAGTTTGTTTGAAAATCAGGATCCCCTAATTCTCCCTCCTTAGTGCTTGGATGATTGATGGCTACCACACCTGCCTAGCTTTTACATGATTCTTGATCAAACTCTTAACTACATGCTTGCTCAGCAAGCACTTTCTCATCCACTGAATCACTTCCTCAGTTGCTCTGGAGTCTTACCAAAGATATTTGAGTTTCCTGTGGTATTCGCTTTGGCTTTGCTTTTTGTTTTTTACTAAATTTAAGAATCAAATTTGCATTTTATCTTCTACTAGATGATAAACTCCATGAGAGAGGGGATAGTGTATTTAATGGAACATTAAATAGCCAGTACCTTAAACCCTTCAGAGAATAGGTGCTTGGTAAATAATATTGAATAAGTTAGCAGTAATAAGATCAGATCGCTGTTCTTTTCTGATAAAAATCCTTGTTTTGAAAGCTAAAAATTGTAGAAAAGCATAAAAACAAAGTATCTCTTCAAATACCACTTGAAGGTCAGCACTTAAAAGTGTGTGTGTGTGTGTGTGTGTGTGTGTAATATACAAAGGTAAACATTAATGCTCACATACTTTTGGGACACTCATAATTTATCAAATAATAAGAAATAGGGGTTCTTATATACTTTTCCTTTTGAGCCCTTGCCTTTTCAGTGGCTGCCAATAGCTTACTATGGATATAGCATGGGCTGTTCTCTCTTTTACTGTTTGTGGACATGTCAACTGCACAGAGTCATGTTTTGTACAAATCTCTGATGGTGGTATTTTGATTAGGTGTAAAGTGGGTTTCCCGGTTTCAAGGCTATGAAGGTTTTGGGATTCTTGATAAATGTTAGCATGTTATGTTACACTCCAGAGAGCTCATGTCTGTCTTGGTACACCTTTGTCTTTGTAGAGTAATATTCATATTTTTTCTCATTTTGCTATCTAAATAGGTGTGTACTTTTATATTTATCAATTGTAAAGAGAAATGCTTTTCAGTTTCTTCTTCCTCCTCCTCTTTTTTTATCCCTCTTCCTTTGCACCGCAATTTTTCTTTTGTCTTGCCGCTGACACCTCTCCCCATGTGAGTGTACCTCCTGCACAGAGAGGGAGAGGTTTCAAAGGCCCTGATACCATACACCCTCAGTAAGCCAGTCTTGTGCCCTGGGCTTTATTGTTGTCATTTGCTCTGTGGTGGTCTGGATGTTTCTACCATGCTTTAATAGTCATGGTTACTGACTGGGCTAAACTTAACCAAAATTCTCTTCTAACAGTTCACTAGTGTCACGTAACCCCAGCTCCTGCTCATCATGTAGAAACAGGAGCCCTAGTTTAAGGCCTTCTGCTGCCTATTAAATCATGCTTGTCTGTGAGGGATCCCTGTCTCTGTGGCATGTAATGGCCTTGTTATCCTTTGTAGAGTCCACATTCTGTGCCTCTGAACAAGATTCTCTCCAGCATGAACACAGCCAAGCAGATCCTGGAAGAAGCCTCAAGGTTGTTGAAGCTCTTCTGGAGGGTCTCAGTCCCCGCAGATGGCCAGTGTTCCCATCACTGTGAGCAGGTAGGTGATCCCACATGCTCAGAGGCTCAAGTATACCAGAGAGGCCTGTATCTCTGTTCATTCTGAGCAGTCCAGAACTGGCCCACAGTTAATGTGCCCCACCTTGAGGATGTGTCAGAGGGCATGGTACTAGTGTGCTGGAGCCACACTAAGTTCTTGGCCAGAATGGGATCCTGTTCACACTTTGTACGCAGGAAAAATAAGGTTCAGAGTCTGGGTTATGGGGGCTGATTTGAAAGCGTACATATGTGAAGTCTGGGTTTGTTCTTGACTTGATAGGTTTCACATGTCAGCCTGTCCTTAGGGGCCAGCTTGCTATTATTCCTAGAAGTACCTTGCACTTTAGCTGTCACTGTCTGGACCTTCTGATCTATGGATTTTAGTGAAAACTATTTTAACTGAGAGTGAAAGGTCAGGAGCCAGGCAGGTGAAATCTTGTCTTGACTTTTCTTAGTGGAGTTCATGTGTGTTCTGGCACACTGTACAATAGCCTGGCTAATTACAAGCCTCCCTGACAGAGAAGCAAGCTGGAAAAGGGTGTTAGAGCTCTGCTTGTAGCCTAGTGGATATTTCTTACTTCATTTGACCGGATGGACAAATGCTTTCCAAAGGTGATCCAGAAGGCAGAAGGGAAGTCTGTTTGCATTTCAGGTCACTATTTAGTTTTGGCAGCTCTCAGACCTCCAGAACCTGGCAAGGAGGTTGTTTGTACTGAGAGTTCCCGTGACATGAGTGTTGCAGCATGCAGTTTGGATACACTAAGTTCAAGGATGTTCATAATCATTTGTGTGGCATAGGGCAGTCATTCCAAGCCCACTTTTAGTTGGTGGAGCATTGGCTGAAAGGTGAGTGACAATGGGACGGACTACTTGAGCTCTATTCTCACTCTAGCCTCTTCTTTCCCTTAAGCCACAGACTCCTATGTGACACAGACAGTCTCCCTGCAATCTGTGTCCTGTGCCTTTCTGCTGGCTGCCTCTCACCCTCAAGTCTTACATATTACATAAATAGAGAGGGCTCCTTATCACTCTGCCATAACATCATCTTCAATTTCATCATAGCCATTATCACATATTGTAATTATATATTTGTTTGCTTAATACCTATCTCTCTCTGTTTTCCTTTAGGGGCTGTGTCTGTTTTGTTCATGTTTTTTAATGAATGAATGACTAGATGGATGAATGAATAATTTCTTTCCACTCTCCAAAATCAGTGCTTGCTTTAAATTATTTTAAAGGTAACATGTCTGAGCTAAACAATTTACCCTCAGTATAATGTTGTTGCCCTTAGACAGAAGCAGCTGTTTGCTAAGGAGACAGAATCCAGTTTGTGTCTAGTACATGAACACACAAACATACCCACACAAACACACTAAATTTGTAGCCCTCTTGATCTTTTCCACTTGCAAATAAGTCTTGGGACCGTCAGTCTTTGTAGGATTCACTCTTCTTCCTGAAGGTGTCTTGGGTAATTGATTATCTTCATGTCAGTGTTGTAGAACTTCAGAGCTGAGGAAGACCTCAGAGACGTACCAATGTAGTTGCTGGTATACATGGACCCCTGGGTGGTAGAAGTTGCTTCTGGGCACATTTGTTTTTTTTTTTTTTTTTTGTTTTTTTTTTTTTATGCCTGTTCTGCATGTGGCACCTTTTGCTTGGTGTGTGTGAAGCAGACTTCTGAGTTTATAGCAGCAAGCCTAGGTACCTGACAGCCTCCTTTTTTCTCTGTGCTGTTTGTTTGCCTTTATATTTAATAAACCTTCCTCTTCAGCCCCTAGCAAAGCTCTGGAAAGTATACATCGGTTTATCTGAAAAATGTATATGAAGGGTTACCAAATGTAGATATATTCTTAAAACAACAGACTCCTGAGATTGTAAGGGGCTAGCTTGGAGGGGTAGAAGATGATTTTTCTAATCAACACTGGTTTGTAGATTTGACCTTGGGGGTCACATAAAACTTTTCATAATTATAAATAGAATTAATCAAAATGGGGGTAAAGGAGCAATGTCTAAAACTTCATAGCAATGGGAAATCATCCAGTCATACTGTGTATCGCTGGGGACATGGCCAAGGGAGCAGACATGCCAGTGATATACCACACTGGTTTGAAACCTCCCCAAAGCACAAAGTTTTCAGCAGTTTTGTTCGCAGACACTGATGTTAAGATTCTGATATGTTCCTGTTGTAAGATAATTGCAAATTCATTACATTTATTTATTTATTTATTATGTGTGGGCACATGCTTGTGCACTGACATGCATGTGGGAGTCAATGGACAACATACTGAAGTCAGTTCACTCCATCCACCACGTGGAGCCTGAAGCTTAACCTTAGCTTAGCAGCTTTGTAGCAGGTGCTTTCACTTGAGAAGGAAGATAAACAATGTGTAGTTTCATTAGGAACTGAGAGTTCCACTAAAAGAAGAATAACTATGTAATCAGAGAAATGAAAACCATATATAATCCTAAATTTGAATTCTAAACATAAAAATGAACTCACAATGCATTTGCTGTTTTAAAAGTTGACTGAATCACTCCACATAAAAGGCCTTAGAAATAACTGGATTCAGAGCAGCAAGTCCACTAGATAATCCTAAAGCAGGTTCTGACAGCCTCTTTCCAGGGATTGGACCAGAGCTCCTACAGGAAATGGCTTGTTTCTGGTCTCTGCAGAAACATAAGATGAACCTAGAACATATTACATCCTAGTGTGGAAGAAGGAGGTGGATCCTGGACCTGCACCAGAGCATCTCCTGGAAGTTTTTGAGAAATGCAGCTGCCAGAAGATACGTATACCAGCCTGGAGTGTCTGTCAACACTCCCAGGAACTTTGAGAACCACAGATTAAAAGAAAGTAGCTTTTAACAGTGTAGTTCTTGTCTGGATGCTGATTTGAATGGATTATTATTTTTAAAAAAGTCTTGACCTTGGTTATTTTTTAGGGTTTGATAGACTTTGTATAGATTGAGCATTTCTAATACAGGTGCTTTAAAGTCTGGTATTTGGGGTTTTAGGTCTTCAGATTAGTCACACTCAAAAGGACTCAGGAGTTATCTTCACTTTCTAGGTGTGCTAATGCTGTCGCAGGTTCAAAAAACTTTTTAAGTGATGTATACTAAAATATTTTATAGATGAAATGACATGATTAGTTTCAAAATAATTTTGGAGGGAAGCTAAACCAGTGTGTCCTTGAATTGATAGTTACTGGATCCTGGAGGTTCCCATCCAGTTCTGTCAACTTTTGTAGATATTTGAGAATATTCATCCCAAGAAGTAAAGGGATAACCAGGAAAAGAGTAACCTATTCCAGAAGGCAGGCAGAGCACGGATGGTCTGTGTGACCTCTGGGAGAAATGACTTCCAGTTCTGTTTGTTGGTCCTAAGTGCCTACTGGGTACCACACATTCTGCTTACACTAGAATCTTACCCCTTGTTGCAGTCTCTAGGACTTAGATAGTTTTTCTTTTTAAATTTACAAATGGAATATATTTGGGAAATTAGATCAAGGTATCATTATTCATTTTTTTCAAAAAAATAACATATTTTATATTTAATTGATGCAATTATACCTTTTTATGGGACATGCTATGAGGTTCCAATTCATGTGTACAATGTGTAATGGTAAGATCAGGGTGATTGACAAGCCACTGATTATCATTTCCTTGGGTTGACATCATTCAGAATCCTTCCTGTTAGCTGGAATAGGAGCCAACATTTCAGAAAGTTATATGACTTGCCTCAGAATAGTGCGGCTAGGAAGTGGTAGAGCTAGGCTTTAGAATCTTGCTGTCTCAGTGTATTTTTGTCATGAGATAAATAGGAAGATTTAATGCCAGTGGAACAACAGACATAAATATTTAAATTTCCTTGTTTTAAGGGCTAGTTTGATGATGTACAGTGTTAGGCGAGGGCTAGTAAGCAATGGCCTGAAAACTGGAGACTGACACCTGCTCTTCCATAGGCTCTGGTGCGCAGAAGAGAGGAGGAGCTCTTTACTGGTTGGGGTCATTGCTGGCATCTATCATGACATGTCTTCCTAAGCTCCCAGTAGGGAGGGAGTGTTAGTTAATTTGTTAAATTAGCATTTTAGCTTTAAAGACTATATGAATAGGGCTAGGGAGATGGCTCAGTACTGTGGAAACACCCATGTCAAATCTGGGCCTAAAACTGTACATCTGTGACCCCAGCATTATAGGAAGGGGTAGTGGCAGAATTCAGTGGCTACCTATTCGAACCAATGAGCTTCATGGCCAGTGAGATAACCTTGCCTCAAAAACTAAGATGCAGAGCAATGAAGAAAAACACCCAGTGCTATCTGACCTCTGCATGTATGTTCACACAGGTACACACATGAATATGTATGACACACATATGTACATACACACACACACACACACACACACACACACATACAATACCTTTTCAGACAGCCTGAAGTCATATCCCTTGGAAATACTGACATTAATTCTTTATGCTATATCAAGATAGATGGATAGATAGATAGATAGATACGATAGGCTGTCTAGTTTTGCAAACAGTTGTTAGTTTTGGTTCCTTAGTTATTAATTATAATTATCTATCAATGAAGCCCTGAAACATCATTTTAGCTGCATAATTACTCCTTCCTGTGTAAGCTCTATGCTGAGCTTACTATAGAAAGAGCAAAGGGATGAACCGGGCAAGCTAGTAAAGGCCCATCCTCCCCTACTACTGCCTTCCTGTCTTCCACCATACCCTTTGAATCCCATTTCACTATAGTGTGAAAGATGAGCCAGGGGTTGCTATTTCAGTCTCACAGATGCAGGACTGTAGGGTAGCTTTGTCCTAGGATGTGTGGCGTATGAAGTCATGAGTATTCATGGGCTCCCAGCCTGTACTAGAGAATCAAAGCAAACCTAATGATGAAATTAGGGTCCATTTTGAAGAAGCACTGAAGCCTTTGTATTTGACATGATTGGTAATCTTAAAAGGAAGTTAAGGTGGGGAATCAAAAAACGATAACTACCTTAAACATTTTAGTTTAACTAAAAACAGATAAATATACATTCATTTGCCATTTTTTTGATGTAGGGCCAGGCCTTTTCTTTGAATGTAGATCTTCTGATTGGAGTTCCACATTTTCTTTCTTTCTTTCACAAACCACATCCATAATGTATTTCTGTCACTACCAATATCTGTTTCTTTAAGATGAAGAAGAAACTTAAGGCACTTGCAGAGCAATCTGAATATAGAATTCTTATACACTGTTCCTCCTACATCTTTTACAGTTGTCTCGCCCACACCTAATTTGCCAGCAAAGTGTTTTGCAGTGACTTGCTTTTGTCTGGTCTCCGATAAAGCATATGTTAGTTTCTGTACAGCTAGCTTCTGTCCATACATGTGGCTCAAAGGTCAACTTACTATGTAATTAGATTCTGATATTTATTGAAAGCACAGATACTGTAAACAAGTCTGGAAACAAACTAGGAAAGATACTATGTGAACTGCCGACTTAACTGTGTCTCTTCTTGGTAGCCACGCGAAAAGGGGTGTCCATAGTTTGGAGCCAGTTCAGGGAGTCTGTGCTGTGCCATGTCACAGGATGGTAGATTTGGCATCCACACTCCACTATGGAAAAAAAAAATCAAAATTGGTCTGCACTTGCCGAGTATTGTTGTGCTAAGAGTAAAGCATTAGAAAAAAATTGAATCAGCATTATGACTTCTGTTAACAAAAAGGAACTACAGAAATTTAAAACTCATCATTAATGTTTGGTTACCACATCAATATATGTTTATAGCTGTAGGGATCTGTGTTTTCCTTTTATGAAACAGAAGTGCCTCAAATATAGCATTCAGTCTGTTGATTTGAGCTCTTTCTTTCACTAATTATAATCATCTTTTGAAATCAATGAATAGATCTCTACAGCATCCTTTTTAATAGCTGCACAATTCTGTTTTTTTTCCCCAATGTAAATACCACAATTCATTTATTTAGATTGATATGAAACAGCTCAGTTTGTTTATTCTTGCCACTGACAATGCCAAGGTGAGTGCCCATGAAGAAAGACATCTTCCTGTGCTGATGTGATTGTTCCTGGGGGTAGATGCACAGAATGGCAAAGTCAGAGAGATACATGCATTTATAGTTTAGGAGATTTTGCATCCTCACTGGGCCATAACCATCCCAAGCGCTACCACAGTCCTGACAGTTTTCCTACTCACCCTGGATTTTATCCAGTTTTCCTAATGCAGTGTGCAAAAAAGGGCTGCTGGCTTATTCAGATATTATGCTAGTGAAGTTGAGCATCTTTTAATATTATTTTTAGTTCTTTCTGTATAATTTAGTGTTTTATATTATTATATTTTTATAATTCTTTTTTCTTTAGATTGGAGAAATGAAGGCAGAGATCACCAAACTACATAAAAAGTTGTTTGAACAAGAAAAGAAGCTGCAAAACACTGCAAAACTTCTGCAGCAGAAAAGGCACCAGGAGAAAGTCATCTGTGATCAGTGTGAGTGAGAAGCAGTGGGTGGCTGCCATGGCTGAGCACTGCCTACCTCTGTGGTCAGGACTGGCAATGCAGCCATGGTTTACGCTCTTTATAGTCCAGGTTTCTTAGACCATGCCACCTTCTCTAGGGTTTCTCTTCCTGTTTCATCCCTTTTGAAATATACAGTCAGTTCTGCCAGGAATGTCCTCTCGCGGGGTGGCAGATTGTGCATTTTAGGAGCATGGTGGGTGTTCTAGAGGAAGGACCCCCTGAGATGGTTCTGAAACGAGTAGACAATGTCATCTGGAAGATGGAATGGTGGTCTAGGACAGAACCTGCAAGATGAAAGGGAGCACTACTTAAAGTCAGTGCTGAATCTAACCCAGTCATGTCAGACACTTTCAACTGCTGTGTTCCTTATGTTCAAACCTGCAGCATTCCTCACCAGTATGTAGACACAAGTAGCTTCCACCAGGCTCTCCAACAGCTCAGCCCTGACTTTGCCCATTCTCTCAACCCGTTAGGTTGCCTATCTTAGGAGTATCACCAGTTACCATCCTTTTTCTACTACTACAGCCCTGGGCTGCTCTCTGAGCAGCATTTCTTATAGGCATAGGGCATTGATTATTGATAAGTAGGTGGTCTCATTAGCTGCCCTCTGAGAACCTTCTGAAAAAGACTGAGATTAGTAAGGGTTGGAACTGAAAATGAATGAAATTCAGTTCTGACCAGGTCCTGGGCTCCTGTCCTGTGTATTTTTCACAGACTCTGAGGATAGAGGAATGGTAGTTTCTATCATCAAGGACCCTGGACTTTTTGAGGGGTTGGGGGGTAGGGCATAAAGCTTCAGGGTTACCAACTGAGGTCTGCTGGGGAAGCATGAAGGTGGTGTGAGACTTGGGTCCAAGTATAAATCTAATTGTCCCTGATGGATGTCAGTCAGACAGCAGAAGATCAGGAACAGGATTCCTTGGCATACCTACCTCGATAAGCAAAAGAGAAGTGAGTGTGTTCCAGCATGCTGAAAACATGTCAAGGCTTTCACTTGAGCAGCAGTGTGTATTACTTAGTTTTCTTGTGGACAGTCCCTAACAGAAACAACTTAAGGAAGATTAGATTTGTTTTGGCTCACAGTTTAGAGGGAATGAAGTCATTTTGGTGGGGACATGGTAGTAGGATGAAGTGGGAATAGCAGGAAGATAGCTAGGCACATGTGACAGGCAAAATACAGACAAGATTAGAGGAACCAAGCTATTATCCTCAAGGCCTGTTCCCAGTGGCCTAGTCATACCAGCCAGGCCTTACTTTACAACTTCTCCAAATAGTTGCAGCAGTTAGGAATTGAGTGTTCAAACATGGGAGTCCATAGGGAACATTTATGTCCAAGTCTTTGCAAAGGGAAAATGGGACAAAGATCCTGTGGGCTGGGCTCAAGGAGGAGTAGAGCAGGGTTTGCTGTGGTTTATCAGCTATCACATGACAGAGCATAGAAGGGTCCTGTTGCTTGGGAGATCTATGACAGTTCCTCCAGCATGCAGGGCTGTGGTGGACTAAAAGGCAGGTAACTGCCCAACAGTCAGGTTATTGTTGATTTGGTTGAGAGACTTATGTCACCTATGGAAAAAAAGGAGCCCTTAGAGATGTGGGTGACAGTGACTGTTGCTGGCTTGCTCAGGTGCTATGGAGCATTTGGGCCAGACTCCAGGGAAGCAGGAGGTGGAGCTTCACACAGCCTGAGTCCAGACGTTAGGACTCTGGCACAGGCTCCCTCCTGAACAGCCATAAGCCTCCTGCTTCTGATTCTGGTTTGGGATGAGGAATTTCAGGAGCCAGCAGAATTCAGCTCAGGTGGTGACTCTACTGTGGCAAGTGATGCCGTGCCGAATCCTGGGTCAGTGTGTAAGACTAGGAATGTATCCAGGTCTCTGCTTTAACCTCCTATGTGACATGCATTAAGTGGCTCTGACTCTGAGTTTTAGGTTCCTCCTCTCTAAACAGAGATAGCAATTTCAAGCACAGTTGGCCACAGTGGCCAGGGTAACGGTTACAATTACATCTGTAGAATTTAGAGAGTGGCACCAGCAATGTCAGGGACAGAACAGGTGCCCCATAGATGCTGGTTGTTTGCCCTTTTCAGTCATTTGGATTCATGGAATTGGTTCAGTGTTGCCATCAGTATCTGATAGGCCTGGTTTGGAGCTGCCCTGACCAAGGGCAGGGTGAGGGTCTTGACCCAGATTAGCTGGCATGGGTCTGGCCTGTGATTCCTCTATACCCAGTCCTGCCTCTTATTTCATTGAGCTAAGTTCCTAAGCCCTCCAAACTGCCAACTCTTCCTGGTTTTGAAGTGACAGAATGACATTGATATGGTATCCTCTACCCTCCCATTTCTCCACATGGTGAGGGGGATGAGAAAGATCCAGGGATTGCCCCTCAGTGGTTGGTCTGACACTACCTCCTCTCAGAAGCTGCAGGAGAGAGCAGGAAAAGGGTGAGACATGGGAACTCACGGGTCTCATAGCCTGGCACTCCCCACTTCACTTGTGTGCCTCAGGTCCTCCTTTGCCAAGTAAGAGCAGTAATCCTGCCTTGTGGGGCTGGGGTCTTCCGTGAGTCAGTACAGGTCCTATGGGCAGTGGACATTTTCCTTTCCAGTCTCTGGTAGGTGGGAGGGCCCTAGGCTGAGGTGGCCCATGTATGTGCCTTGTCTCTACACTCAGGTCAGTCTGATTTGGGATGTATTCTTTACCGCTCTGAACCTTGTCTTCTCATCACAGCAGGAATTTCTGAATGTTGGAACATGGGTGGTGTACCTGTTTAGATGTAAGAGAGACTTCAAAACCTGGGCCAGGGATCCTCAGCGGTTGTGCTAAGCTTAACTCATTGGGTACAGCCAATGGTCTTTCAAGATTATTTTTAACCTCCATGTCATGACAACCTTTTCTGGGTCACAGGCCCCTTGGTGGATCTTAAGACAGTAAGATAGTCTGTGCCTAGAAAGACTCACAAATTCTATCTTCACCAGATATGCTGGGTCTGGTATATTGGACTTCCTAGGGCGCATTGTGGACCCTGCAGCCAGGAGTAGGGTGGAGACAGAGGCAGAGAATACCTGTGAAATCGTTTTTACTCAGACAAAAAATGAAGCTCACTATGTCTGTTAACCTCTCTGCCTCCAGATGGAATTTTTTTGTGAAACAAAAAAAAAAAAAAAATATTTCCCCCAGGCAACTACAGAACAGTTTTTTCTGAGTAGGCAGGCAGTGGACCACGTGCTTGGGTGAGTCACAGTGAATCTCTGCAAGCACGAGCCAAGGGGATTCTGGTGATCCGGAAACTCCTTGGTCCTCACCAGGTCCTAGCTAGAATGAATTCATTTTTTTTTTTTTTTTTTTTTTTTTTTTTTTTCCTTTGAGCCCAAGCTAGCCTCAAACTCATGGCAGTCCTCTTGCTTCTCAGCATCACAAGTTCTGCCTCTAGAGTCCTAATTTGGCTCAGAAATCTGACATGTCTCTCACTGTTTTAGTCTTTGCTAGACAAGATGAAACTATGGAAAAAAACCACCTTTGTGCATGGTTGCTCCTAGTGATAGGCACTCCTGTTCTCAAATTCTGGCACAGCTTGTGTCAGTGTGCAGGGACCTCTAAACTCACCCATTCACCCACTCCTGTTTAGAGAGAACACAGCTTGCCTAGGGAACCTTGCTGAACTATTCCACCAGCTGAGGGGTAGGGGGAAACAAAAATGCCTTGAATTAGCTCTCCCAGGATACCAGAAGTGTGCCTGAAGAAAGGCTGTGTAAAACGCTGCTTTCATGGGACTTCCCTGAACACTTGACATGGGCCTCTAAGTGTGGGCTTGTTTCCCACTCTCCTTCCTGGAGGGGTCAGGACACCAAAGGAAGCCAGTCACTGTCAGATCCTGCCCTCTATACTGCTCAGTGCCATCATCCTTCCCAATTACAGATGGTGATCCAGGTGGTCATGCAGAGCCTGACATTGCCTCTGAAACATACCATTCATGCTCTTCCTTTTGGTTCTCAGTGAGGACTTGAAGTGTTGTTCGTGGCCCACCCTACTTGATGACATTATTTGTCACTGGCGGTTGAAAAGGGGCAAGTGAGGCTTTCATACTTCTCTGGTCTCAATGGTTCATGGCTGTTGTGTTGGTTACCTGATTCTGTGACAAAATGCCTGAGAGACACAATATAAAGGAGGAAGAGTTTGTTTTGGCTCATGGTGGAGTATGGTCCATTATGTTGGGGCAGGCATACAGGAGCAGCAATGTCTAGGGTAGTGGAAGCTTACAGCTCAGTTATGTCTCAGTGGATCAGAAAATCTAGTGTTGGCCAGAGCCAAAGTTGGCACCAGAAGCCCACTTTGCTAGCTAGGTCACAGTTGCAGAGGTTTCTTAAGCCTCTATGATGATCATCTCTAATTGTAAATGTGACATAACCTAAAGTCACATAGCAAGAGTCTTAGTAGGGAATTGTCTACATTGAATTGGTCTGTAGATGTGTCTGAAGGGGCTGTCTTACTAAAGTTGATTGATGTGGAAAGATCAGCCATTCCCTAGGGGCAGGGGATTCTGAACTGGGAGGAGCAGAAAAATTGAATTGAACACAAGCAAGCAAGCTAGCAGCATGCATGCTTCTCTGCTCTTGACTGTGGATGTGATATGACCAGCTGTTTCAAGCTTCTGCCTTGACATCTACAGTGATTAACTGTAACCTAGAATTGTGAGCTAACGTAAACACTTCTCAGTGTTGCTTTTTGCCAGAATATTTTATCACAGCAGCATAAATGACACTAGGACACTCTCCAAAATAGCACCATCAGAGGGGCATGTATTCAAGCATGAACCTGTTGCAGACCCTTCAAAAGTTGTCCAGTTGTCTGAATCTAGGCTTCCCCCTCACTAGCTTAGTTTTCATTCTACTCTTCTGAGATATGTGGCTCTAATTGTTCCCCTCTTTGCTTTCTCCTCAGTGGTCATCACCCACCAAGTCCTTCAGAAGGCCAGACGAAACCTGGAGGTAGTGGCCCCTGAGTTGTTTGCACTGAAAGCTTTGGGTAACTAGGGGTTGGGGATGTTAGACTGTCTTCTTTTGAAGAATAAGGTTGAAGGTGTGATCAAGGGTTACAGCTTCCACAAGCAGCTATAGTTTCTGCTGGAAGTGCATGAAAAGTTCCATTCTCTCACACCTGTCCTCAGTAGACACTCTGATTCCTTTTTCAGTGCTGTTTCTCTAAAGAGAAACAGCAAACAGCAGCCCACACAGAGGCATGTGTGCAGTCTTTCTGGAATGGATGGATGGATGGATGGATGGATGGATGGATGGATGGATGGATGGATGAATACAGTATGTGCTCATGTCATTTGTTCTGATGTTTACTAATCAAACTGTCTGTGAAAGAAGTTTTGAAATAGAACCTTGCCTTACTCTGTCAGGGGTTTTAGTTCAGATACTCCATGACCTAATATCTCGCCCCCCCCCTTTTCCTTTTCCTAGAGAAGGACTAGGACTGCCCATCCGGGAACATCCAGCCCCAGTAGACCGGGCTCATGAAGAGAGCTTTCAGCTAATAAAGCTTATGATTCTAAGATCACCTGCCTCTGTCCTCACTGTGGCTCCTGATGGTGAATGAAGCAGGTCACAGAAAGTGTGGTGTTGTGATTTCTGTCTGAAAGTTATTGGCTTGAGGCTGTTGTCTCAAAGGTTCCATTGCTCTCCAGTCAGGTGCCAGAATGGCCGTGAGCTCTGGATGCTGTGATCTGGAGCACCTTGCATGCTGGGGCACTTCACATCCATCCTCAGACCCGAGAACTCATTTCTCAACCAGCACTACAATTAGGGTATTCTTACATAATGCATCCAGTTTCAAATGCATGATGCATGTGTGCTGGGTGCAGCCTCACCCCATGTCATGCACTCTTACCTCAGTGTGTTGGGAAGCACATGGCCCTCAGATCTCATGTACATCTAAGCCAGCTCCAATATCCAGACAATAAAGCAGGTCCATGTGGGGTTGTCTTGGCACTGTGGCTCTACAGGCAGGTCCTTAGTGCCTAACAGCTTGACCTAGAGCCATCTTCTAGGCTAGAGCTGTTTCACATTTAGGAAATAGAACAAAGCCTGGAGCTGGGACTTGGCTTTTGCACTGCTCTTTCTGTCCATATTGCTGCCTGGTACACTTGCTGTAGCCCTGTCACTAATTTTCATGTTTAACTGTTTCTAGCCTTGTCTTGAGCTGCATGGGTCCTGAGCATTAAACAAAGCCTGGCTTAGCTCTGGTTGCAGCTGACTTTTCTTTCAAGTGGAATCCCTCATGCTGACATGTTGCTTCTTATCATCCTCCATCCTCCACCTTGCCTGTTACCTCATTTCTTCTGCTCTGACCTCTGGGAGGTCCTTTTTCTGCTGGGGTCCCTCTTCCATTGCCCATTTCTAGGCTCCTTTTTAGTCTTTGATTCCCTTTTCTTGAATCTTCTCCTTCCTTTCTCTAAAGCAGACAAGGTGCAGAGATAAACTGTTCATCTGACCAGGCACTTCCCTCCCTGCCCTGATGGCAGCTTTCCACTGCCCTCTGCTTTCAGACCAGGCCCTGGGAAGGGATCACAAGGCCCCCAAGTCTGGCTGATGCCACTCTTCCCCCTCTCTCTCCACCACTCTCTCCCGTTACCTCCCTCCCTTTTTTCCTCTCCCTCCCCTCCCTCTTCTCTCCTTTCCCTTCCCATCCCCCCACACAAACACATACACACACACACAGAGAGAGAGAGAGAGAGAGAGAGAGAGAGAGAGAGAGTTGCTGGCTGTTCTGGTAGTTGGAATGGCCTTTCTTCGCTTCCTTCCAGACTCCATACTGCCTTCCCTGCTGCCCCATAGCTACCCACCAAGGCAACTGTCAGGGGCCTCAACTGCTTAGCTAGAGGAGAGCTGAAGCCCACGTACCTGCTCTCTGCCTCCATCTGCTCAGTGGGGCCAGCCTCTTCTGCATGGGCTCCTGTCATCTGTGTTCCCTTCTGTACAGCTGCATCATTTTCTGATATGCCAGTATATGAAAAACAGATGTAGGCACTGCTTCGTGTGGGGTTCCTTTCTCTACAAGTCACCCCTCTTCCTGAGAAGCTTGTCTACTGAGGAAAGCATCAGACCTGGCTTCTAGTCCCCAGCTCCAGGTGCACGTGTGACAGTGGTTTGGTGCAGGCTCATGGGGAACACCAGGCCAGGCCTATGACAAGCCTGGGTTAGGTGTATCTCCCGTGAACAAAACTACCCTGCTTGGAGTAGGCTTAGCTCATTGTGGGTGGGGGCATTGGCAAGAGCATGAGCTTGAGGTTTGTAACCTCTGGCCACTAAACCCGGGGTGCCTGGGAGGAGAGCCTGCAGGGTACAATAGCTGGGAGCCCAGGAATACCTCACTTTCAGGTCTCCCACAGTCTTTCATCAACGCATTGCCCAAAGTGACTGTGATGTTATTCTGTAGCCTAAAATACTCCCAGACTTGGGCTAGGGGAGGCTCTTCCTAGTCTGGGAGGTGGGGGAGCATGCTGGTTTGTTTTGGCTGGATGAGGGCCAAGAACAAACTGCAAATAAGGACAGTTTGGACCTTGGAAAATGCTCTATTGTCCCTGGTGAGTTAATTTTACCCGCAGCTGAATTCAGGAGGCTCTGAAGCAGTAATCAAAAAAAATGCGTCAATTTCCCGTTGGTGAAATTAATCACCATGTGTGCCTGAGCAGCTGCACCTGAGAGACCCAGCTGTAGATGCTAAATATAGAGAGAGAAAAGAGGGACAGGCTGAGCCACCTACCCTGTCTACCTTGGGAGTGGCCTTCAATGTCTTTCTCACACCTATATGTTCTCTACCCCATCTTGAAGCCCAATGTGCAATAGCTGTCTGTCGGTCACATCCCTTATCTGCACTCCTGCACACTTCACCACAGAGGAGACTGGATCTTTTTAATTCACTCTGAATGATCCTGCTTTCTGGATCTTTCTCCCAAGAATGCTGTTTGTTGGATGAAACTGTAGCCATTCTTCTGCATTATGAGCCATTCTCCCCCACACTTTCCAGGACAGTGTCCTGGGTGGCCAGGGCAGGGGCTCTGAGACCCACATTGAATTCCTTGACACAGCATCCCTGAGAACTGCTTGTAAATGACCTATGAACAGAGAAAGAGTGATCTTGTTAATAAGGTCTCAGTATTGTAGAGGCCAAGAAGCCTGCCTTTGGGAACGTGGCCCTGCCAGATTACCTCTTCAATCTTGGCCATGTTTTAAGTCTAACTCAAAAATTCAATTATCACAATGAGTCATTCTGTCTCTCGAGAAGCCCAAGCTCTGCCTCAGCAACAAGGCAGTTTACCTCACCACAGACAGCTCCTCCCTGCCTGTGCTGTCAGATGCCAGGTGGGTAGCCATGGACAGACCCAGAGGGCCAGAATCTTGCTTTAGGCTCCAGAGCTCTTGGAGCAAGCTTCCAGCTCCTCATCAGCAGGTGTAATGGGTACTGTGAGGCCAGCCCCTGGAGTGGCTGCTCCACCATGCTCCTTCGGTGTAGTAGCATAAGCTAGTGGTCCTCGTATCATTACCCCCCATTCTCCAGATCCCATACGTCAGCGGGATCCCCAAAGCCATTATTTCCTCCAAGTGACCGTTTGCTCTCACCTGGACCACTTTGTGCAGTGGCTTCACCGTTGAGTTTCCCATATCCACACTGATGCTGTCCAACAGTCACCACACTCTACAAGTCTCCACACAAAGCTGATTGTGTCAACCTCTGGTTAATCCAGTAACCTGTCATACCTTTGGCATGTTATGCAGGCTCCAGGAGCTCCTGTATTCCAGCTACCAGATCTTGGCATATGCTACCCATGTTTGCTTCCCTTGCTGGTTGACTCTTATTTGGGATCAGGGACCCAGTCTTCATTCCATCTACCATCTGTGTTTATGGGCTTCCCTGATGTATTTGGGTGCTGTTTAGAATCTTGGTAGCAAAACTGGTAGGGCCTACTGTTAGCAGGAGGTAGTCAACTTCATTGGCAAATAGCAGAGAAGAAGTCTGGATAAGGTGGGTTGTGGACACAGGATGGCTGGAGGCTGCTGAGGAGTCCATGCTGAAATGTACTCACATGGGGGCCAAGATAGGGGTAAGGCATGACACTCTATGCCTTGGGGATCAGGCTGCTGTGTCTGGCCCAGATCATAGGGAGAGAACTTTAGGGAGGTGACTAATGCCAACTGCCAGCCTATTGGAGCGAGAGTGGGAAAGAGTACCCCAAGCCAAGGAAGCACCCTGTATAGAGAAGCCTGTAGGCTCCCAGGATAGCCAGGGGAGGAAATGTGGCTGGGGCTTCAGACATGAGGCTGGATGCAAACAGGTTTGAGATATTTATATTCTTGGGGAGATCCCTGGGCACATTGTGGTGACTATGTTTATGGGATGAAAGAGGAAGGCTAGGGCCATGGTTTTTAAGCTTCCCTAATGCTGCATCCCTTTAATTAAGTTCATTGTATTATAGTGACCCCCCAACCATAAAATTATTTTCATTGATACTTCATATCTGTAATTTTGCCACTGTTATAAATTCTAAGGTAGATATCTGATAACCCCTGTGACAGGGTTGAACAACCCACTGGTTGAGAACTGCTGGTCTAGAGAGAAGACAGAGCTTTAAAAGGCTGGGGGTGCTCAAAATCCACACAAAAAGCTGGGCATGTGACTCGCACCTCCAATTCCAACATCACTAGGGAGGAAAAGGCAGGCAGATTCCTCTTTCTTGCCTAGCCTAGTCAATAACCTCAAAACAATAAAACCTCTCAATAAACTAAGGAATGATAAACATTCTCTATGGCCTCTGTGTAATATGCATACATATGCCCACACAAGCAATCACATGTAAATGTGGAGATGAGACCTGTTGCAGGACAGGTAAGGTCTTGGAATATCTCCAAGAAGACCAGCCCTATAGCCATGTGGACTCAGAATTTCGGATCCTGTTTGTAGGGCAGGAGAGGGAGCCAATGCCAGAGAAGCTCATGGGAGAAATGTATTGGGTCTGTGATTTCAGATGATGCACTTCATCAGGATAGGAAGGTATGGTAGCTGGAGAAGCCATCTATAATGGCAGGAGCTTATGGTAGCATTTGTTCACATGGTGCAGAACAGAAGCAGAAGCAAGTAGAACTTTCAAAGCTGACCTCTAGTGATCCACCTCTAACTACACCCACACACCAAAGGCTCCATAGCATCTTGAAATATCTGCACCACTGAGGACCAGACATTCAAACGCAAACCTATGAGGCACATTACACAATAAAACAATGATGTCACTGAACTTCAGGAAAGCAGCCCTTACCTTGTGCCCAGTGAAACCCATGCCACTTGCCTCCCTAAGATATGGTAGGACAATAAAGTAAAGCTCTCTAACATATCTGTTTGTGACAATCTCAGTTGACAGCAGTGAGAAACTAACATGCCTTAAATAGTGAACATGAATGATGAAATGATTTCACAGGTAATGTGTCATGTTCTTGTAACCGTGGCAGGGCATGTTGAATACCTGGCTTGGGAAGTCATAAGCCGACATCCCTGAAGGAGAGG